ACGACAGGTCTGTTCACGCCACCATCGTGATACAGCAGTCGTCATTCTGCCGTATGCTCCATGCAAACCAGCACAGTAGGAACGGCCAAACACCTCGCACCGCACGCCTGACAAGTAGACCACACACTGCCACGTCCCAGTCGCCGTGCGGCGCAAACCTGTCCCTATTTGTTCCTTGTGGATGATGCGGGGGTGTTCTTGAAGCACAAGTGCTACCCCGACAAGGCGAGTGCGAGATATTGACCGCCTGTCTAGCTGAATGCGCACCACATAACTTGCCAATGCCTCCAACTCTGCTGCATACCACCATTCAACAAGTCACCAGACCGAGCTACAACCCCTGTGGATGGTCCTCTGCAGTCCGTCAGATTTCACCTGGAGGCTGAGTCTTTTTCTGCCAGTTCCCTCACAGCCAGTCAAGGCCGCCCATGTCATCTTCGCGTTGTCGCTTCTTCTTCGCTTGCCGTGGGGATGATGTTTTCGCGCCAAAGACCAGACGTGTTCGTACTGCTCGGGCGTGCGGCAGGGATAGCGGCGATCCAGGTCATATATCATCAATCTGGACCTGGCTGTGAACTAGCTGCAGGTCGGCCTTCATAGGGCGGTTTGCAGAGGACGTAGCATGGTACTGCATAGTACGGAGGCGAAATATCCCATTGGCTGCCGAACCCTGCATGCAAGGATACCTGACAGGCCCGGTCTGCGGGATGCACGCCGGACCCTCTCGGTGAGCAGACGGCATCGACAACGGGACGATACGTTGCCTTCCCCGGGGCCGGGAGGGGTAGCGGATGCCTGATTGATGGTGCGTCTGGTCAGATTCGGTAAAGCAACGCAGCGAAACATACCTGCCATCTTGGAAGGATTTCATGATGTCTGGGAACAAGACGGGCGACGTGGTGTCCCAGACACGGAAACCATTGAGCCACATCTCTTTCGTTACTTCTGTATCAATCTGGCGTTGTGCGGGGCGTTGGAGCCTCGGTGAGCTCGAGGGGGAAGGAAGCATTGATATGGAGCCGTGAGCCGACTCCTATCTCTTCTCACATATGATATGCATTTTTCCCCCCCAAAATGCTTCCGCTGTCAATGCTGTCAGTAGCTTTCTGCGTTTTCTGATCATAGTATGAACTGACTGCCTCAGAAGCCCTGGTCAAGCTTGGCTAGTTGTCTGTACAAGTTGGCTCACATAGCTAGCTGGCTCTCCTATGTCGAGGCGTGACCAGGCTTCACTCGACACAACGTTGCCGTATTAAGTTCGCTGATTAAGCCCGCCAAGCAGACCGAATTGGGACGAAGGGTGATATGGTACAAGATATCAGCATGGCGGAGGCAGCAATGATGACAGCCGTGAGAGGTTGAAGGACAAGCGCTGTGCAGCTTTCTAGCTACAACTCTAAAGAGACTACATCTCTCAGGAACCCCACCAAGTCCCCACGCAAGAGCGTTACCTAGGTTTGGGGGACAACAGTGTGACTAATTCGTATGGCGTACTGCCCAAGCTATCTTTGGCGTAGAACGTTCTCGCGCGAATATCTTCAGTGGCCTCTTTCCTTTGGTCCCCTCGCTTCACTGGCCCGCCTTCTCGTTCTGAACAAGTCAGGCCCATCCCATTTCCAAAGGTTCCCAAAAGTGCCAGTGCCCCTCACTGTGGTGGCTGAAGCTGTGCTCCCGCCTGCCGGTTTAGGAAGTCGTCTGTGGCTTGTTGCGGGGAACATCAAAGTGAACAGACTTGCGCGTTCGGGCGCCGCCAACTGCCTGCCTCATCCAGCGTGAGCCAATGACCAGCTGCGGCACCATCTCGACTCCTCATGCGGGTTTCATCCATTTCCGCCCTCCAAAGGCTGTCCTCTTTGCGAGCTGCTTCTCCTTCCATTCATACCTCGCTGAGGACTGTCAAACCCAAACCGCATCTTCCCTTTACACTCACACAAGCCTGCCGGCAGAGATTTTCCACAATGAACGCCGAGCAGCTCACTCACTACCTCGCTGATGCGCCACCGAGCGTGGTCAGACTCGAGATCGAGAAGCACTTTGAGCCCCTCACCGACAAACAGAAGCGTTATGCCCATTTCATCAGCAAGTAAGGATACCACCCAAATCTCGTGCGACATGCAACCCATCTGGGCCGATGTGTGCCAAGCTTTTCATGGGGGTCGGGTTCCGGGAAACTAAAGTGACATCCCAGAGCTTCATTCGCCGGCACCCGCATCGTGCTCAGACAGATCTCCCCGGAGTCGGAGCCCATCTACAACTACATCATTGCCCTCCACAAGGCCAGCGGTGGTGACTGGAACTCCCTCGCCAAGAAGGCCGGTGTCGACGAAGCCCAATTGACCCACTTCCTCGAGTATGCCGCTCAGTTCCTCGGAAACAATGGCAACTACAAGAGCTTCGGCGACTCCAAGTTCATCCCCAGAGCTGATGAGAAGACCTTCGCCGCTCTGGCTTCCACGTCTCCCGAGGCGGAGAAGTTCTATAAGGCTACCAACGGTGGCATCTTCAGCGCCGAAAAGCCCGGCCTGATGCATCTCGGCTTCCCGGACAAGGGTCACCTGACAACCTACTACCCCGATTCTCCCGACATCACCCAGGCTGAGATTGAGGCTGTATCTGGCTGGATGGAGAAGAAGGGTCTGCTGCCAGAGAACACCAGACTCCGCAAGACGAAGGAGGGCAACTTCGAGATGCTCATTGCGTCCGCTGTGACCAGCATTCCCGAGGAGGGAGGTGACATTGGAAAGGAGACTGAGTTCCAGATTGAGGATGGCTCTCTCAAGGGCAAGACGATCAAGCTGGTCTACGGCGACTACGCCGAGGAGATGAAGGCTGCTGCCGAGTACATCTCGAAGGCAGGCGAGAACGCCGACAACGAGACCCAGGCCAAGATGCATGCGGCCTACGCCAAGTCCTTCACTACGGGATCTCTGGAGGCCTTCAAGGACAGCCAGAGATATTGGATCAAGGACAAGGGTCCGATGGTCGAGGCCGATCTCGGTTTCGTCGAGACCTACAGAGACCCTGCTGGTATCCGTGGTGAGTGGGAGGGTTTCGCCTCCGTCGTCAACATGGAGCGCACCCGCGCCTTTGGCGGCCTCGTCTCAGCTGCTCCTAAGCTGATTCCTATTCTCCCTTGGGATAAGGAGTTCGAAAAGGACACCTTTTTGGCGCCGGACTTTACTTCTCTGGAGGTTCTTACGTTCGCTGGATCGGGCATTCCCGCTGGAATCAACATTCCCAACTACGACGACATCAGGCAGAACGAAGGATTCAAGAACGTCTCTCTCGGAAACGTCCTCAGCGCCAAGGCACCCAACGAGAAGATTCCTTTCATCTCCGATGCCGATCTGGAGCTGTACCAAAAGTACAGGGATCCTGCCTTCGAGGTGCAGGTCGGCCTCCACGAGCTGACGGGCCACGGCTGTGGTAAGCTGCTTCAGGAGACTTCTCCCGGAACCTACAACTTTGACGAGAAGAACCCGCCCGTCAGCCCTTTGACCAACAAGCCCGTCACTACGTGGTACAAGCCCGGCCAGACCTGGGGCTCAGTGTTCGGTAGTATTGCTGCCTCATATGAGGAGTGCCGTGCCGAACTGGTGGCCATGTATCTGGGATGCGAGTTCCCCGTGCTGCAGATCTTCGGCTTCGGCGATGGCACCACTGACATCAATAACGAGGCCGGCAACGTCCTGTACGCCGCCTACCTGCAAATGGCCCGCGCTGGTCTGGTCTCTCTTGAGATGTGGGATCCCACGAGCCAGAAGTGGGGACAGGCTCACTCTCAGGCCCGTTTCTCGATCCTTCAGGTCAGTATTCTCATCAGCTTTACCTAGGATCATTCACTGATGTTACGCAGTGCTTCTTGCAAGCCGGCGACGACTTCTGCAAGCTTGAGTACAAGAACGATGATCTGTCCGACCTGGAGATCAAGCTTGACCGCTCCAAGATCCTGACGACCGGTCGTGAGGGTAAGTTCACTGCTGCAACTGTCCAAAGACGTGTGTGCTAACAACAGACAGCCGTCGGAAAGTACCTCCAGAAGCTCCACGTCTACAAGTCCACGGCCGACGTCGAGAACGGCATCGCCTTCTACAAGGAGATGACCAACGTCGAGAAGGAATTTTGGGGCACCAAGGTCCGCAACATCGTTCTGAAGAACAAGCAGCCTCGCAAGGTCTTCGTACAGGCGAACACTTACCTCGACGAGGCCACCGGCAAGGTTAGCATCAAGCACTACGAGGCGTCTCCGGCCGGTTTGATCCAGAGCTGGGTCGACCGCGACTTGTGACTCCCCTCTTCATCGAAGCCGAGGACGATGGCGGCAGCAGCAGCGGCAGCCAAGTTGTGAGGGGCGTCTCGGCCAGGCAGACTTCACGACTGGGAAAAGGGGCATGACATCACGATGTAATTTTAAAAAATCAATCAACTTTTAATAACAATGCCTCCGAGCAGGGGGTTTTGAGAACACTGAAACGAGAGCCTAACGAATGGTAAACTTGTCCACCATGTACAGGCATGCACACTTTTGGCCTACAAAAGGAGAAAGAACCGCGGTTAGGCGTCATGTTCCGAACGTGTGTCCATTTGGTCTCTCCGAATCATCATTTGTCTCATAAAATCACAAGCCCATTCTGTTTCTCGCTAAGTGACTTTTTTGCTCTGCGTTTCTTCCGGTTGGGTTTCTTCTCCCCTTCGGTTGTGTGTGTGGACCAAGATTTTTATCTTTCTTTGTGTTGGATTTGAAGAACCTCATTACAGACGCCAAATGTGACCGATGCCGTCGACTTCCAAATGCAATTGGCAAAACCAGCCCAGCCCGTAGCCATAAGTTCTTCGTCGTCTACAACAACACAGTATCAACCCGAATTGATTTTTTCCCCCAACCGAAAAGGCGTAGTTGTTTTGATTTCGCCCCGCCGCCGCGCAGCGCAGAAATACAGAACATCATATCCCCCCGCACGTTGTTTTCCCCGACAAACTCCGGTCATGTAAGGAACCGTTTACCAGGTCATCTCGTGGGGCTTGTCACCCTTGCGCAGGCTGAAGGAGCTCGCCAGGTAGGAAGGCAGGAACTCGACCTTCTTGATGCTGGCGATCAGGGCCTTGTCGACGGCCTTCTGGTCAGCCGCACGGCTGCTGTTGACCTCCTTCTTCTGCAGACACACTCCAGTCAGTTTCTTGCTTTCCTTGGCATCACATACACAATGTGGATTTGCATATGTCGTCCTGAAACGTACCTGGGGCTTCTCTCCCTGCTTGAAGAAAGCCTCCTCACCAGCCTTCTGCTTGGTCTTGTCGGCGGTGAAGTACTTGGGTTGCGCGATCTCCTCAATCTTCTTCTCGTCGAGGCCGGAGACGTCGACCTTGTAGGATGTGGCGATGACGTAGCGGGAGTTGACGCGGCGGAGGGGGACGCCGTTGATCTTGAAGGGGCCGGTGACGAGGAGAACACCCTGCTCGAGGGTCTTCAGGAGGACGACGCGCTTGCCGCGGAAGCGACCGGCGAGGAGGATCAGGACAGTGCCGGGCTGGAGGGTCTTGCGGGGAGTCCAGGGGCGGACGGCCTTGCGGACCTATGGTGACATTCTCGTCAGTAATCATGTTCGCTCGGTGGTGGTTGTGTAATTCATGAATGTGTCATTCCCAGGTCACGAGCGGTTGTTCCTCCTCTTGATGTCTTGCGGTTGTTGCTTTCGTTCATCGAGCTGTGTGCACTCGTCGTTTTGTGTGTGTTGATTGCTTCTTCTCGGTGAGTCGCGGGATATGATGGCTTATTGTTCTGGCGATTTTGAAGATTGTCGATGTGCGCGCTTCCAGATTGTGGATTCCCATTTGTCCCCAAGACCTTTTTTTTGTGTTTTCTCTTGCTCGTGACCCGGTGTGTTCTCGATCCTCCGCACAGCCAACAACCAAGTCGACAACCCGCTCAAAAAAATCGCAAGGACGCTCGCTGTGTGCAGAAACTCACCTTCTTGGCCTCGGGCTCATCGTCGGCGTTGTACCACTTCTGCGCCTTCTGGGATGCGGCGGGGACGACCCGAGTGGACGAGCCGAACTTCTTGGTCGTGGATTCCGTCTTCGCCGACATGATTGCTTTCGGTCCTCGTTGAGGCGGCTGCTGGTGGTTAGCGGGAATAGGGAAACGAAAAAGAAGTTAAAGGTGGTTGTTCGCGTTCGGAGGAAGCGAGGGCTCAGATACGTCGAAATGGAAATGTGTGGTTGTGGGTTTACTCGAAAACCCTCACTGGACTAAGCCTGTTTTGGCTGGCAGAAACTTCGCGCGGAAGCGGTAAGGGCGGTCAGGCAGGGTACCCCACCTCGGTGGACTGCCAGGCGTGTACAGCCACCGGGGGCTGGTGCACGACTGCCAAAAAGACGGAAAAAAAATCATGCCGGGAGAACATCGGGCCTTGCCTTCGGCTGTCCGGGCCTTCAGGGCTGCAGTCACTGGACACCGAGCCCACGCCCGCCACTCAGTGCAGTCAGTCGTTGTTGGCTTCTGCGGCCTGGACCCGTCTGCAAGGCATGGCGGTGGGCCACGTGGTGATAAGATAAAGCTGTGTACTAGCACCCCTGGCCTCGCCGAATCTGCGAGAATGTGCCTGTGAAGTCTGCCTTCTTCGAGAGGTGACATCACGAAAGCATTGGATTTGGAGTATTTAGAGTTGCGTTTTCCTTCTTCCTGCCGGCCTGGGCGGTTTCATGACTTCTTTTCGACTGATTTGCTATTTTCCCGAGGATTTCAGCTACAATGCTTAGAAAACAACTCACCTCATCAGTCAGGCGTCTTGCTGGTTCGGCAACCCCAAGACCAGCAAGGCTGTTCACAAGAGCACTTCCAATTCTCAACGAAAGTGCCCTCAGAAGCACCAGAGTCTTACCAACGGTGGCCATTCGCACATACGCCAATGGCAGACCTCACCCCCCAGGTGGCACCCACACCATGAACATGGGTGGCGAGCCTGAGAAGCCTGCACTTGAGCAATACGGCATCGACCTCACCGCGAAGGCCAAGGAGGGAAAGTTAGACCCCGTTATTGGCCGTGATTCCGAGATCCAAAGAACAATTCAGATCCTGTCACGGAGGACGAAGAACAACCCCGTCGTGATCGGAAAGGCCGGTACCGGAAAGACGGCCATCCTCGAAGGCCTCGCCCTGAGAATTGTGCGAGGTGACGTTCCCGAGAGTATCAAAAACAAGCGTGTTATCGCCCTCGACCTTGGCTCACTCATTGCTGGTGCCAAGTTCAGAGGCGACTTTGAGGAGAGACTGAAGAAGGTCTTGACCGAAGTCCAGCAATCCGAGGGCGAAGTCATTCTCTTCATCGATGAGCTGCACACCCTGCTAGGCCTCGGCAAGGCCGAAGGTTCCATCGATGCGAGCAATCTGCTGAAGCCAGCGCTTGCTCGAGGCGAGCTTCAGTGCTGCGGTGCCACCACACTGGAGGAGTATCGCCTGATCGAGAAGGACGTCGCTCTTGCACGAAGATTCCAACCCATCATCGTCAACGAACCCACCGTCCAAGACACCATTAGTATTCTCCGCGGCATCAAGGACAAGTATGAGGTCCACCATGGTGTGCGCATCACCGACGGTGCCCTCGTCGCCGCCGCCACTTACTCAAACCGCTACATCACCGATCGCTTCCTGCCAGACAAGGCCATTGACCTGATGGACGAAGCTGCCAGTCACTTAAAGCTCCAGCACGAGTCCAAGCCCGAAGACATCATGGCTCTCGACCAAAAGATCATGACCATCCAAATCGAGCTCGAAAGTCTACGGAAAGAAAAGGACGTAGCCAGCCAAGAGCGCCGCGAGAAGCTGCAGGCCGACCTGAAAAAGTACGAAGAGGAAATCGCCGAGCTTACCAAGCGCTGGGATGCCGAGCGTGCCGAGATTGAAGGCGTCAAGAAGACCCAAGAAAACCTCGACAAGGCCAGAATCGAGCTCGACCAGGCCCAGAGAGAGGGCAACTTCGGGCGTGCTTCAGAGCTGAGATACAGCGTGATCCCATCTCTCGAGGCCAAGATCCCCAAGGAGGGCGAGAAGCAGAACGGAACTCTCATCCACGACGCGGTCACAGCCGACGACATTGCCGCGGTCGTGTCGAGGGTTACCGGAATTCCCGTCTCGAAGCTCACCTCTGGCCACATTGAGAAGCTGGTTCACATGGAGGACAGTCTCCGCCAAGCAGTCCGCGGACAGGACGAGGCCATCAAGGCCGTCTCCAACGCTGTTCGCCTCCAGCGCGCTGGCCTCAGCGGAGAGAACAGGCCGACGGCCTCGTTCTTCTTCCTCGGACCGACCGGCGTGGGTAAGACGGAGCTCTGCAAGAAGCTTGCAGGCTTCCTCTTCTCCACCGAGTCTGCCGTCGTCCGCTTCGATATGAGCGAGTTCCAAGAAAAGCATACCATCTCCCGTCTCATCGGCGCGCCTTCTGGATACGTCGGCTACGAGGACGCCGGCCAGCTTACTGAAGCTGTCCGCCGCAAACCCTACGCCGTCCTCCTCTTTGACGAGTTTGAGAAGGCGCATCGCGACATTTCCGCGCTCCTCCTCCAGGTTCTCGACGAGGGTTACCTCACCGACGCCCAGGGCCACAAGGTCGACTTCCGCAACACCATCATCGTTCTCACATCCAACCTCGGCGCAGACATCCTCGTAGGCGCGAACCCGCACCACCCGTACAAGGAGACGGCCGACGGCGAGATCGACCCTGATGTCCGCAAGGCCGTCATGGACGTCGTCGCCGCAAATTACCCGCCCGAGTTCCTCAACCGCATCGACTCCTTCATCGTCTTCAAGCGGCTGGCCCTCAACGCCATCCGCGACATCGTCGACATCCGCCTAAAGGAGCTGCAAGTCCGCCTCGACGATAAGCGCATCGTCCTCGACGTCCCCAACGACGTCCGTGACTGGCTCGCCGAGCGCGGCTACGATCCCAAGTTCGGAGCCCGCCCGCTGAACCGTCTCATCACCAACGAAATCGGCAACGGACTAGCTGACAAGATCATTCGTGGCGAGCTGCGGCATGGCGAGACGGCTGTCGTCTCGGTCAAGCAGGACGGCTCTGGTCTTGAGGTTGCGGCGCAGAACAAGGATTAAGCAAGCATGTATTTCTCACGACTTATGAACTTTTTTTTGTAATCAAGGGGTTTTCCCTCTTCAGGTGTCAGGAGTACCTTTGAGGATTCGGAAAAAAAGGCATGGATGGAATTCCCCTCTCACGATTTGTACCACAAACAGCATCTGCATCACCACTTAGAGCACATATGTCTGTACCTTAGACTGTACTTACACTGTTGAACATGAATAAGGATCAAACACCCGTACACCATCTGATAATGGTCGTGCGCTTATACCCACCTTTAGTGTTTAGACATTTGTCCTCTTCGAACCTTCTGCCATCATCCCTGTGACGTAGAGTACCCACAACACGAATGCGTTTACGGGAGTACATCCAGCGTCGAGAAGGCCCTAGTCGTAATGTATTTACACTTTGGATAGATCTAGATCGGTTCGTGAGCCGCCAAAGAACGTCAATTGGTCGTCACCAGGTAGATAGAATGAATCACGTCGTTCAGGACCGCCTATTTGTAAAGCGAATACAAGTCTATAACGATTTTGTCCCAACTCTGGCGTAAACTACCTAAAACCCTCCAAGCCCAACAACAAACAACAAGACCGGAAGACATATAACAGGCAAAATAACCCCTGAAAGGAGATCGACCAGTCGTGAAGAACCTTGCTAAGCCGTCGTATCGTAAAAACCCCCTTTCTCCCCATACCGAGAATGGCTTGGAGAACCAGTCAACACCGGAAAAGATATAAAAAGCAAACACCGATTTCATGAGATTCGCATCGAAAAAAGGCGAGAAAGCCAGGGTTCATGGTATGGCTTCTCCGTTGCATTTGGTCGGAGAACCCGTATAGAGTTGCTGCGTGTGCGTGTGTGGACTGTACAGATTTCCCAACCCAAGACGCCCCCTTTCTTCCAAAACGAAACTTGTCCTTTTGAGACCAGAATGTGTGTTTGCCGCGTCGAGAGAATGCCATTGTAGCGTGGCTCACGAGATGTCAGGGAGGACTACCACGTAAAAGGGGAAGGGGGGATGGATGGACGGAGGGAGAAAATGCGGTAAATGAGTTATGGACTATTCGATTGCCTTGTGACCGGTAGCTGCTCTGCGAATTACAACCGTACCAGAGGGATGACGTGAGAGAGTAGCAGAAGAGAGGGAGTCCGTCCGGCTTCTCTTCGCGTCTTTTACTGGTGGCCCGCCTTGCGCAGGGTGGTGGCAAGCCACTCAAGACCCTCGTAGAGACCATCACCGGAGGTAGCGCAGGTAGACTGGATGTACTATTGGGGAGGTCAGCGTGGCTGTCGTCGCGACAAGGCGCGGACAGGATACTTACCCAGGCGCGTTGTCTCAAGCTGTGGAGGCCAAGCTTGTCTGTGATCTCGGCAGCGTTCATGGCGTTCTGTAGTAGAGCAGGTCAGCCACATGCCCCAAAGTGAATCGGTTGGGACCAGGGGAAAAAGAACGTACGGGCAAATCCTGCTTGTTGGCGAAGACCAGGAGAATGGCATCGCGCAGCTCATCCTCGTTGAGCATGCGCTGAAGCTCCTCACGGGCCTCGACGATACGGTCACGATCGTTGCTGTCGACGACGAAGATGATACCCTGGGTGTTCTGGAAGTAATGTCTCCAGAGAGGACGGATCTTGTCCTGACCACCGACGTCCCACACGGTGAACTGAATGTTCTTGTACTCGACGGTCTCGACGTTGAAGCCTGGATGGAATTCGCGTCAGCGGGGGTTCTGGGAGATGTTTCCATTGAAGCACTGGGTTGGGGCTAGCGACGGCGGGCGGGGGCGCCACTTTCGTTGATGACACGGGGCAGGGCGACGGGACAATTGGGGGGGCAATTGTTGGGCATGCGTACCGATGGTGGGAATAGTCGTGACAATTTCACCGAGCTTGAGCTTGTAGAGAATCGTAGTCTTTCCGGCGGCGTCAAGACCGACCATCAGAATTCTCATCTCCTTCTTCCCCCAGAGCTTGTCGAAGATCTTGGAAAACGCGAGACCCATGGTTGCGATTCGGACTGTGATGTATGTCTAAGTGTCGGGTTTGAGTTGAGAGGAAGAAGTAATCTAAAGAAGAAGTAAGTGTAAGCGCAATGATCCAGAGCGTCGATAGAGCAAGCAATTAATTAAACAGTGGTGACGTCGAGAAAGGCGAGTGCAGGTGTGGGCGGCATATAAGGGTATGGAAAAAAAGATGTGCCTCCCGAAAGAGGACAGATCTTTTTCGGAGACGGGATCGGGTCACTGACGACAGTGTGCCTGATGGCGCTGCTGACACGGGCAAAAGGCGGATGGGATGGATGGCGAGGTCCAAGTTTCGATGTTGAGGTTCAGGCTGCCGCAATTCGCAAATGGAGGAGATAGCGGGATAGGAAGAAGTGGATGTAGACGACAGGCGACGTGGAGGGAGGGATAGGGATATTGGGTTGGGGGGCCCGTAGGGTGGGCTGCTCTCACTCAAGGCGGCGTAGGCCTAAGGTGGTGTATTCCTGAGGTGTCGTGTCCAGACCAGACCGATGCAGGCACGCAACGCACGCGCGCAAGAGCAACTTTGGCCGAGGGGGGTGGTAAAGGGGATTGGGAAACCGAGAGACGAAGAAACGAGACGATGCCGCCACCAACACTTGCAGAGGCGAAGCTCGCAGCAGACGACCAGGTCCGGTACAGACAACGGGCGCAGATGGATAAAAATTAGGAAATGGAAACCACTCACTCACTTCTTCGCGACGGGCTCCTCGACGACGGCGACGGGATGCTTCTTCGATGGGGGTGCGGTTGTGATTGTCGGTGAAGGGGGGAAACTGTCAAGTGTCGAGAGGTTAAGGTGGAATAGAGGGGTGGCCTTTGGTAACATAAGTTCGGCTCGGCGAGGTTGGTGGTGATTTGGGGGACCAGAAAGGCCATGTTTTTCAAACTCTGAGTCTCCACTCTTGACCACCGCTACGAACGGACGCCACCACTCTCTGGACCGCCAAGGTGTACCTCTGGCAGCTAAGGGGGCGCTGGAGGTACCTGTCACGCCTGCTTACCTCGCCTTCCTTGCGTGCTTGCTTCTGCTGAAGCCCAACCACGGGCCACTCAAAACCACTCAAACATGTCCCCTTTCCATCCCTTCCAGCGCTCGTCGACCACTGGAGACCCTTCTGAAGCACCGAGTATCCGCATCACGTGGGACCAGCGCTAGCCCCTTTTGGGGTCAGCCTCAATCCAACCAAACTTCGCCAAAGTGTCCAGACTCTTGTGACAGGGATAACCTCCAAGAACCGATCTGGAGAACAGCCTGGACACAACCAACGTCGCTCCTTTTTCCCCGTGGCCCTGCTTGCCTGCCTGCCCGCCTCTGCCTCACGACTACGGAATAGCTCGTGACTCTGCTGCCGTTGCAGTCTGACGTCTTTCTGGCCACCGACATCGTTGAGCTTCTCGCACCCCCCTAGCTCCTCCCGCAAAGCTCTCGCCGGCATGATCTTCCCTTCGGTCGCCAAGCTGCTCCTCGCAGCTGGCTTCGTCCACTCGGCTCTCGCCCACAACATCCAGCTGCCCGCCCACGGCCGCGAGTGCTTCCACGAGTCGCTGCACCGCGATGACAAGATGACCGTCACCTTCCAGGTCGGCGACCGTGAGTTTGGCAGCGCTGGCAACCTCGATATTGACTTTTGGGTATGAGCAACCACAACGTCGCATATGGGTCATGGAAACCGCGATTCTACGCGCCCAATGGTTTCATTAGTGGGATTGGGACGTCAAGAGCTAACTCTGTGGCTTGGTAGATCACGAACCCTATGGGCCAGTACGAGACCTTCGACAAGAGTGTCTCCAACGGCGACTTCTCCTTCGACGCGAAGCACGACGGCAAGTACACCTACTGCTTCGGAAACGAGCACTGGGGTGCCCACAGCAAGGAGGTGTCTTTCAACGTCCACGGTATTGTCTACGTCAGCGAGACCGATGTTCCTGCCGATCCTCTTGAGGTCGAAGGTAAGATGAGAAGGCTTTGAACATGCTCCCTGGGCCAATTGGTCTAACAAGATATCCCCCAGTCAAAAAACTCTCCGAACTGCTTGCTCAGGTCAAGGACGAACAATCCTACATTGTCATCCGTGAGCGCACCCACCGAAACACCGCCGAGAGCACCAACAGCAGAGTCAAGTGGTGGAACCTGTTCGTTATTGGCCTCGTTGTGGGAGAGTCCGTCTTCCAGGTGTGGTGGCTGCGTAGATTCTTCGAGGTCAAGAGGGTTGTGTAAGCTTGCGCAAGTTGTTATCGTTTGCGGGATACCCGTGCTGGGACGACTGGTTGGCGTATAAAAGGCGGTCCTCTGCGGGTTACAAGACAACAGGCTTAAAGCTTGGTCTTGGCTCTAGAGACCCAAAATGCATGTACAGTGTATCATAATCACACATGAATGGACGAAAGACGAATGGTTCTGAACATCCCTGTTTTCCAAAGACGTTGATCTCGACTGGGATGGTTGTGCAAAGTCTCGCCTGGGGAATCGCGCGACAAGAACCATGGCAGGCTCGTCGGGTGCGAGAACCACTTGACGGGGAACCAGAAGAAGCCAGAAAAGCCGTGAACGACATACATCGAGGGGTTTCCTCAACCAACCTGGTACGAGAAGACACATTGGACAAATGCGGCAAGAGCATATTGCGGCATTAGCCTTCAACGACATGGTGGAAACTAGTCATCATGTCCATGAAAGGATTCCGGTTTTCGTCAGACGGGATGACTCTTCTCATAGCGTCAGTGCGCCTTCCTAATGCCACCTGTAGTTCAGGACCAGCCGGTTCCTGGAACGGCACTAGACAGCAAGGCTTAGATCGTGTCCGAGCCAAGGAATGTCAAATGTCTTGACGGCCGCCTCTCCCAAGACTTCTGCCACCTGTCAGAACGAAGACTGAATTCCAGCTGCCTAGACATAGCTCCAACGGCGCAGCCCACCGACGTCTTTCAAAGAGGCATCTGATCACAAGACAAGGTAGGTGTCAGTCAGTTTGTCAGCACAAATTTTGCAAAATGCTGCATCGTTTGAAAGCTTGAATTGTAATTTGTTGTTGGTCATCGCTGTGGCCATGTATGACTCCCTCTAACCTGACAGTCATTATGTACATCATCCATCATGTATACGGCCAATGCATTATGCCTTTCCTACAATCGACACCAATTCGTATCGTGTGGCCTTGAAAAGAATCCAACAAGCCAACCCCAAGACGCCATACCATCTAAAAACAACCAAGGTGGCCTTTATAGTAAAATGAAAACAAAAACATCATCCGTCATGTAGCCAAAGAGGGCCCGCTAATTCATGCATTAGGATCAGACTCCGGAACGGCATTCTCCTTGTCTTCCTCGGGTATCGCCTCCACAGGCAACTCAACACCCTTGACGGGGTGGATGAGCATTGGCGGCAGGCACATGCGGCCCTCGCCGCCGCGCATCTGGCCGACGCTCGAGCCATCCTTGGTGGTGTCCTCGGTCTTCTCGAACTCCTCGCCACCGTCGTTGTTAACCCTGAGGCCAAGCCATCTGCGGTACAAGTTCGGGGCGAAACCAGAGTTGTAGAACCAGGACAAACCACGCAAGTTGTGCTCGCGCTGGCCAAACACAGCTGTGCGAGAACCACCACTAGCGCCGTTCTTGCCACCGTTGAGGACCTGGGCCATGTACTCTGTGGGCCACTCCCTGTCGACATACATGGGGTGAGGTGCGAAGACGGCCTTGTATCCGTGGTGGAAGGCAACCGTGGCAGGCCACATCTCGGGGAATGCGAAGTGCTTCTTAAAAGCCGTCTCGCGGTGCATCGTCATCAAGAGGCGACGGGACATGCGCGACGCGGTGATGATGTGCGCTCTTCTCGGAGGCATGCGCTCGTTGCGGTTGTTCTTGTTGTATCCGGTGATGTCTTCCGACAGGAGCCAAGTGGTGCCTTCAGGGTCAAAAATGGGGTTGAAGGAGATCAGATCAGCCTCTTCGCCGACTCCCCATTTGTACTTGTCCTTCTCGTAGCTGGTAGGGGGCTTGGGGTCCTTTTCGATCTCAAACCAATCCTCCTCATTCAGAGGTCGCTCCGGGCCCCAGATAGTCTTCTCTGCGCGAGAAACCTGAGTGGGATCCTTGCCGTCCTTGCTCTTTGCGCCGGGCATGTTCTTCCACATGTTGTCGGCTCCGTCAGTGCCCATCTCAGATTGAACGCGAGCCATCTGTCTAAAGTCCTCCCATGAGCCGTGAACACTCGGGAGGTAGAAACGGGAGTTGCGTTCCCAAAGGCCCTTTCGAGGCTGCTCCTTGGCCCAGTTCTCCATCTTGCTGAAGAGGTCGTAGTAGTGTCCAGTGTAGCGGATGTCCATCTCCCAAGACCAGTAGTAGTCGTATTCGGGGTGCTGGTATGCAAAATACTGCATAGCCATCGAAAGACCGCGATAAACACCATGAACTGGCAGGTCGGGACCACGGGTGAACAGGTCAAAGAGACCCTGGTAGAGGGAGAGCATCTGTGTCTCTGTCCACAGCGTCACAAGACCTCTGAACTCTTCTGGAATACGTTCCCTGATACGGCGCTCGTAAACTTCGTGGTCGGCGAAGACGGGGTGGGCGGCGTCATTCTTGATCTGAACGAGGAGGTGGATGTCGTAGCGTCCGCCAGAGGCCAGGGCCAACTCGGAAATGACGGATCGGACGTTCATAATATCATCCTCGCGCCAGTTGTACTCGTCCCAGACACGGATCACGACCGCAGTGCGAGCGCCCTTCTCTTCGTCCTTCTTTGGCTCTTCGCTGGCAGGCTTGCTCTCGCTCTTCTCCTCGGGCTTGCCATCTTGGACGGGTTTCGCGGTGGGCTCCAAGTTGTCCAGGGGATCGCGGGCAACCAAGGTAGCGTTTTGAATAGGCTCGTCAATGTAGAAACCACGCGCCATTGGGACCTTGGGCGGCATGGCCTTGAATCTTTGCGCATTGGACTGGTAGCATCGTTGCTGAGCATCCGCCCAGTTGACTTTGCGCCAATCCACCTTGGCAGCCTGTTCCCAGACGGCCTCGGAGCCCTCCTTCTCGCCGTGTTCACCGACGCCAAGACCACCGGCGGGGACGGAGTATCCGAAGCCATAAGGACCGTAGCGTCCGAAGCGCTCGTAGCAGATGTTCTCAGGAAGGTTCAGGAGCTCGTAGGATCCCTCGACGTGCTGGGGGAATCCTTGGGGTCGGCCGTCGAAGTAGCGAATCGGCGGCACACGAACCTTGTTCTCCTTGTCGACAAAGCACTCAGTAATCTTCTCGGGCTTGGTGTTGAAAATGGAGTCGGGGTGATCGAGGAACATCTTGCTCTTGGGCACCGATCGCCTCACGGCGTCGTCAATGCCATCTTCGCTGGTAGCAGTCGCCGTTGTGTTGATGTCGAGCTGATCCAGGGGAGTCTCATCCTCGGACCGAGGGTAAGAGGGAATATAGTTCGTGGGGGGAACAACTGATCTGATACCGCCATAGTATCTTTGGAGAAAGCCGAAGGATTCCCATACGGGGGGAGGGTCCGGCTTCTTCTCCACCTTTCCCTCCGAAATCATCTTGTTCTCAACATGACTGGCGCGCGCCAATGACATGATCATGACCAGCATAAAGGTGAGCAGACCAAAGCAGAGATATCTGATGATGCGGTTGGGCAACCTGTACATGTGGGTTCGCGGTCGGCGGGCAGTAGCGAGCGCTCGTTTCGGCAGCATCAAGGCGGCGCTGGAGAGGGAAGACGAGGTATTTCTTGAGCTCCTCGCACTTGGTGAGGATGTCGATGTGGTAGAGTAACCGTCCGTGTCTTCGTCGGAGTAGTAGTCGTCGTCGTCATTGGAGAGACGCTCCTTGGTTCGCAACGGACTCAGCTGCTCGTACTTGGGTAATCTGGCCCCGCGGTTCTCGCGAGACCGCAGAGGGTTTGAGAAGAGACCCATGGTGGCTGGTTACCGATGGGTTCGAGTCTGGAGGCTCTGGTGTTAGCCGCCAGAGAAGAGTAGACGAGCGCAAGCGGTTCTTACGACTGGAAACTTCAGGGCAAGTCCAGTTCGGTTGTCAAGCCCGTCTGTCGGGCAGTTGTCTGATGGTGTTGCTCAGTCGAGTAGAACGGAATCCGGCGTCGATGCGTTCGTTTAGGCGTTCGGTAGAGGAGAGTCGACCCAGGGGGGAGTGTGGGAACTGGACCTGGGGATCGTACGGAGACGGAGACAGACAGCGACTAAAAGGCTGTTTGTAAGTCGAGTCTGTACTGGGTAGGCGTTGGCGAAATAATGTACAGTACTGCAGGCCAAAAAATAATGGAGATGAGGATTGGAGACGCGATGCTAGGGCATCATATGGAAATGAAGCACAGCAGGGGGAAACGAGAGACGGAGGTCAGTTCGGGCCAGCAATGTCCACCTCGACTAATATGGATCTCTGGTCAAGGTCAGGTTGGATGGATATGAACGACCCAGCGACGGCGGGACAACGTGAGAAAAAAAGGCAGGAGAGAAAAATAGTACAAGTACCTACGTCAGGTACGTAACTCCTTTCGTCTGTCGTCTGTCTGTGTGTGGTGGGTGTCGGGTGTGTGTGCTTGCTTGCTTGGTGGTGGTGCCAATTGTGCGCCAGTGGGTGTGCCACTGGTTCGGCAGTCCGATGGGCGGTTGGCATGGCACACAGTGTGTACACTCGAGTGTGCATGTTCGACTTCCCGGTTCGGTGAGGTGGGGCGTGTTTTCCCCTATCCCACGCAATCGCCACTATAAAGACTGGATCTGATTGGGGAATCGGTGGAGAGCTCTGGACGATGACTGGCCAACAGGGGCAAGTTGCTCTGAGCAACCACCAACGACCAGGCTCGGCGGGCTTGAGACCTGGATGCAAGAGCACCATGCAATGGATGTAACTCGATGCATGCCGCAGTGCTAGTTTGCATTCTGCCCAGACTGACCGCTCACCACTCCCAGCCAGCACATGTGCTCGCCAAACGCTCCAGGGAACTTGAGATGTGCGCGCCAATGCGGGACCAGCAACGTCTTGCCAGGCCTTGCAGGCGCAGCAGGGGTCGCCGCCTTGGTCTCGACTGCTCGCTGGAGCCACCGACTGGGGTCTCCCTGACAACCATTTAGCGACCTCCGGGACTGCTTGCCCGCTACGGTTCGGCTCCCTGGTTCGCGCCGTTTCCACTTCCCGTCCTCTGGCAAATTCAGGACCGTCAAGCGCGCCTTTTCCTGGCACTGTCCAGGCCAGCCTGCTGAACCAAGCGATTCCTCCGGTCTCCTTTCCGAAGCAGGACGCTGGACCATGCAGTCCACTTCGTCTTTGGTCAAGACGCCGGCCGGGACCAGCCCAACAGACAAAGCCGCGCCATACGTCCAATACTGCACTGCGTACGGTCCACGTCCAAGTCGTCGAATGGACGCCGTCGAATCGTTTCCTGTCTTGTCACGACTCGTCGAACCGTCAAAGAGACTGGACGAAGCTGCAACATGGTCGGACGCGTTCTTCGGTTTCGTCTCAACATCCTTCTATTCTAATGCTCTTGGCCCTTCCATGAGACAGTCTCTCTTGTTGGCTAGAAATGCTAAGCCTCGCAACTACCGGCCACTGAGATATGTGCTAATCGACCCATCCCCGACACCAATTGCGAGTTCAGTCTGAAATTCCTGATCCATCCATGCACCCCGCAGTCTCCTCCAAAAGTCTCCGTCGCCGACGTCACGGTGCCAAGTTGGAGATTGTGTGGCCGGCGATTCCAACGAACAAGATGCCACCGCGACTCAGAACAGAGATTATCCCAATGAAGGCTCATACCGGAGCGCCAATCCATCAGTCCGGACCGTCAATCACAACTCCCGCATGTCGGCCATTCAGTCTCCAAATTCCAGAGAGAACAAATTTAGAACATGTCCGAGATTTCCCACCCGAATATCGATATGCATATCCATTTTTCATCTCCTCATGCGCGTGGCTGAGGCGGCAGAAATCAGGCCTATTCGCAGTGTCGCCCTCCGATGCAACCCCCCTATGTTCATCCCTGATTAACCCTATCAACATACCTTACCTACCAATCTACCCATCTCATTCTCCCGACCTCCTCGCCACCGCGCTTGACTCTTCCGCATTCTTTTCGGCTGCTTGTTGTCAAAGAGGGCAACGAGAGAGACACCACTAGTAAAAACAGCGCCGATAAGATCACTTTTTACGGGCCTTGACGCGTCCCGTCTCACCAACCACGGCCCGTCTCCGTCAAAAAGCTGCCTCCCGAGCAAAATCTGCTGCAGCCAGCCGAAAGCCACATTCCTCGATGGTCCATGCTGGCCGCCGTGTTGGTCCTTGGGTACACGTCAACACAGTTCGTATTGAGGCACAACAAATCAATAGGTGATTTGGCGCTTCTAGAGTTGGGCAAACTTCGTAAGCCACGGTCCCGGAGCGTTCCCCGGTAAAAATAGTCTTCACTACAGCGGTGCGAGCCCAACTTCAAGTGCGCGCGCTGCGACCGTGACGCAACTCTATCATAAGCTTCTCCTACTAGCGAGGATCGGAGAAAACTGGCACTGTGGCAGCCATGTAACCCCAAAAAAACATAAAATGCGTTCGCCAGACACGCCAGTGCAGTGCGGCTGCAACTCGAGCTCGCTGAGAGCTGTCAAGTCTTTTGAGACACAAACCGCAGCGACATCTGCAAAGGCCCGACTCCAAGTGCACCACACAGCAGCCGCCTGTGCCAATGCCAACCTCCCTCAACCAACAACCAGAAACCCAGCCCACTGTTGACTGAAGATCAAACTTATTTGCTCCTGAACATCCCACAAGACGACATCATGATACGGGGTGCAGCCAGCCTGAAGGGGGAACCCTCCGAAGGAACTTGACCGATCAGCTCCCGTCCAAACACCCAAGTGGCCCCCAAATGCGGGGAGGTAACAGTGTGGTGACTGGCCACCATTGAACCCGTCGTCGTACACAAGATAGTTGGCCCCAACCTCCTGTCTTCCCTTCCTGTCGGAGGATTTCCAGAGCACCCTCCGTCACCGGCCGTCTGGGTAACATTCACCCGATCCGGCGGTGGAACCCCAGCAACCTCAACCCAACGTCATGTAGGAGTTCTCTCCGCTGGGCCCAGCGGCCGTTGACCGTCCTTTCCGGGTGGGGTCTACTGCGCCGGCCGTCTGCTATTTCGCCGGAGCATGTCGCCCGATACCGTCTTCTTCGTGATAGGAGACGTCTCTTCAGCAGAAGGACGTTTGCTCCTACTGTTGCTGCCGCCACTCCGCCTTGGACCCTGAAAGACCGTTGAAAAGGCCAATTGGTGAGGGTGTCCTCCTGACCGGTAGTATCCATTATTAGCCCAAGCCTCCTGGGAATCCGGGGTAATCTGTCACGAGGGCTTCAACAACGAACTTGCATGCTACGGGGTCCCAGGACAAAGGTACTTGCTATGTCCTAGTCTGCTCGCCGAGGCGGGAACTCTGCCCATCTCTCGCCCTCGCACGAGCCCAATAGGTTGCAGGTCGCATGTCCTCAAGGGCTATATGCGGCGCCCAGCTGTGGTTCGAGCTTCCGCCCTCCGGCCCTAGCCACTCACGTTTGACCCTTTTGTCACTTGATCAGCCAGCAGGCCGTCGTCCACCGCCAGACTTCAGTGTTCCCCCCTCAGCTCCCGAACCCCGCATGCTGTAGACCTGCAACGAAAACGCTGCCGGCCCTAGGAAGTTTGAACCTCGTGTGTCTCGTGGCCACTCGTTTCTGGCTGTGTCAGGTCAGCTTTACCTCATACTGCCTCTGACCGATCTTGGCTCCCTTTCCGCCCTGCTCTCTCTCTTCTCTTTGTCCCAAGGTGCCTCCTCCTCCTCGTCTTCCTCCACACCCCGTCTTATAAGAAATCTATCCGTTCCATCTCTTTCCTGGGGAAACCGCTCGCGTGCTTCATTGCCCCTCAGTCTCGAGCCAGGCGTAGGCCGTGCATATTAGTGCCCATGCGTCTCTCGTAACAAGCACAGCAGCCATGTCTGTCTCCATCACGACCACCACGTCCTCACCCACCCGCCTCCACGAGGACCCTCTCGCCACTGCGGACGCCTGCGGCGTGGGCCTGGATCTCAACCAGGTTGCCGTCAACTGCGTCCTCAAGCAGCAGCCCATCTCCGTCACCCTCAATGGGCCCGCAATCTTCACCTTATCTATGAGCCTGGCCCTTATCATCCACTTCCTCGAGCCCAGGATCGCAGAGTTCCTCATCATCCTCGTGCCCATCCTTCTCCTCGTCCGCAATGACTATCAGAACTTCCTCGGCCTCGGGCCCGGAGGTACGCCGGCCACGTTCCAGGGCTACATAAGAATAGCCTGGCTCCGGTTGTGGGCTCTCCGGGATCCCTTCACCGCGCCGGACCCGAAGCCCAACAGCCTCCCCAAGAGGGGCATGCTCATCCAGCAAAACGACGACCAGAGCTTGAGCCGGCTGCCGTACCGCCCCGGGCCGCGTCCGCTCGTCGCCGGGATCGCTCCGCAACGTCAACTGGACCAACACGGAACAACTTCACACTACCACGCACTGAGGCAGACACTTGAGCGCCTCGCAGCCGAGAAGCCGCTCAAATTCGGCACAGCGAGGTCTTGTCTGGAAAAGCACGGCCTCGGCCTATTTGCCCGGCACCCAGTCAACGTGACCTGCAACGGGGAGGTGTGTCATGTTCACGACTCAGATCACTCGTTGCACATGAGCCTGCATCCCGAAGACATCCGAGAGGTTCTCGCCAAGGGATGGGGCCAGCGACATCCGCTTGCGTGGAAAGGAAGACTCGTACAGATGCCTGTGCCGGAGGAGTTCATCATGGTATACGCGCCGAGAGGTGAGTGAAATTATTAAAAGAAAAAGACGCACGAGTTTGGTTGCTTCTTATCGCTGAGAGCAACGAAAAAGTATGCGGTTTTAGCTAACATGATTTTTAGACGACCATGAATTAAAGATTGTATGCCGCATTATCGAGGCAGCTATCTGGTACGTCGTCTCCGAGAAGACTGAGATCAAAATCGAGAAGGCCATCTAAGATGGCTTCTCGTTGAAAACGCTCATATATATATAGCATCGTTTCTTTACACTAAAGGGGATACAACCTGGACGAGAAGGCGTTGGATGAAGCACGTAGATTACAAGTACAAGATAAAAGCTTTGGGAATATTGAGATTGATTTTGCCCCGAGGTCCTGAGCTTTGTGATGCTATGTCAAAAGGTTCTATCACTGAAAGTCCCCGCCCACGCCCACCAGATGCTGGTGTAAAGAAAAGCCCTGTCGTTTCGCCAATAAGAGACGTATCTCAGTCACTGTCGCTTGCCTGATCCTTCTTTGATTGTTTAAATTTCTCCCTGCCCGTCGACACAGACGCCTCAACCACCCGGCCATCGAAACTGCGCCCGTTCATAAGCTGTATGCATGCCTGCGCCGACTCTGGTTTGGAGAACTTGACCGACACCACACCATCCGGCTCCTCGTCGTAAAGCACCACATTAGTCACGGTACCCAGCTTGGAGCACTCGTCGCGAATATCCTCCTTGATCTCCAGCAACGCAGCCGGGTCCTCAGCCAACTCTTCGAGGGTGAACATGTGCTTCAAGATGACCGTTTTATCCCATTTGGAGTTGGTCTCAGTCGGCATCATAGACGGCTCGTCGTCGCTCCAGTCAGCAAGCTTGGCTGCCATCTTCTGCGTCTTGCGAATGATCTTTTGCCTGTCCTTGTCGTTGCGCTCTCTCTTCTGCTGTCCGTTTGACGACCCGCCACTCTCCTTCCCCTCAGCTCCCGCCCCGTCTTCGTATTGTGTCTTCTTGTAACTTGAGTCTGCCGCTTGAACACGCATCCTTGGCTGTCCCGCCGGGCCATCGAAGCGGAAGTCCGTGTCGTCAAGGAGCATGATGGCCATCTCGACGCTCTGCGGCTTGAAGAAGACAACCAGCGCGTCGCCCTTGAAGTTGCCGCTCTCACCCGTGTACATCTTGATTCGCGGGCGACCACTGTCAATCTCTTCGGCGATGACGCCTGCCTTACGCGAGAAGAGCTCGTGGACCTCGTCGGCTGTTGCGTCGGTGGGCAGACCGGTCACGTACACGGCCGTGTTCTGGCGCGGCTGCGGCGGCGCGCGCGCAGGTTTCGACTTCTTTGCCGGGCGGTTGTTGCCGTTGCCTCCATTTCCACCTCTGTCGTCCATCCCGCTCGGGGAATCTTTGCGTTTCCTGGAGTTCGCGTTTGGTGCTTCGCTACCTCCTGGGCCGACGCTGGCACTGGCGCTTCTCGAGAGATCTGCGAGCTGTGCGGTGTGGTCGTCGTCGAGAGGCTCGAGAGGTTCGTCTGCTGCCTCAGCCCATGTCGCGGTCGCGGGGTCGAACTCGAGCTCGGTGCCGTCGTCGAGTACAGCTAGGTACTTGTTGTCCAGCTTGGAGAAGGAGATGCGCTCGTCATTGCCGAAGTCGCCAATGGACGTCGGCAACGGATCCTTCAATTGATCTGCCATGCTGTTATGTAGTCGTAGTGTTGATGGGAGGTGTTCGGCTCACAAAGGTATCGAAATTAGCCAACGAATGGGCGAAGACTTTGGGTAACGGTTGTTGCCTATGTTTAAGCTTGGGTCTGGAATGCAAAGCGCATTCTTGGTGACGTTAGTGGAGCAACGGCAGTGAGCTGCAGGGAACATCAGTGCAGGACTTGGGGTCGTGTGGGGTCATCGGATCTAACGCGAGCTTACCGCGAGGATAAGCTGCGAGCTATCATGTCAACCATCCAATGCATTGCGCCAGTGAAATCCTCACATTGTTGCAATGCATGTATGTTCAAACAACTGATAGGTCTCTAACAAAACCTATCTCGTTGGGACGAATCATCTTGCGTTCTCCAGCGATGTGCATCACCCCTAAAAACAAAACGTTCGGCAGAGTGCATTTCTTCGTTATTCTTCAGTGTGCTCGAGAGTTCTCTATATTCATCCCCGTCTATCGTAGGATCGCCCCGCCCTTGCATGCCTTCAACCCGTTTCCACTTAGCCCTGCTTCTTCTCCTTGACCGTTGATTTGACTCCCTCCACGAACGCCTCCACAGCTTCACCGCCACCTAGAGGCATGGCACCGCCCCTCATGTAGCCACCGTTGGGGACCTTGACCTTCAGGGCCTCCGCAACAGTCGGAAGGCCACCATCACGAAGAGCCATCGTCAGGCTGCCCAGGGCCTGGTGGAACTGAGGACTTCTCAGGACTCTCTCCAGCAAACTCTTCTTCTCCGCCAGGCTCAAGGTGGCCATGGCGGCGGCTGCAGCATCTGCTGAAGGCTCCGAGTCACCCAGGTCGTCATTCTCCGTGGCCAGAACCACAATTGCTGGCGGCAAGAAGCCAAGCAGCGTGTCTATGTACTCCTCTGGGGCTGAGCGGAGCATGGGAATGGTAGTCTCGTTGGGGAGCAGGTGGTGCAAGTATGGAAACGGTTTGTCAGCTTGCTCTTGGCCGCGCTGTTGAGATCCCGCCAGGGAAGAATTGCCCTGTAATGAGGCCAAAAAATTGCGAACAGCAGCGTCCGCGTCGGTGTTACCAGAGCTACCCCCTGCGCTATCAATCAATTAGCCTGGGTTCATATCAACAGATCAAGCCGTGGGCACCACGAAACAATGGCAAACTCCGAACCCTCGTCTCTTTTGAAAGGCTCTAAAAGTACAGGTGGCGCCGTTTCGCGGGCCTCACGTCTTTCCCTGACCGTGCCAAAGCAGTCCGTATGATTCTAATGACCCTGGACTCCGACCGCAAGAGACATGCATTGGAAGGAAACCTACGCTCGAGCTCCATCGCTGCCACCCTCTCTAGCATTCTCGCCCTCTTCACGAACGTCGCCGCCTGTTGCGCCGGCACCAGCGCCGCCGCTGGCCGGGTGGTCTCCTTGGCCCTCGGCATCTTCCATTGTCTCGTCGTCGTCGTCGTCCCGTCTGTCGTCAGTGTTGCGGACCTGCGCCAGCTCTCTGTTGACGTTCACATCCTCGCCTTGAAGGAGTGCGTTGACGACCTCCCCAATCTTCTTGTCACGGGGGCTGAACCAGCTGGGGTCACCGGTGCGGGACTGAGGCTTCGACTGGAGCCAGAAGAAGTGTCGCTGGGAGGAGGAGCCAAACTTAAGCACAAAGACGCGGCCGTTGGTCTTTGCTGTGGGCTGGTCGGAAGGAGTATGGGGGAGGAATTCGCCGTCCATCGGAACCATGACGAGGTCGAGATCGGGAGAGTCCATGGCGGCGCTGCGCTCGCGCCAGCAGAAGTGGATCAGATCTGCCGCTGGTTAGATGCTGTCTATGGACTAATCCCTTGCAATTGACGTACCATCTTCGGAGTAGAGGTAGATGTAGCCGGGCGTAGCCTGGGGCTTGACCTTGTAAGGCTTGCTGGAGGTCTATGGTTAAGTCAGCGAACCGGGGTCTGGAGCGTAGAAGCCGAGTAGGTCACTGACGTCTGCCTCGCAGATACCGGCCTTGAAAGTAATTATAGGCACGATCGACATGTTGTGCCTTCGACCTTGTGGTATCTGAGAAAAAGAAGTGAGGTTGAGGAAGTCGAGGTTGAGATGGGTAGATGGCCGTTTGAGGTGCAGGTGTGGTTGGCGTCACGTTGAGCTCGTTTGGATTGGAGCTCTCTCGAATGCAATTGCGTAGGAGCTCCCTGCCTGCGTGCACCTCTGCCTGCCTCAGGTGGGCTGGCCGCCAATCCCACATGCGCCAGTGGCCACCCCTCCACCTCAGCCTGCAGGGCTCCCTGCGGGCCGTCCTTAGTCCGGCGAGGGGATGGATGGACCTTGAGAGCGGCGCTGGGCAACCAGAAAGTGGGGTCCGTGCAAACCCAGAAGCGCAGAAGCAGAGAGCACCGCACCGCAATCAAAGGGAACAGTCAAAAATTTCCCAAACCCCACCTCGACCTATTTGAACCTGAACCTCTACACTTCCTCACCATCTCCTGCTTCTTCCCTTCCAGATACCCCTTTTCTTCTCTCCAAACCTCTTCAAAACGCAAAAATGGGCTTCGCCGACCTTCTCACTGATGCTGGTGCTGCCAGTAAGTTTCTGCAGCGTTGAATTCTTTCTTTCTTTCATCGACTGACAGTGAGTCAGTGCTGAACAGCTGGCTCACCACCCGCTCCTACATCGTTGGGTATGTTGACACCTTCCTCTCTAATGAACCCCTCTCGAGCTACTCGGATTCCCTCCCTTCCCAATCCTCGCGGCAACAACATGATGAGAAACATTGGTCCGTGTTTCGGAGGCAGCTTAAGACCCTGCTAAACGACGAAACAACAAGCACTTCGGTGCAACTCTGAACCCCGCATTGCCCATTCACATTTTGATCCTCAGCATCGTTGGGCATGAACATTGTCGCTGACCATTAGCACAGCCACTCTCCTTCCCAGGCCGACGTTGCCGTCTACAAGGCTCTGTCCTCTGCTCCCGACGCTGAGAAGTACCCCAACGCCGCCAGATGGTACAAGCACATCTCCACCTACGAGAGCGAGTTCGCCACTCTCCCCGGTGATGCTTCCAAGGCCTACTCCGTCTACGGCCCTGAGGCCTCTGAGCTCCCCGTGAACCCCGCCAAGGCCCCCGCCGCCGAGGAGGACGAGGACGACGTCGACCTGTTCGGTTCCGACGACGAGGAGGAGGATGCTGAGGCTGCCCGTATCCGTGAGGAGCGTCTGGCCGAGTACAAGAAGAAGAAGGAGAACAAGCCCAAGACCATCGCCAAGTCCGTTGTCACTATGGATGTCAAGCCTTGGGGTATGTTTGCTCTCTGAACCCACAAGAAGTGACCTCGAAGACTAACCAAAACCCAGATGACGAGACCGACATGGTTGCCCTCGAGGCCTCCGTCCGTGGTATCGAGAAGGATGGTCTGGTTTGGGGTGCCTCCAAGCTTGTCCCCGTCGGCTTCGGTGTCAAGAAGCTCCAGATCAACCTTGTCGTCGAGGACGAGAAGGTCTCTCTGGACGACCTCCAGGAGGAGATTAGCGAGTTCGAGGACTACGTCCAGTCCTCTGATGTTGTTGCCATGCAGAAGCTGTAAAGTGCTTTATGATGGAATGGGAGGGATGATTCACGAGGCATGATGGTGGAGACATGACAATCCATAGAATCCTCAAAAAAAAAGGTCAACGTGGAGTTGCTCAGCACCAGCGCAGGTAACATCCTGTCGCCCAAGAAAGAGTGCGAGCCCAAGACTTTGATGAATACACATGAGGTTACGAAGACCTTTCAAGAAGTAAAACAAAATAATGTTCTCTCCCATTTCAATACGTGTGTGTCCCATGTGCTTGATGCCCGACTGAATGATAAAACCCCGCACCAGAAGGACCCTGATAGCATTCAGGCCACTGCAAATTTTGAGTCAGACCGGGACCATGAATTTGACGGTGGGCGGGCGGTGAGGTCAAGGTGGGGCACAATCAGCGCTAAGTGAGGGGCAATTTTCTTGCTTTCCCAAAGCGGTCAGACCAATGCAACGCGACCTGACTGGGCGGATGAGGTAGCTCGCGGCGAGTTCACATTCCCACTTCCTGACCGCGATCCAAACGCGACCTTGACAAGTTAATTCCTCACCTATCACTGCCTCAGGCGTACGAAGCTTGATCTTTGGATCGTGCAGAGAACTCTCGTATAGCAGGCTGCATAATGTACGGTGACTTAGGCAACAAACTGGTGCGTGTAGCTCTGACCCGGGAATCACCAAAGAAACTAACGCGTTCTTGTAGGTGCAACACGCCAAACGAACGCAGAACCTCGCCCATTTACCGCCCTACCAAGCCGAGATAGTACGAGCCGTGGCACGCGAAGTTAGAGATCTCGATAAGGACGTGTCGGAACTGCTGGAGCCCTTCCAAGGGTCTTTCGACCCAGCCGCAGACCAAGCAACTGCATGCACACTACTTGTCAATCACCTGTCGATGCGCAGAAACAAGCGATGTTTACTCGCATATCATCGAACTAGGACAGATAAGCTAGAAGAGCTGGCGTGGAAGGGAGTGGACGTCCTGGATCTTTCCGGGCAGCAAGTGCGCAGCAATTCGTCAACAGGAGCCAACGGGGGTGCTGATGGACCAACGAGCAGTCTGAGTCCGCAAGAGGAGGAATACGTGAGACAATACGGCGATCTTCTGGCCGCGTATAAGGGCCAGTGGACTGACATCGATCTGACGGGGAGCTTGGAGCCGCCTCGTGACCTGTTCATCGACGTGAGAGTCCTGAAGGACGCGGGTGAGATACAGACCGAATATGGGTAAGTTGGGACTGCCTGAGCCACAACATAATGATAGATTTATTTAACACCCGGGATTTAGCGCCATCAACCTTACGAAGAACAGCCAGTTCTACGTGAGGCAAGGAGATGTTGAGCGGCTCATAGCGCAGGGTTATCTCCAGAAGCTCAGCTGATGGCCAAGACTCGGCCTGATAACGCAGCACCAAACTCTGAAGAATTTGAGACTAAAAGAAATGTGTCTTCGCATCTCCTCAAATTGGAGATCAGCGGGGTGTGAGGGGTGCAGATGCAAGAAGCCCTGTCCAAACCCTTGCACGGAACATCTAAGTATACATACAACAGCATGCACGCCACGCGGTGCGCCATTCGCGGCGGGATATCGTAATACTCTGCGTCAAGATGATGCGAGAAATCCAACATCTGAGCATGCCTTGTTCGCGTCTCGCGCAGTGCGTGGGACACATGCATGCAGTTTCAAGGGGTTTGGGAGAACAGCAGCGGGATTCATGACGGAGGGAGGGCCAAAACGGCCCGGGGATTTGCTCCTGCATCGGATCTGGATGACGGGGACCACCACCAACAACAAAACAAGGCCCGGAGCAGAATGGGGCCAAGATCAGCGCGGATGGCTTCCGGAGCGGCCGACTCAGAAAAAAGTGGCTAACACGGCAACGAGGCAACGGCATGCGGGAGGCTCTGGTGGAGGGCGAGAGCGGGCGCTATGGACGGGCACAAAATCCAGACCAGGCACATGGCACGCAAAATATCTGCGTTGCTAGGCTCTTCAATGGGTCATTGCTTTTTCCTACACAACGAAATTAGCGAATAATGGAGGAGGAATGTCTCGCATGTGGTAGCAGTGGTGCACGTTTTGGGCACCTTGGATTCGACGGGCGCAGCTCGCATAGCTCGGACATGGAGAAATAGGTGCAGTTGCGCGTGGAATGGACATCAGATGTCGCGATATCGGCGGCGGATGAGCAGAACCGACAGCGATATTCAACATTCGAAGATCGGCCTGCATTGAAACCTCAGACACGTCCACGACTGTAGACGTCTCTTGAGCAGAATCTTTGCGGGCTGTTGTCCGTCAGTCAGCCAGCCCGCCAGCCAACCACCACAGACAATAGCTGTTGTTCGTGGAGCACAGCATGGCACAGGCATGGCAGAGCAGAGGAGGGGGAAACGTGGGCTGGCCTGGTGCGCAGCATTGCATCATGCGCTGCACAACGCCGTTGGCTGACCTGCCTAGGTGCCTGGGCCGCCGCCCTCCTGATCGTCACCCCAGCCCAGCAGAGGAGCCGGAGCCGGAAGTTGGCTGATGACGGTTAATTGGCTTGAGGTGTAGTGTTGGTGTCTGATGATTTGCCGCCGGACTGAATGTCCTCATCTCGCAAATACATCGGGTCATTGACAGCGACGATGAGGAGCAATCGACCGAAAATCCCCAATTGACAAGCCGTTACCCCACGAGAGACGTGAGGAGATGAAACTTTCAGCATTACATTGTCTGTTCAGACGTGAGCTCGGGCTGGGACAAGGCCGGTACAATGCACGGCGAGGGCGAGTCCACAGGCCGTTCCCCATCCGGTGTCCTGTCGCATCTCCACCGTGTGCCGCGGGCAGCAGAGCTCTCTCCAGGCTTCTCCAGTTTTGTCTGTCAACTTCCAATGGTGTTGGAGGATTGCAAGTGGTGCAGCAGTGCCTGGCTTCCGGAAAGCCAAAGGCAAAATCCTGGATCCGAAGTGGGCCCCAACGTGAGGTGAAAGGTGACACTGCGCCTGGTGCTGGCTCAGTGTCTGGTGCAGTCTTCCACTGGGACTGACATGCTGCCCACGTTGCCCACTGAGAGTGCCCGCAGCGGCTGTAAGTGGTCATCGACATGGATTCACTGCATGTTTTGGTATGATTACGTAGTGCGACGCGAGCACGCAGGCTTGGTTCGCACCTCACTCAACTCACTTCGAGCCTGCGGCAACAGAATGGGACTGGCTGCGGTAGATGTTTGGTAGATGAGACCTTCCGGTGGGCTCCTGTGGCCACGGAATGTCCGCTAGAAACTGCGAGGGTGTGCGCTAGGCTTCCCTTGTGCGGCCCAGATAGGCACGGTACAGAGTACATTGGCCTACAGCGATACCATGACTGTCAGGCCGCAGAAGAGACGCTAGTGAGGGGCGAAGAGCCACATGCAAAATGCAAATTTGACCTGGTTCAAGGTTCATCTAAATTCTCTGCAGTGCTTTGCATCGCTGCAGCTGCTGCTACGTAAGTCAAGTGAGCGCAAGTGAGTGCGAGTGTGTGTGTGTGTGTGAGTGAGGTGCGCGCGCGCCATGTTGACGACAGCTTCGACCACCACAGACCAGACTGATGACTGTCGCTCTCGCCGCTCGCTCGCTCGCTCTTCCGCCCATCCGTCCGTCCAGTCCCTTTCCTAGCTTCTCTCCTCCCACGGACACTCTACTCTCTCTTCTCCAATCTGCCCATCTCCGATTCCCCTCTTGTCGTCCACCCGCACGTTCCATCAAGCGGGTATTCCTATCTATCTAGCGTTTTGTTTTAGCCTCTGGCACTTCAGCTGCTCCTCAGCATATCGCACCCAGACCAACACCACAGAAAAAACTAGACGGGACATCCTTGTCTCTACTTTGTAGATCCAGTCCCGCCCACAGCCCGTCGTGTAATACACTTCCCCATCTCTTATCAGCGCCGACGCTGCCCACCCTTTTTACGCTCTTCCTTTCTTTGCGCCCACCCTAAGCATCGCGAGCTCGAGCTTCCCAGCTTTTCTCATGAAGTCCAGCTAAATCCTGCAACGACCGACCGCCCAGCCATTGGCCTGGTTCTCCGACAACTGGCACCCGTAGACTGGTGCTCCGGCGAACCTACGGCGCCTCCCGTTTCCGCCTTCTACCGCCGCCGAGAACTATAAACCCAGCCAGCCATGTCTTCTCCCAACTTTGGCTTCTCTCCGTGGAGGAGACGAGCTTCCTCGCTGAGCTCCCAGAGGAACAACGAGACCAGCCCCGAGAATCCGCTTCTTAGTCCTGGTCGCAACTCCCAGCTGGCCAGCACAGACAGACTGTCGTCCTCCGTTTCGAGTCACCGAGAGCCTATTCGCTCCTTCATCCACGGCACCTTGAGGGACCACCTAGGCAAGCAACCCTCGGCCGGCGCGATCTTCATACCAGACGCCACAGCTAACTCTTGATCGCCAGCTCCCGTCGACAGTGCCCAGTACGCCCGCAGCGTTCGCGAAGATACAGCAGAGCTCGCTTCGTACCTCCTATCGGACAAGAAGACGGGCCAGAGCCCGGCGTTCCTCTCCCGCCAGCGCTCTCAGAACTCCCAACTCGCGCGAGAGACGGCCATTTCAGATAACGAGGAGGATGATGTGGGAAGCGCGCACGTCACCAGCTCCGATACCATCCAAGAGGTTTCTGAGCCGGCATCGCCAGAGGAAGGGGAGGAGGAAATTCCCGAGGACGGTCCCTCAATCCTGACGAGCTTACTGAAGAGATCACCGCCGCAATCGCACCGCGAACCCTCTCCCGACGCTCGACCTCACTTCCAGCAGTCTCACTCGGAAGTCGATGAACCGAAGCCGAAGCGATCACCGTCCAGAGAAAGACCGGAGCCGGAGGTGCAGCGTTCGTACGAGGCTGTTGTGGAGGAACCGACCGAGCGCACCCCGTTGATACCGAGGCTATCCTCCGACAGCTTCAGCACAGATGGCAGCACCAATGGGGTCGACGTTGAGGGACAGAAGCAAACTCCCAAAAAGCATTGGTTCCGTGGCTTGAAGGACCTGACGGTCAACGTCGAAGATCACATCGTCCATGGCGTCCAAGTCGCGACCAGCCCCAAAATTTGGGACCGCAAAGTTCTGTGGCAGAATGCCGTGGTTGCGCCGGTGTCGTGTTTGCCCGCTGTCATTGTGGGATTGCTGCTTAATGTACTCGATGCTTTGTCTTACGGTAAGTCTGGTGTAAGTCGAGTTGGAGTACAAACATAACTAACTGTTACAGGCATGATTCTCTTCCCTCTTGGCAAGCCTATTTTTGCCGGTCTCGGCTCGGCTGGCATTTCGATCTTTTATGTCAGCACCATTGTCTCGCAATTAACGTTTTCATTTGGTAGTATTTTCAAGGGTGGTGTCGGCTCTGAACTTGTAAGTAGAATCACTTCAACCAGGTGCCAAGACTTGACTAACAGGACCTCAGATCGAAGTCGTGCCATTCTTCCACAACATGGCCGAAACGATCACCAACCACATTGGTCAGGACCAGCCCGATGCTGTGATTGCGACGACTATCGTCTCCTATGCGATTAGCTCAATGATGACAGGAACTGTCTTCTACCTCATGGGCAAGTTCAACTTCGGGTATATGGTTGGCTTCATCCCGCGGCACATTCTGATTGGCTGCATCGGCGGTGTTGGCTGGTTCCTGGTTGCTACAGGCTTCGAGGTGTCAGCCCGCATGGACGGTAGCCTCGAATACGACCTCGATACCCTCCACAAGCTCTTTCAGACCGATACAATCCCTCTTTGGGTAACCCCCCTCATTCTGGCCATTATCCTCTTCTACAGCCAGGCCAAGGGAGCGTCAAAGTACTTCTTGCCACTGTACATCATTTCCATTCCGATTGTCTTCTACTTCTTTGTATTTTCTTTGGACGCGCTCGAGCCTGATTCCCTCCGTGATCATGGCTGGATCTTTGAAGGCCCCCCGGCTGATGAGCCGTGGTGGTTCTTCTATACGCTGTACAGTACGTTTGGTCCGCCCTCTCTGATCCGGACGGTCGCTGACAAAATCCTGCAGAATTTCACCTTGTCGAATGGGACGCTGTGCTGGAGTGTATTCCCGCTATGCTTGCCCTTACTTTCTTCGGCATTCTACATGTCCCAATCAACGTCCCAGCTCTTGCGCTGCAGACAGGCGAAGATAACGCTGATCTCGATCGTGAGCTGAAGCTTCATGGCGCCTCCAACTTCATCTCTGGCCTCGCTGGTAGCATCCAAAACTATCTCGTCTATGCCAACACTGTTTTCTTTATGCGTTCTGGAGGAGACAGCAGGCTCGCCGGTATCATGCTGGCTGCTTTGACCTTTGGTGTGATGATTGTCGGGCCGAAGATCATAGGCTTTATTCCCATCATGATGGTCGGCACTCTGATTTTTGACCTGGGATTTGAGCTACTTCTCGAAGCCGTTTGGCTTCCGAGGAAGAAGCTGAAGCTGGCAGAGTATCTCACGGTAAGCTACCACTTGATCTAGTTTCAAGACACAAGCTGATGGTTTTCAGGTGATTGTAATCGTCCTCGTCATGGGCATCTACGACTTTGTCATCGGTATCGGTGTGGGTATAATACTAGCGTTTGTCTCCTTAATCTTTCAGACATCGAGGGTTCCTGCGGTGCGAGCAAGCTACACAGGCGAGATCGTCGGCTCCACCGTGCGCAGAAACCCCTCGCAGCACCATTATCTGCAGGAAGTTCGTCGACAAATATACATCGTCAAGCTTACGGGCTTCCTCTTCTTCGGCACTGTGGTCAGCGTTGAAGAGAAGATTCGAGCTCTTATCGACGACGGAGCCTTTGCCGAGAGGCCCATCAAATATCTCATCCTCGACCTGTACCATGTTACAGGCCTGGACTACTCTGCTGGTGAGGCTTTTAATACCATCAGCAGATTGCTTGACAACAAGGGCATCATTCTTGTTATCAGCGGGAAGGATGCAGAGAGTGAGGTTGGCAGAAACTTAAGGCAGGTGGGACTACTAGGAGATGATGATATCGAAGTCACGCTGCTGCCAGACCTCAACTCGGCCCTCGAGAGCTGCGAGAATGAGCTGCTCAAGACGCTGTACGCAAGCCAGCAAGAGCTTCGCAAGAACAACCGCCACGCACCAACGGCCAACCTCGACGTACCAGCGGCGAAGTCAGATGGAGGATCCTTCGACATCGTCATCAACTCGCCGAGACGTAACCAGCTCCACGAGGCGGCGAGAAACGCATTGGCGAACACAGAGCCTTTGGGGACGACTAGGTGGCAGAGCTTTAAGGAACCACTGCGACTGATGTTGCAAATCTTCCAGGGCTTGAGTGAGAAGAACGAAGACTTCTGGTTCAGAGCTGTCGGGTACTTTGTCAAGAAGGAGTACAGGGCAGGCACCGTCCTGTTCAAGAGAGGCGAGGTCGCAAAGGGCTTTTACCTGGTTGAGCACGGCATCCTTCGCTGCGATTACGACCTGCCCCAAGGCTCGCTGACGGAGAGTATCGTCGCCGGTACAACGTGCGGCGAGCTTCCCTTCTTCTCGGAGACGGACCGTACAGCTACGGTCACCGTGGACAGAGATTGTGTTGTGTGGAGAATGGATAAGGAGGGTTGGGAGCGGCTGCAGAAAGACCAGCCAGACGTCGCGCAGGAGTTGCTCAGAATGTCGCTGAAGCTGACGAGCGAGCGTATGACGTCTATTACGTCGTACATCCTGACCATGGCGGGATAAGGGAACATGTGCTCACACATAATTTCATTGACTACTACTATCGACTGGAGTTCGTATGGATACAAAAAAAACCAGGATGTCAAAAAGGGGGTTGAACTTGGGAAGTCATCATAAGCGAGGCGCTCTTTTTTTTTCAAAAGTAGCACAAAAAGTACCTATCTATCTTAGACATGAGAGGTGGCAATCCTCTCCGAGAGCGGGTGAAGTTTGGAAAATGACAAGCTTAAAGTCTGCTTTGTTAGCTTCGAATATGTGAAGTGTTTGACAACATGCTCTCAATTAGTACTCAGCGCTAATGTTCCCTGTTCTTGTGGTGACTGAATTTATCGTCCGCGCGGGTATTTGGGCTTAGCAGACAGGAGGATTAGACCCGGTGGCTATTCTATTGTCCTTGTCGTCGTCTCTGTCGTCCTTAACGGTATCTCTACTATCCATGATCGACCCTGTTGTCCCTCTCTGTCCGAAAAGCAAAGGTCTTCCGGTATGTGTGAGTGTTTGTGCATGTTGTCTAGCACAAAAGACACCCAGAAGTCATGAACCTAGTCTGCAACAACGGAAAAATTCGTGTTATGTATTAAGTGCTTACACAGGTATTTCAACCACCCTGTTCCGGCTCCAGATCGGATCGTGGACCCGTCGTGTTCATGAATTCAGCCAGGTGAGATACCCAGAACCGGCCAGCCTGCTACAGTCGATAGGGGGAAATTTGGGCGAGACATCGAATGTACAGCATGCTAGCTTTTCTCGAAGACGTACTGAGAGAATACGATGATTTGAATATTCGTTGAAAAGCTACAGCGAAATTTCAGCGCTCTTCCACCTTGAGAGGTTGAGGCTTTGTGGGCGAAAAACATCTCATGGTAGTGAATTCCATATGACTCTACGCCGTTCATCAAGCTGAGGGAAAAACTTTATTCACTGCTGCACCAAAAATCTCCGATCTCCAGTTCAAACACAATATAGGACGCGCAAGAAGCAGGGCTTCCTACTTCAGCCACCTGCACATCTCACCATCATCTCAGGCCCTGGATACGACGACGTTTTTACTGATCAGAATTCAGGAATATCATTCAGAAGAAACCGTACACGATGGAGCCTGGAGATATACCCAAGATTGAAGAGCGTAATGCTGATGACTCCTCTTCGAGCACCAGGCTTACGTCTCGGGGGTCTACTGTACCGAGGACCAACGGAACGAGGGAGTATACGACCGCAGGCAGCCAACACCCCTTCGCTGATTATTGGAACAAATGTGGTAAAGATCCAGGAGACGCGCTGTCCCAGATCATTGGCACGCTCAAAGGACTGCAGTGGTCCGGTATTCATGTTTTTCGAGTGGGCCCACGCAGCTGTGAAACCAAAGACCTGGTCCTCGTCGTGTCCATTTGGGTCGAAGGGGGCTCGTTTGATTGGGAGCAGGGAAATGCCGTTGTTCTTCGCTGCCAGGAGATACTGAACCAGCATGGCTTTCCTGACGTGTACTGCGAATTGGCCGAGGTAGCTCCCCGAAGACTGGAAGACTATCGCAGATGGGTACTCAAAGATCGGGGAAGGCATTACTACGAAGGTTTGCCATCGAACCCGACGTTCTTGGCCAGATCTCCCGATCCTACTTGGAACCCGCCAATCAACAACATGGACTCGGGATACCCTCCATCAGTAGAACACAAGTTTCTGATGCCGATCGGCCGCCACCCCATTCTCGAGAAATGGAACAGTGACGACAACGCCTCCTCTCTGAGGTCTCAGGTTGTGAGCAATCTGAAAGGGGCCAACTGGACTTCAGTGGATATACTCCGATGCGGATACGAGGGGAAACGAGATGCCCCCGCGATTCTCTTCGTCTCCGTCGAGCCTGGCAGCACGACGCCAGAAGAGGCACGACAGTTTGCTGATAGATGTGCGGCCACACTTTTCAATCATGGAATTACCGACATGTCTTGCGAGGTGAAAGAGTCACAAGTGGTTCCACTAAGCAAGCTACAGCCACCTTCAACCGTTGTCGACACAGGCAACTTGTGGAAGGCGAGCTACAACCTGACTGACCTGGTCGGTGCCACTATAGCCAAATCTGATCAGCAGGGAAAGCAAGGCACCAAAGGCCCTTATCTCCGAGTCAAGACTGTCGAGAACGGCATAGAAACATTTTCAATCTGCGCCCTGACTTGCCGGCATGTAGTCTCGTCTTCAACCCAAGAACTGGAGCACTCTGGCTCGAATAAGGTCTGGCAAGGTTGTGAAGCTATTATACAACCGGGGATCGACCATGAAACCGAGGTGAAATGTCTCACACATCGTCTAGCAAGCGAACAAAAATCCCATTGGGATGATCCCGCAGCCGACGAAGGGATGCTTAGATCTTACAACGCCCGAAGCACCGTCGAGTCCAGGACATTCGGCCATCTTGCTTACACAAGACAAGGCTCAAGCGGCAGAGCGACGGATTGGGCGCTCATCAAGCTCGACGTCGACAAGCATGAAAGACCTTTGGATACGATCAAGAACCAAGTGCCAATCGGTTATGGCGTGGAACGCGGGTACAGTCATAAGTACCAAAACCAACAATGGGACAGCGCGAGCGGGAACTTCTCTTTCGAGCCGCGTCCGGACCATGGTATTTACACCTTGCGGGGCATCACGCCGGTTGCAAGCATACAGGAGCCAGAAAAATGGACAGATCCCACGCGCGATGGCGCGATTTGCCTCGCCAAAGTCGGCCACGGCTCGGGCCTAAGTTTTGGTATCGCGAACCAGGCTCTGTCGATTCTTCGCCGCTCGAAGTCTCACCAAGGAACAACAGGAGATGAAACTGAGCTCGATGAAGACGATGATCTGATATCCCTGACGATCTGCGTCTTGAGCCGAGATGGAGAGTTATTCGGCCTTTCTCCCACGTCGAGCTTCGGCATCGCGGGTGACTCTGGTGCTTGCGCTTGGGATCTCAACGGGCGCGTCGCCGGGATGGTGACGGCAGGGTCTATGTGGCACTCGGAGGATCGTTGGACGAACATGACTTATGTTACGCCGATGGAATGGATTCTGGAGGATATGAGGGAGTGTGGTTTGGAGGCTACGCTTTGCGAGTAATACTCAGGACCATGGTTTATGAACGCCCGAATGTCCCAACATATACCATAGATCTCACGAGAAACAACGCTTCAAGAAGTATAGCTATAGTCGATATCATGAATCCGGCTTCCACTTGCCGGCGGGAGCCTGCAGAGTCCCCAGATTATCAGTGTTGTCGAGGGCGCATCATGTTATTATGTGATATTACCTCCTTTCCATGCCTCGGCTGCGACCTGAGATCCGGCCTCTATAGCATTTCGAGGAGAAGACAGTATCGGCCCGAACACTTTTTCCATCTTACCGGCGCCGCAAATTTATCAGGCCCTGGTGTTTCCTAGTTTGATACGCCATCTTGCCGACATGAGATGATGCGCTTTCGCCAACCACTGCACTCGTAATTTTATACCTTCGTTCAAATTACCAAGCCAACTGTCATGAAGTATCAAAAAAGCCAAATAGCCTCGATAATCTCCGTTCACGTGCTCTTGTTGACAAACGCCCAGAGTTTCGTTTGATGTTCGTCCCAAGGTTTTCCAGCAAGCGCCCGTACCGTGTTCTTCCTTCGTCCCAACTCTTTCCTGTATTACCAAGAATAACAATTTAGCCAACGTGACAGTCATGAAAACTTTAATCCGGTAGCAGACACCGCCCGAAAAAAAAAAAAAAAGCTGTCATCTTTTCGTTCAGTGATACCCAAATATAACAGCCGATGCCTTCGATCCTACATCAATTTGGAGCCGCGAATCTTGTTCGGTCCTCGCTGATTAATGGTCCATCCAATCACAGCCCAACGCCCGGACCAAAAAGGACGTGTCGTCGGATTTGCCACCCCATCCCAAAGATCCACCCGAATCGACATCCGGAAAGGCGCAGGCGGGCGGGCGTGCGTTGCGTTGCGGCGGCGTCAGACGCAACCCGCCCTTTTAAAGCGGAAGTGGAACCCCCCGCCGGACTGCGTCCCGGATATCCTCACCTCATCCTCCTACCTTTCTAACTTTTTGTCCATTTTTATCTTGCTTTTTTCTCGATCCATCCCATCTTATCCCATCCTGACCGGATCGCGGCGCAGCATCTGGGAGAGAGAAGAGACAGAGACATGAGTCTGCGGTCTATATTAGGCGGCGGCCGGGTAAAGAAGGCAAAGCCAAAACCGTCGGCCTCGTCACCTCGCAAGAACGGTGGCACCAGCAGTCCGAGGGCTGGGAGCAAGAGCAAGAAGCAGCCGCCTGACGCAGACTCTGACGACGGTGGCAATGATTACTTCAATGACAGGCTGGACGACGCCGGGTTGGTCGCGGCGCTTGCGACGGACATGTCGCTCCGCGATGTCGTGCAGGCCATCAGGTACACCCGCAACAATATGTTCGGCCCGGTCCCCGCAGATGCGGCGGGCATGAACTCTACGCGCATCGCCGAGGTGCTTAATTACCGTAAAGCCATGCCGGGGCTGGTGACCGTCTCCCATCTCCACGCGTTGCTGGCCTCTCCCACCGCGGTGGAGCGCGAGGTCGCAGAGTTGCAGCGTGGCGGAGTGGTTCGCAAGATCTACGTGCAACGTCGCGGCGGGCTCGGCGAGGCGCTTATACAGTCTTCCGAGTTGGAGGAGATGATCACGCAGTCCGCCGAGATCGACGGGGAGACGCAGGCCATGCTCCTGAGCTTTTTGAAGGAGAATCCGCAGGCGCAGACGATGCCGCGGGCTGCCTGCAGTTATAAGCAGGCTGATGCCATGGTGCGGGCGGGGTTCCTTACGGCGAAGATACACTCGCAGGACGTGAACACGCCACTGATGAATCTTCACTTGCGCCCGGAGGTGCGCGCCAGCCTGACGAGTATCGAGGCGGTGTCCCGCGCAGCGTCCGGCACCTTTGACGCCGTGGGCGGGCAAGGAGCAATACATGCTGCGGGTGGTGGGGGAGGGGCACCACGGCTGTCCCGCGCCGACACGTCATCTCCCGACTACACCATCGCGGTCCCCGGGAACGGTTCTTTTCTCAAGCTAACTGCCGCCGCGGTGGAACATCTTAGCAAACTGCTGTCTAAATCGCAATTTAGGGAGATGCCCGTGTCTATGCTAAGAGAGAGATGGGAAGGTGGCGTGGCTCGTGACGAGGCACGCCTGGCAAGGAGGGCCAGGGGAGAGTTTGCTGGAGTTTTGCCGGGACGGACGAAGAGGTGGAAGGAGTTTTACGGATTGGAATTCAACTGGGTCTTGGAAGAAGCCATGGGGGCCGGTCTGGTTGAAGTCTTCGAGACACGGAGCGTAGGTAGGGGAGTCCGTTTGTTGTAGCCCCGGGAGCCCAAGTGTGTTAACGGCGAGCGGGGTACCTTAAGCTTGATACCATGAAGATCGCGGATAGCCTTCAAATCTCGAACGGTCCATAGACGGCGGCAAGCAGGAGCTGCGGATGAAACTTGTCTGCAAAAGCCCTGTTGTATCGCCTAGAATACCACGACATCATCACTCGGGGATGCTGTGGCCGCCTTCCGGCATGTTCATCCGAGTCCGATGTCTGCAAGAGTAAAATGAAATCATGAACACATTTGAAGCACGCAGATCGAGTCAGGGCAACATTTGTGTGTGTTTCCCGATTTAGGACCGACATGTTCCCTGCCAATGTGTGTGTGTGTGTGTGTGTGTGTGCGCTCGAACTGCGGCAAATCCGTGATGATTACGTGGGAAAGGGGAAAGGGGGAAGAAGCCTGTTCGAGAGGTTTTCCCCAAAGCCCTGGTTCCCTGTTTTTCATCTGTCGCCAAGCACGGGAATGTGGTGAGGGCCATGAGGGGTCACACTTACAGCGTGCAGTAAGAGCGAAGTGGCGATGCGGCTCCAGGGTGATCTAGGTAAATCCCAGGTGTTTGCGGTTTGATCTCCCACGCTTCGCCCAGTCGCAGCGTCTTTCGTGGAGGGCACAAAATTTAGGCGAGAACGGCTTTGTTTTTAATGTGACTTCGAGGGTCGAGAGTTTCGAGTCATGGAGCACTCCAAAGCATGAGCAGAGCATGAACGTCAATCACCTCTCATCTGTTCTTTCCACTGATTCGCGTGGTCCTGTCAAGATCACAGACCTCGAGCCTTATCGTGCGGGTTACGGGGCTCTCTCTGCAGGACGCGATACACGCCGTCGTTTTCTAGTTGCATGAGTTTAGCTGGTTCTCATTACGAATGAATCGTACAAACACGCAACTGGTCTTGCTGCAATATCGAAGTTCTCGTAAGATGGAACCCGAAGCGTAGTGGAGATGTTGTCGACGGCAGATGCTTGCACGTCTGCAACTAGTGCTGCATGTTGAGGTAGTCGTTTTGGGTAGTCGATGAGTTGACATTGAAAGCTTTGACATTCAAAGATCAGACACTTCTCGAACGAAGTGCTGAGGACAAAGGCGCAGCGATTCGACGTCGGGGTTCGGGGTGGCTGATTGCTGGGGAGGAGTTTGACGTTGGGTGTAACGCAAAACGCTTGTATGCCGGGATTAACAAACAGAGATCAAGCTCAGGGGCTTAATCGACCAGCTCGAGGTCAACGACGCGATGACCAAACCACGCGGGGGCTGCTCCGAAGCTTCCTGACCGTTGCAAAACGGCGGGCTATGCAGCTTGTCTGCGCGTTGAAACCCCGAATTGGAAAGGGAAAAAAGCAACTTGAACTGCAATGCAAAGGGCGGATACGTTTAACCCCCGTCAGAAGTTGAGGTAAAGTGAGCTTTGGGCACGGCCTGGCCTTTCGAGAGACGGCCTAGTAGAAGACAATTTTCCCGAGGGCTTTGTGTGAGGCGACCAAGGTGCTAACAACCATGGTGAGGCACTTGCGCTACTGTCCTGCGACGTGGGATTGCGGAGAATGCAGCAACTCCAAGTGCCAGGTTCGTCGGATGACGGAATCGCGAAGGCACGGGATGGATCATAGACAAACAGCAGCTGGCAACCGTCGCAACGAGACATGGACACACGGTACAGAGCACGGCTCGGCGAGACTGTCCCGGTGTCGGGGTTGCTGTCTCTTGTTCTCGCTTGTCCACCCGTCCTGTCACCGGTTATCTCTTGCGCTGCGATCAGGCGGCAAGACAGATGAGTCTGCGGAGAGATCTTCAAGTGGCCAGAGAGCAATTGGTCAATTCGAACGAGGGGCCTGGCAGGATTGGTGTGACGGCCGAGGCCCTAGAGACTGTTGGAGCCGGGTCACATCGAGAGGTTGTGTCTCGACGAATGGGAACTGGCGGGGAGTGGGCGAGGCTGCAGCTAGCACGCTCGTCGTCACACAGACTCGGACGCCAGTGTGTGTCTTCTCTTGACTTCTGGGACCACTGGGTGGTGCTAGGAAGCTTGCCGGAGCCGGCTCCTGGTGCGGGTGCAGGAAAGGTGACGGATGCTAACGAGCGTGTGCCTGGGCGATATGCTGGGCGATTTTGTGCACGGGCACGCCACACATGGGACTTGTAGAGTTGATGGGAGCGCGCGTTGGCTGGATGAGGTAGTGATATGATGGCGTCGGAAATTACAGCGTGGTCCGTCCATATGGGGGTAGGAAGCATGTTGCTGCCAATTCGCAGGCCTGGTTTGATTGCGACCACGATTGGCACTTTGAGTGCGAAACCCAGCCTTTCCATTTGGCGCGCTCTGTCCAGTTGCCGGGTCGAGCCATCGTTGATGATCCAGACGACTGGCTTTCCCTAATCGACATCGAGGGTCTTGTGTGGGTAGATTCATGGATGCGTTAGGTCGAGGGTCGGAGAGAGCACCGAGGGTGGATGTCGAAGCCAAGCATTCGGGGCATGAGGCAGGCCGCAGCTGCTGGCGATGTGCAAGGCGGGCTTCCGTGCTGTCAAGACCCATAGAGATGGACGAAAGACATGTGGCGGTATTGTTTCTCGGCGTGGGACGAGGCAGTAAGCAAGCTGGGCTGATGAGAGACGTCGACGACAATTCCATTTCACGACAGCTGAGCCACGCTTGCTGGCTGCGCGGCACCTCGCACCTGCATACGCGTGCGACACTGTACGAGCCTGGCACATGTGCGTGCTGCCCTGTCCTTCTCATTGTTGATCCGATGATGGATTTGAAGTGCCGTCCGTAGCAACGAGCGACATGCTCGCAGCTCACAAGCGTTGGACCAGGAGTGAGCCAGTTCGGATTTGACAGCAGGGGTCCTGGGGATGCAGGTATCTCGGGACCTGGACGTCAAGTAGCGGCAGGGAGTCAGGCCGCACGGCGAAGCGGGCTATCTTCTGGCAGAAAGGGGAGACGTTGGCTGGTAGCTTGATCCAAGCGACTGCGTGGCTTTCGCGATTAAAGGGGCGTCGCGACTTGCCGGCTACCTGGGATGCTTGTATCGCACGGCGACGAGGCGCGTATATGGGGGCTAGTCCGCATAGAGACTGACCCCCTGCTGTGCCTGAGTTGAGAGCTGGTCCTTGCAGGGGATATTGACAGGGGTACAATCTCCAAAGTCTGGGTACCAATTTGACGATGGGCGGGCTAGCAAGGGAAACTTTCTGGGGTGGGAGTGACGATGAGTGGTGCACTGGACGGACCCCATTAGCCCTGGCTAGTCATTATTGAGGGAGCAGTGGATGAGAGGCGACGAGCACAAGAGAGAACAGAGATTTCGCCGTCGATAATTGCGGTAATGGAAAGGTACCCCCTGGCCTGTGAAGAAGGCGCCAACCGTGTTGGTCGAAGATGCTGACCGACTTGGATGACTTTTTAATCGACGTTGCACTTGCAATCGCAAAGTGGAGGGTGCATACGGATGCAGAGTAGGAGCAACACAATCTAAGGTAATTGACCAACAGTGGCTCGGCGAATCGACGAATACTAGCCGGGGGAAAGCAGAAGGAAGAGAGACACATCAATGGAGGGAATGACACGAGCAGAGAGATGAGCAACGCAAGTCTCGCCCAAAGTGCGTTGGTATTGGCAACTGGCATGGCAGCGAGAGAGCAGGGGACGGCGAGCAGAAGGGAAAAATCTCCCCCAATTATCCCTCTGATCCCCTTTTTGGCCTGTCTCTCTCTTAACACAAACATCATCTCCTCTCTTTTTTTTTTTTTCCCCTTCCCTCCTGCGCTGCGCTCCCTTCGCTTCTCGGAACGCTTGCTGTGCTCTGGTTGCTGCTGCCCCTCCAAACGCGGCGGCTCTTCCTGCTCCAGCCTGATCCAGCCTGATCTTTTGTTTCTCTCCATCAATGTACCTCGTTGATGCCCGTCCTTAATCGGCGCTGCTACCAAGGATCGCCAGTTTCATTCATCGGGTTGATTGATAGCTTGTATTGCGCAATTCAGTGCCTCTTCCGCACCCGTTGTCGGCATATCCCACGCACAACTTTTAGTGGGGTCTCACAAGCTCCCGTCCTGAAAAAGCAAAGCGAAGAAAACGGTACGTACCCACACCACTTGCATTTGCGCTGCAGTGTGCATGCCGGGCCACAATCCACAGTCCACAGTCCACAGCCCGCAGCCCACCCACGTCCGCTGTTACCTCCCTCTTCTAGACTGCAGCCAGTCCCGTGAAAGGAAAGGAGCAGCGCTGGGGAGACGAGGAGGAGAGAGAAAGAGGGACGTGGAGAGTGGCATGCGCACCACACTACGGAGTACCTTACCTTACCTACCTACCTTACCTATCCGTACCTCACACTTTGTACTTGCTACTGCTCCTCGGCTTCCCCCCATCCATGCTCCCAAAGTCTGAACAACCAACAACGCGCCTAACACGGAAAAGACCTGCTGCCAACAGGAACAGGAATAGGAAAAGGAACAGCCCAGGCCTCGATCCCGAACCTAACGTCGGGGTCCCATATCGCTTCCAACTCCCCCGACGAATCTAATAATCAGCCACCCAGCTTTGCTCTTCACCTCTTAGACACCAAGCAACCCTTTTCCCGCTACGCGGCCTTACCGTCGACGACACTAATCGCACCGAAACGCACTTTTCATCACCACATTCTCTCTCAGTTTCTCCATTTCGCCAACCCAACACTCCTTTTCATCTCGCCTGTCATACGCATACTCAAAACGCGCCTGGAAAAAACAAGAAAGGCGCACGCTCTTGATCTATCTTTCTTCGTCTTTGCACACACGGTTCCCGGTCTCAGTCGCCGACATTCAGAACCTTCGCCACGCTATTCTCTCGCCCGTCGGATTTCCTGGCTCGTTTCTCCCATTCTTCGCTTCCGTCGGCAACTCTTGCTCTCTCCGCCAAGCCCAAACATTCCCGTCGCTCGAGACCCGGATCTTGCCTTTCCACAAAGCATCGGATCGCATCGCCTCGTACCGAAATTTTCACATCTCAAGGATCAGACTTCCCGCAAATTCAATTCCCGCCCAGCCGTCCCGGCCGAATTCCATACCGTGTCTCCCCCAACTCTTTAACTCTATACCGCACGCAAACGTGTTTCTCGCTTTCTCGAAGCTCAGACTCCACGGCTCCCAGCGAATCCGCGCTCGTCTATCCCAAGCCCAGCGCTGCCGTCGAAACATTTCCACTGGACGAAACTGCCCCCTCCCTCCCTCCCGCGTCCAATTTTTGAGTTTCCCCGACCTGCCGCCCAATCTGAGTACCCGTCGCCATCCCAGTCCTGCGACTCTAGCTGCGCGAGGCACTAGAGGCACCGTGCTCGCAAGCCGGACGAAAAAGAAAGCCCACGCTGTACGCCGCCCGCTAGCGCAAGGAATACAGCTCGACCAAGAACCCACCAGAGTCAGACCTTCGTTTTCCCTCAGTACCGCTGCCGCGTAGAGGCGACAGGCTCGGCACTGCAGCAAGGAATACTCCGCAAGACATACACGAGCTGGCTCCTATCCAGGGACAACCCCCAAAAAGTCTCGTCGTTGGCATCTCTTCCTCCTCCTCATCCTCTTCGGCCCACAAACAAACAACACGAGAAATACCGCTCAACCAGCCACCCACTAGGATCTCGTAAGTTTGCTTTTCTCCCCCCTTCCCTGCCACCACCCGCCTCATGGGATCGCCCTCGTCGCTGGTCAATCTGCATGTCATGCTTGACTCCCGTGCCCGCCGCTATGATTGTCATTATCCCGGTGCACTGACAAGTTTACCTACCAGCAATAACCTCGAAATCCGATGAAAAGCTCCCACGTCACCCAGCACACCCTCAACGCATAATAACGTTTCATACGTCCCTGGTTCTCGAAAGTGTCCAACGTGCCGGGATACCAGCCACTCGCAGGCCAGCCCCCCCGTCGACGCTTTCGGCCTTGGGACGAATTCAACCCACGCGAAGAGGTCCCTCGTTATCGACGTAATCGGCCTCCCGACGACCAGTCCCCCCTTTACGCTCCCGTGTTCATGGACCGACCAACTTCCTGCTTGTTTCCGACAAACTAGAAGGCGTCTCGCCCAACTTCGGGTCTATTGTTGTTTTGCAGGACAACTAGCTCCCACTCTCGTTTTCTGTACGGAATGGCGACGACGCTCCCGAGGCCAGCGAGGCCTTCAAACGGCCCGCCGACCATGGCTCTACCAGCTCTCCCAGTCCCAAAGACTAGGAAAAGCACTGGAAATCTTCCGACGCCGGCATCAAAATCTAGCCCGTCGACACCCAACCCGAAAAGCGGTCTTCGCGCCCCTTCTTCCTCTTCGGCATTCCTCCCTCCCACGACCCCCGCTCCCACATCAGCACTCCCGCAACCGCGTGCGGTCTCTGCCATGAGCAATTCTTCAATAAAGACATTGCGCAAGACAGTGAGCATTAACTCGTTCCCCCAGCCACCACGAGGCGACAATCGCGTCAACAGCCTTCCCCCGAGTCCACTTGGTGCTGACTCCTCGCGGAATTCAACACGCAAATCAAAGGGCTCTATCGCGTCAAACTACTCCCATTTGAGCAACGGCGCCCCGAGCCTGCTGAACAACAATGCCGAGGGGAAATCGATATCAAGCGCAAGTGTGCGCATGTCGGACGGCCTCATCAGTGTATCATCACCGCCTCAAAGCAGGAGCTCCTCAGCACAGGATTCTTACTCAACCTCCGCGACGACGTATGATGACCCTATTGATGGAGCAACGGCCAAGTCCTCATCTGACGCCTTCAGTGACAAAAGAGGCTCTAAGCTGGACGGCAAAGGTAATGTTGTAGTCAGCGTAAGAGTGCGTCCAGACGCCGGCGGCAATGAAAACAGCAAGACAGAGGGCGAGTGGATGGTTGATGGACGCAAGTCTCTCGTTGCGTATCGAGGAAAAGAGGGCGGTGATTATTTCTACGGTAAGGTTCTCTCATTTGATATATAGAGCCGGTTCTGACAGTGTTTGAAAGATAATGTATTCACGACACACGACGACAACAGCCGCGTGTACGACTGTATTGCTAAGCGCTTGGTACGCCGAGTAATGGAAGGCTATCACGGAACTGTTTTTGCATATGGTATGACTGGTACCGGAAAGACCTTCTCGATGCAAGGAACAGCCTCTTCGCCTGGTGTCATTCCGCTTGCGATTACCGACATTTTCTCCTACATCAGGGAAACACCGTCCCGCGAATTCCTTCTTCGCGTCAGCTATCTGGAAATCTACAACGAGAAAATCCACGACCTCCTCAGCATGTCCACTGGACCCGGCGCTGGGGCCAACGGTGGGCAAGAAGAAATCAAGTTGCGCGAGGACAGCAAACGCGGAGTCTACGCCAGCCCTTTGAAGGAGGAAATCGTTCAGAGCCCAACCCAGCTTCTGAGAGTGATCGCTCGTGGAGACCAAGCCCGGCGGACGGCTAGTACCCAATTCAATGCGCGCAGCTCTCGAAGTCATGCGGTGGTCCAGATTGTGGTGGAGAGCCGAGAGCGGATACCAGGGAATCCTGGAGGTGGCGACAGTAAAAGATCTGGAATGCTGCCCGGGGGCGTGCGTGTCTCGACTCTTAGCTTGATCGATCTTGCAGGATCCGAAAAGGCTGCCGAGTCCAAGGAACGACGGACTGAAGGTTCGCATATCAACAAGAGTTTGCTGACGTTGGGCACCGTCATCTCGAAACTCTCCGAGCACAAGGACAAGGACGGAAAGGCTGCCGACAAGGATGGGAAGCACTTGCCATACCGAGACAGCAAGCTGACCAGACTTCTGCAAGGGGCTTTGTCGGGCGGGTCTCTGGTGAGTATCCTCTGCACGATCCAGATTGGCGCAGCCGGCAGCGCAGCATCCTCCAACTCCCATACCTCGGAAACCATCAACACACTGAAGTTCGCCTCAAGAGCGAAGAACAACATTGTGAGCCACGCGAAGAAAGCTGAGGAAGCGCTCGGCGCAGGGGGTGACGGCGGCGCCAGAGTTTTGCTGGAGCGGTATCGCATGGAGATCCTAGAGCTGAGGCAACAATTGGACACGCAAGCCAAGGAGAAAAACGCGAAACACGCCGAGGCAGAAAAGGAACGCGACGCTGAGGAAGAGAAGGCCCGGGAATTGGAGGCTGAGCATCGGCATGAAGAGCAAATGCTCGAAATGCAACTGGCCCGTACAGCATTGAAAGAACGGATCGATCACCTTAACCGTCTGATCTTGAGTTCCAAATCAATTGGCGTCAACGCGAGCGGGTCCTACAGCGCCTTGGGCATCCACACGAGATCGTCCATGGCATCCGTCCGGTCGTCATTGGCCACTTCAGTCAGCGGCAGACCGATACTCGAGAGAACCGCATCAATGACATCGGCATCGTCAACTATCGGCCGTCGATCAAGCGGACGGTCGAGCGGAGGCCAGCGGCTGTCCAGCGGTGAAGGAGGCGGAGTAATGACAGATGACGACAGTGTTGGCGAGTACGGTGATGGTAGTGCCTCGTTGACAGCACAGAACCGCGCCTTGCAGGCCGATCTTGCGGACAAGACGAGGTACATCCAGACGCTCGAGAAGAGGTTGATGCAGGCACGACGGGCCAGCTCATCTAGGACGTCGGTTGGCTTCTCTACTCCTAACAAGGGTATCATGGTGGGCGAAGACCATAGTGTGTCGACGTTGCTGAGAGAGAAGGACGCCGAAATTGCTGAGCTGAGAGCTCGGCTAGATGACAAGGATCGCATGCTAGCAGCGTTACGCTCTGCCGCTCGATCTCGAGAGGTGGCAGAGGGTGCCATGGATGGACGAACATCTGCTCTGTACGAGCACAGCCCACCACCAACGATCAACCCGCCCCCAGCACCTTCGAATGCCTTGGCCGGCCGCTCGAACTCCCTCACAGCTCGCTCAAACTCTCTGACAAACCCTCGCACCCGCACAAAAAGCGTTGATGAGGTAAATCAGATCCTCGACGAGATGATCCAGGACCGTGTGGAGACTGGTCACCTTGTCAGAGGCGTGAGAGGCAGTGTTCGAGTCGCCAGTGATCGCAAACTCGAAACTCACCCGGAGAACTCTCTGAAGATGGAGCCGCTCAGGAAGACGGCGTCATTCGATGATGGCAACAGGGCATCAGCAGTGCAGGCGTGAGGAAACACTGTGGGACATTGCTGGTTAAGTCTTTTATGTTGTGAGGAGGGGGTGGTTTTGGGCCTCATATAGGGAGCCTCACGAAGGCAAGGAAAGGCGTTCAGGATGGGTTTATCACTGACTCAATTTTGGTTTTCTTCTTATACCCGACAACTTTCTTTCGCCATGGTCAATGGTTGAAGAGGCGGATTATGCCTCGTTCTTTTTTTTTCGGAACCAGCCTTACCCATCGGCCTGTTTTATTAGCGTATTGATATGGGCAGGAGGAAGGACTGATGAATTTCTTGTCACGATCGAACCGTGCGACATCGGAGCATCGGGATCAGGTTATCATTTGGACGGAAGAGTTTTACGGGCGGCAGAAAAAGCGACGAGGTCTGTCAATGGCTTTTAATATTGGGCAGATGATTGTGATGGATCATGTACATCAGAAAGCAGGCCTGGTCAGCTAGCTAATTACGGGACGAGGAGCGACGAAAAAAGAGAAGACTATGATCTATCACACGCAGCTTCCCTTTGTATTGACGGCAATTTGAAGTGTGTCTCTGATCTACACGGCTGGATACGCGTAGGATACTCGGGTCGCCAGGTCAGTGACGAATTGTTGTCCAGATGGGAATATGCCGAGTCTTCAGCTCGGGATCTTGCATCCCATAGTTTCCACGGCATGGAGTGGTGTTCAGCCCGTCGTTTGCTTACTTTTGTTTGTTTGTAACCATGATCCCGTTCGGAGGCACGCGAATCGGCTGACGAGACACCACACCCCCTCGGTTCGAATCCCACCACCAATCCATGACCGCATCGGAAGGAACAGCCGCTCACTCAGCTCTCTCCCGGGCCAGTTCGTGATGGGAGTTCAAGAGAAAAGGGGGCTGATGCTCTGAGATGACAGTCTGGTGCAGATCAAGATTGTGGCGGCGGTTGGACCTGACTAAACTGAACCACGGACGGCAATCATAATTCAAGGGCGAGGAAAGAAGCTTTGGGCGGAACAAACAGACTTTGGGACCGTTCCCAGGACCGCGGTTTGGAACGAAGTGAGGAGGAGACAGCCTAAGCCGAAGTTCGAACGGCCTTTTTAGGGGGGCAGCGTGAGAGCCAAGGTTGCGTCTCAAGTGGTGGCGGGCGAGGCGTGCGCGCCGCCGTGTTAGATCTCGGGAGTCGCAAAAGGGGATATAGCTTATTTTTAGTCCCCGCGGCCGAGGTCGATTTGAATCGAGTGAGTGAGACGAAATGGCAAAGGGGAAGGGGGCAGGCTGGGGACCGTGGGATTTCGTGGCTTACGGTTTGCACCAGAGTCCTCTTCTTGCTCTCATCCTCTCTTTTCGCGCCCTCTTTGCGGGATATCAGGAGAAGGCTTGTGCACGGTCGTGCCCTCAGCACGGGTCGCATTTGCTTGGTGTGATGATGTCCGGGTCCAGTGACAGATCACATTTGGTCCCCTTCTACCCCTGGTTGATCCCCGTGTCGTGTTGGGATGATCATGATAATTGGGAGGTTGAGCTTGCTGATTGTTCATGGGAGGATCTATTCGCGCATCTCGTGTCGGGAAACAAGTTTAGTTGTGATTTGAGTTTGTGATGCTCGTGAGACGCCTCGGATGAAATGTGAAATGCGAACCGCCCCCCGTCCCATGCTTCCGAGTATTTCATTTTCACAGCGAAGCAGGCCTCCCACACATTGAATGCGGCTGGGGGCCTCGAAGTGTATCCTCCGTGGAAGAGGTATTTCATTTTCACGTTTGGGCGTCTTGTTTGCGATTGCGTTTGTCACGGAGAATGGCGATAATGCCTCGGTTCTTGTTGGCTGATGCCCGTCCGGCGTCGAGCGAAAACGGGAGGCCGCAGGCTGGCAGACGACGACGACGACGACGATGAGGAGTCGTTTCGTTGGTTGCCGCGCGATGGACGACGACAGATCGCAATGCCAAAATTTCGTGTATGACGAAATAAATTGTATTGGACCCCGTTTGCAATAGGGATCTGCAGAAAACGGGAAAAAGTCAAAAAGACGACCCAACGAGCTTGGGCCTCTTTTCTCCTGCCTCGCTGCTCGCACATGACTCTTGCGTCGCCATCGTGAGGCCGACAATTGTAGCGGGAGACGTCGAAACTTGGTGTTTGCCTGTCGTGCCACCATTGTACGTTGTTATCGATTTTTCCCGCCCCTCTCTCTTCCCGTCTCACGATGTTGAGCCCCCCCCCCCCTTCACCTGCTTGTCCTGCTCTCCTTTCCCGAATCCTTCGCTTCCGTTCGGATCTTTTCAAACGAAACCAAGTTGAATTAGGACCGGATCCCGTGCCGCGCGCTCACATGTGGTACTTTTATGAGCAGATTCTCTCTACTGCCCGCACATGCAAGCTGCAGGAAAGGAAAGCTCTCGTCAAAATTCAGTCTCGGCAGCGGCCTACCTAAATTGAAGGGACCCAGAAAGGGGTCGGGGCAGGGGCTGTAATTCCCCATATTGCTGTCCACGTGCGGCCTTCTGAATTGGGATTCTCTAATCATGACATCGTCGCCCTCTGGAGCCCTGCCGGAGGGAGGGGAGACGGACGCGCCGCCGTTGGCCAACGAGGGGACCGACGGACGGACCGACTCCGCGATGATCGCAAGAGGGATTTTCGAAAGGGAGACGACTCGACGAGAGGGAAAAATGCGGTCGGGCACTCTGGTTAACTTTTTGCGGATGGATTGACTTTTTTTCTCCCTCTCGACGGGACCGCTTTGGCTCGGTGATGAGCGTTTTGACATGGAACTGGCGCGGTTGATTGATGAGTTGACAACTGGGTCACTTACAGAGAGGGAAGTGATTCCCATCTCTGGAGGAGGTCCGGGAAGCCACAAATGGAGATGCGGCGACGTATGAAGCCAATCAGCCGCGCAGAGACGGCCTGCAGTGAGCGCACTAAGAGGCTAACCGCACACTTTGTCAGGCCCTGCAGGACAATGGACAAGGCGGGAAGTGTCGTGATTGGCCGAGAGGCCGTGAGGGGCGGATCTCTTCCGAGAACCCCTGCTGCATTTGGTAGCTTCCTTCCCAGCAGCGAGGACGGTGAGTGGCTGCTTCATCGACTGCCTTCCAAGCGGCCCCCCGGAGATTCTGAAACGTCCTAAATCGTGACTGGCGACGACGAGAGGTGGGGGAGAGGCATCATCCTTGAACCACCGGCTTCCTTTTTGGGCTTCCTCTGTCAGCGCCTACCGGCCCTGGACCCCTGGCCGCTTCGCTCGCTGTGTGTTGCAGATGCTCAATGGTTTTTTTTCCCGCCTCTCTCTGGCTGTCCTTCGCTTTGTCTGCCTTGCTACGGCGGAGCTGACAACGGTTCGCTAGGTCCAATATTGTGGTTCTCATGTCAGGAACGCCTGTCTGCCCAGGTCCCAACGCCGCTCGCTCATATGTATGCACAACGGCGCAAAGTTGCAACGGCGCAACAGCGGATACACCCACCCGAGGCCCATCCTCATCCATGACTCTGGATTGGGGCTTCTTTGGTGGTAACACTCGCTTCTCTCGGTTTGGGGCTGCTCGGGCTCAGAGAGTCAAGCGTCACCGAGGACGGGAGTGGGAAAAGACGGCAGCGAGCCGGCGCAGGGCTCTGACTTCCTTCATCACCAATGGATCGGCTTGGGTATGACGATCCCGTGAGGATCTCCCTGGCTTCTTCCTTCTTCGGGCCTCAGCAGTGGACAAAATGCTACGCAACGCTACGCCAGCCGTTAGCTGACAGTAGAGAGGGGAGCTGAAGATGAGGGGAAACCCTGAACCAAGAGTTTCTACTCGGGGGTCGATCACGAAGCCCTCTCCAGCTCGAGGAAACCCGACGAGCCTGATCCACGCCTGGTTGCTGGCCGTCAAGCCCTGCGTTGAGTGAGGTGACCGACAAGCCGGACGGCACTCCCGCTGTCGCAAACCCAGTCCCGGTCCCACGAGTCGTCGTCGGCCGCACCGCCACGCGGGAGCTTCGGTTCCTCGTTTTGGTGCTCCCTCTGCTCCATGTCCGGTCCGCCTTGCCCATCGTCATATTTCGAGCACTCGTTTCGCTTTTGCCGGTTTCGTTGGTTGGTCCAACGCGCGCTGCCTGTTGCAGTTGCACTGAGTAGCGTACAGTACGCGGGAGAGTCCAAGACAATATAGCACCAACTGCCCTCAGCTAAGAGCGCAGCTTTGTCCTTTGTTACAAACGCAACGCCCCGACGCCCGTGGGTTTCTTTTAGACAGGCGAAACACGTCAATCAAGTCAAGCCAGCCAGAGACGATCCAACGCCTGACATACACTTTATCCCACGGACGCTGGCGCTGCAGCTTCGCACGAGACTTGACACGAACCCGAAAGCACCAAGACACAAGACACGACACGACTGGTTGATCTGGCACACTGGAAGCTCTGACGCCGATACTTCTTGTTCACCCATCTCCCGTCTTCCGCGTCTCCCCACCATCTCTGCTGCTGGTCAAACTGCGGCACCACCCCCCCTTCCCCCCACCCGTGCTCTCTCGTCTCGTCCGTTATTCCAGGTATCAAGGTCAGAGAGCCCGGACGAACAAGCCCTCTCGTCCCATCTCCTCCTTCGCTTCTACCCAATTGATTTGCAGCACCGCACTCCCTTCTATTCTGACTGTCACTGGCCTGGCATCGGATAGAGTTTGCAGGACAGCAAAAAGGGGACCACGAGGGCCGAGAACAGGCACCGCAATCGTAAGCCGGTCGGTGCATTGCTGTAAACAATATACCACAGACTGGACGAGACAGACGAACCGCGTCAACATACATCACCATCACATGCGGCCCGGCATACAAAGCCGTCTCGTCTCGGTGAACCAGTCTTCAGGCTCCTCTCTCCAGTTTCTGGTCTCCAAAAAAAAAAATCTCCAGTCTTCTGGTCTTCTTCCGTCTTCAGCCCGGCCGAAGGAGCGATCCCAACGCAGACGCAGGCAACAGGGAACCGTCTCCTCCCACTCTTTCTCTTCCCACCTGCTCCAACAACCTCGACCCCGGTCTTGATGATCGCCGCCAAGACCCACCATCGGTCATTTACTTCACGCAGTTGATCGCACTTTTCGTCCTCTTTGGTCTTCCCCTTGGGTCCTGTTCACTGCGTTTTCTGCCAAATCTCGGACAAGGGCCCATTTCCTTTTCTGTTGCCGCTGGATCCCTTTAAGCTGCTGCAGCTGCAACCCTGAGCTGCAAACGAGCAGAAAAAAAAAGTAGAGTCCATCCAGAACGAGGGCAAGCTTCCGGCCGAGTCTTACCACTACTGTACTTTACCCCCGCCATCCCCAGTTTCTTCAGCTTCTTTATTCCTTCCTCTCCCTCGACCGACCGCGCCACCGGCCTCGGTCTCGTGCTGTACGGATACGCAGAAGCTGCTTTGCACGTCTTCCACCGCGCTGACCACCGCATTGCCGCCTGCACTCCTCGGCTTCCTTTCTGTACGACTGTCACCGGAACCGTTTACTATCATGAACGCTTCCTAGAAGGAAGACCACCATCTCCCGTCCATGACCTACAACCAGGCTCGACGCCCACCGACGCTCCTTAACTAAACCGCCAAAAGCACTCGAAATTCTCTTCTCAAAAGTTTCAGCTTCTTTTATTCCGTTGAAGCTCCCAAATTTCCAAGATACCCAGTGGTTCGTTCCGTGTTAGTGGACGAAAACGACCAGAACGACTCTACGACCTTTTTTACTTCTTCTGGAGATACCAACATTTCTTCACCAACCGTTGCATATAATGCGAGCAAAGATGCCAGCCCCTCTAGACCTCAGCAAATCGAAGCTGTCGGTGTCTGATCCGCGGATGAACCTCCGACGGTCTGCCTCACACACCGGCTCTTCAAAGTGGGAAAAGGTGCCTCTATCCGCCACCTCTTCCCGCTTCAGCTTCAACCACCTACTCTTCTCCTCTCCACCACCATCACCAAGCCTACCAGCGCTTATCCCGCCACCCCGGAAGTCACCCATCCACCCCCGACCTACTCGTGTATTCAGATTCACATTTTGGCTCGCATTCACGGTGCTGCTGCTCTACTTTGCGACTTTCCCATTCCGAACAAGCTTTGGCGTCCCATCCATCAACCTACCATTTTCGGCCCACGATGATTTCGAGATGGTTGGACAAGACGATCTACCCGACTTTCCCACGCCAATCGTCATGTCCGACCACGGTGGCAAATCCAAGTGGACCGTTTCAATCCCTCCAAGCTACGACTTCCCGTTGTCAGTGAAAGAGTACGGGGACATGTGCAAGAAGTGCAAGGAGGTTGCCGCGCGCGTTAGGGACATGCGCCACCGAACTCAGATCCTTGATCAGAACCTTTTGAGTCAAGATGCCCCCAATGATCCGTACTTTATCGACGTTGCAGAAGCTCAAAAGACCGGTCTTCTCCCGGACGTCGCCGCCAAATGGCCAAGCAAGGGTCAAGGTCACGATGGAGACTTGGTTGGGGAGAACAAGGACTCGCTGGTTGAAAAGCCCGTGTGCGAAAGCTCCATGACCTTCATCATGGAGACTGCAGACGCCGGCATTGGGCACACCATCATGCAGCTCTGGACATTTTACGGGCTCGCTAAGAGGCAAGGTAGAGCCTTCTTCATCGATGATTCTCGCTGGGCGTACGGCAAGTACACCGATATCTTCCAAGCGCCTCCTGTGCCCCTCTGCCGCCCTCCTCCCCGCCACGAAATGATTCCCTGTCCTCCCAGAGCTCGCCACTTGGTTGTCACATCCGAGACGGCGAAGGAGATGTGGGCGGGATCCATCAGCAAGCCACACTCCGACTTCCGAGCACAGGATGAGCAGGGGCTGCGGGAGCTGTTCGAGCTGGCACACGAGGGATACCGCGCTCTTTGGGACCTCAATAAGGACGACGCTCAGTACGTCAGCAAGCGTGTCAAGGAAATCAGGGACAAGACTACCGTTGGCAACGGCAACCCGAACAACGGCGTCGTTGTCGGCGTTCATGTCCGACATGGCGACTGCCACCCTACCGAGTACCAGTATCACGGCACTTACATCCCGATGGAGATCATTGCGAACGCTGCTCAGGAGGTCATTGACGGCAAGCACAACGGCACCGGTGTCGATGGGGGTGACGACGAGCTCGCCAAGCGCAAGTCCTTCATTGTCCTTGCCTCCGACGACCCGACAGTTTACGATGCGGAGGATTTCAAGGGCTCTATGCGCGCACAGGAGCAGATTCGCCTGGCGTCCAAGCAGGAAGTCCACAAGGCCACCCCCGACAGGCACGTCATGCACCACTTTGAGGATGAGGCTTTCGGCTGGGAGGGCGGCTTCTTCGCCGCCATGTTCTGGAACCTTGGCCTGTCCTCCATGAGTGCTTCCAACGCTGCGACGGCCAAGAACAAGCAATTAGCCCCCTCGGCCGAAGCGCTCCGTCTCCGGAGCTACGTTGGCCGCGCCTACTTGATGGATCTTGCCGTGCTGGCCGATGCTAGTGACACGGTAATCTGCACCGTCAGTGCCATGGGCTGCCGTCTGCTGGCCGTCATGATGGGTTGGGAGCGCGCAATGGAACATCACAACTGGATCAATGTCGACGGCCCGTACGGGTGGACTGGTCTTACTTTCTAAGAGGACTCGTCAGGAGGGCATGTATGGCTCGCTCAGCCGAGCCATGAGGACAGCATTCAACATCTACTTCATCTGCATGGTTCCAGGTGTACGGCGTCAAAAGCGAAGGCACATGCGGTCTTTATTTTCCTTTTTCTTTACAACACTTCGACATGGTTTTTTGTTTTTCAAGGTCCCCGGGATTCATCAAGAGATACCTCTGCAAACGTGCTTCGAGAAGTAGCGTTTTGCATGCATTGAGGCTGAGAACAGAGAAACAGCCGACGGTCGTTACTGCCACATCTAATCATATTACACGCAAAAAAAAACCAAAACAAACATAACACTATACCACGATACCGAAGCGGTGTGTGTTCGTTCGAGGCACAGCTGCATTCGAGACAATAGCTAGCTAGCAAGCAAAACAAAATAAAAGAAACAGTAAAATTAGACTTGTGTGCAATTTCTCGCTGCCGTGAAAGAAACTAATGCGCAAACCCCAGAACCGCATATGTTTTGGATCACGCGGGGAGGGGGCATGTCTGGGCTTCAGCTAAATGATTTGTTCTGTCACCATCGTACGCTGCCCGGATGCATGTTCCTACCCGCTGGTGATGTAGCGCAGCCGGCTGCTTGGTGTTGTTTCTCGCTTGGAGGCAGGTGCCCCTTTCCTGCGTAATACGGAGGATCGTCGACCTCACCCGTTTGTTTGCTACCACGTCAAGACTGAGGCTCAGATAGACCCCGGACGATTGATCTGTTTTGCATTGCGTTGGTCTCGCAGATCATGCACATGGTCATATATATATCATGTCGATGATCTACGGTTTAGGGTAGACGATGTTGCATCACACATGTAGCGGTTGCCTTGCTACATACGCAGAGTGCCGGATGAAATGCCGTGAGACTAAATACATATACAACCGGCTGGAGCTGATTTCTCAGAGAGGAAATAAGCCACATGGAAAGGACTTTCTTGTTGCTCTTCCCTCACGTTTCCTGCGGTGTGTTTGTTGTGGGCGATGGCGAGCATGTGCGATGTGCGTAGTCGACTGAGCCAACCCAACTCTCACAGCCAACGGCAGGCGGGCAGTCACCATGGACGTACCTCTAGCTCTTGCCTGGTGAGCTTCCTTCCCAGCGTCGAAGCTAGTTAGCCGAACTTCGTCCCGTGGTCTTTCAACAGTTTAGCTGGGACCAAGTGGCCCAGTTGGTAAAAGCAGATAGCTAAAATAAATTCTCCTCTAGAGATGCAAACTGAGTTTGAGGGGGGCGCTCGTTCGAAACACGTCGAGGGCCATGAAAAGGGTGATTCCTTTTTTTTTTGGGTCCTCGTTCTTTTCGTCTTTGTTGTCGACACCATTCGGCCATCAATACTATTCTCTGCTTCACGTGAAGCACTAGCAGAGCTTGTATTAAATAGCCCGAGGTAGAACATGACCTCTGTTGAAATTCTGCAGCTAACTTTCCTCGCCTCTCCTTTTTGTCGCTGGCGTTCGCCGTGGTTACGCTGGCCAGCCCACTGAGCCTCGGAATAGCACGAGGTAAACGGAACGAAGTGAATGCACCACTTGTATCCAATTCTCTCCAAACGACAAAACAGACACAATGTTAGTTCTGTACTCCTTTAATGATGACTAGTGTGGTCTTTACGGGTCGTGTTCGACTTTTGGGGGGTGCCCTCCGGTGAGGCTCTTGTGAGTGCATACCTAGTCTGGCAGGTGCGCTCCAGAGAGCAAGATACGATCTCTGACAAAGGTAACGATTTAGCAAGCAGCTTCACACTCAATCTTACATGAGAAATGGATACGGAATTGGATTGAATTCCTATGGCCCAGTACAGCGGGTTCAACCTAGCCGCGCTCCGAACTGAAGCTAGATAAAAGGAATGAGGTGTTTAAATAGTAGTTGGCGCAAACTTGATGTCCTCAAATCTGTCATCACCGCCCGCCTCGACAGCAGGCATCATGATCATTCGGAAGTCGCAGTCTCTCACTTTCATGTGAGGGAAAGCGCTGCTGACTGCCATCCACTCCTCTATAGTAGACCCTTTGGTAGAAAGTCCCATAGTCCATTTCAACGCAACATGTCAGGCTAGAAGACGCAAACTCCCGTTATGACATGAGAATCCCCAGTTCTGTAGGAAACCACACAGAAAGCGAGCGAGTCAAAAGAGACTGTGGCATACCTACGAAGTTGCACGCGATGAATTTCAACCCAATAGCCTGTGCTAAGGTCGTGACTTGTACCGAGCCGAGTAAGCTACATCTCTTCAGAACAGTGTGTTAGCCAAAATGACCTTTGTTTGACTTTCTGTCAGAAACAAATAGCTAGGTGATGTCAATCCAAAGGGAAAAGATTCACCAGCTGCATATAAAAAAAAAGGAGACAGCAGCCAAAAGTGTAGACGCGAATTGTCAATATACCCATCGTGGAACCCGAGTTACGTGAGCTTGGCGAGTTGTCCTCAGCAGGCTTGTACCCGCACCTCGTATTCGGCTTCTGTGGCCCTCGGGGTCCTTTGAGTCCCAACTTGCCGCAACGCAACTGCCGACTGAGGGCTATCCGAGGTGCTGCAGCTCATTATCTTACCTAAGGAGTGTGAGATGTAGTCAGTCCCCAATAAGTTGTACGTTGGAAAGCGTAGTACGTTGTAGCGACAGGGGCATTATATCGGCTACGTGCTCTCGATTGAAGGTGGCCAAACAATATTGTCGGAACCTGCGAATGATGTGGTGATCCAGACGCTGCAGGGATGTCAAAGAGAATGGTAAGAGCCTGGTTCATGCTGCAGAGGAACCTCAAGAGCTTAAGCTCCATCCTAGACTAGTGACAGATTCACGAAGAACAATCGTGATGAGTAACCCGAGTTTGGTCTGATGACGTTTGGTTGTGGCTGACGCAAGAACAACGATTAGCTAATCGTTGTCTCTCCAGCAAGTGTCAAGAATGGAGGGGCAACTGTCAGCCCCTCGTCCAGTTTGGATATCGGACGCACGCTCTGGAAGAAGTGATGACAACGGATATAATGACAGAGTTGACGTTGACAGAACCTTGCGAAGCTGAAGACATGGCAAAAGCTGGAGTCACATCGGAAATACAGGATATGTGCGATAGTGAGGCGCAGATGGAGATGGTGGTGAGGTTGGCCCTCGGATTCTTATTCGGGTTCCAGGTTGGCAATTGCGCGCATGTGAGTGGCCACAGACCACCTCAGGATTCCACCGCTGGACGCTGTATTATCCGTACCTGCCTCGGGCAGATTCGCAGATTTCCGCCAACAGGGACGGGGTTCGGCTGGGGTAGTCTCTAGCGAATCGAAAGCAGAGGACACCAGAAGCCCTTGACGACAACAGTGTTTCAAAGGTGGAAAAGTGCGTCGATTGGCGACTGGACGGGGGCAGTTCGAAAGTGGCTTCATCGCATTGAAAGACTTGCTTCTAGAGTTCTCGGTGTTGGCCTTCTATCGAATCATTCCCTTCTCCCACTGCTCGATTAGGCAGTGAGGGTCTCTTTATACGAATACGAACGGCCCGTCATTGGTCGGTAGCCGGAGCCAACTCATTGGCCCATCCGACACCCTTGCTCCTGAGTTTCTGGCGCAACATGCAAGCTGAAGCAGCAGTCTCCAAAGCACTTAGGGGCAAGCCGCAAAGGTCTGGCAGGAAAGGTAGGCCAAATTTTTTTTTTTTTAGAAGAATTCAAGCCATGCAACCTGTTTCCTGGCAGGTGCACTGAGCTGCTCAGGCCTTCTAGGCACTAGAGACGATCTAGGGACAGCCTAGGGGCCCTGTGACAGACGCCCCCAAAATGCGTTGCGGGTGGCTACCGTGTCACTGGCCAGATGTCACAGCTTCTGGGCTCCATGGATATGCGAGATGCGCTTGACCGCCGGGAGCTTTCCCATATGGACCACGCATTGGCTCGCTCATCGCGCAGGTTGCTTGCGCAAAAATGTGGGACCCAACAAAACGCGGCAGATATCTAATCTCACTATGTGATAATTTAAAACCACCTCTGTAGCCCCCCCTTCTCGATAACCTACGCCTTCTGCTCTTTCTCGCGCCACTGCTGCTCGTGTGCTACCTCCGGTCAAGAACGTTGCGATCGCAGTCAAACTCGAAGACATCGCCAGTCCGCGTTCAATTGGCCCTCTTCTTTGCTTCCCTTCACACTACCAGCGACCCCTTTTCGTGCCCTCGAGGATGGGTCTCCTGCAGGAGGTCGCAGGACCGTTGTCGGACCAGTTCCAGAATCTGGGAACTGGTCTGCAGGTCACCGTCGGCTTTTTTGCCGTCATCGTCCTCTCCGTCGTCCTCAATGTCCTGTCCCAGGCCCTCTTCAAGAACGCCAACGAGCCTCCTCTGGTCTTCCACTGGTTCCCCTTCGTCGGCAGCACCATCACATATGGCATGGACCCCCCGACCTTCTTCAAGGTCAACCGTGAAAAGGTACGCGCACCCCAAAACTCCCAGTGTCGCAATAAACTTCCGGAACAAGCCTCCCGTACTGACAAGCATCACCCTGACAGTATGGTGATATCTTCACTTTCGTCCTCCTTGGCAAGAGAACCACCGTCGCCGTCGGCCCCCAGGGCAACGACTTCATTCTCAACGGCAAGCTCAAGGATGTGAACGCCGAGGAAATCTACACCGTCTTGACCACTCCTGTCTTTGGGCGCGACGTCGTCTACGACTGCCCCAACGCCAAGCTCATGGAGCAGAAGAAGGTACATTGCCGCGGAAACTCTCCCGCCGGAAGCTTTGTTGCTGACAGCTCCCGCCCCTCCAGTTCATGAAGATCGCCCTGACCACCGAGGCCTTCCGTTCCTACGTCCCTATCATCGCCGACGAGGTTTCCAATTACTTCAAGCGCAACCCTGACTTCAAGGCCAACTCCGGCGTTGTTAACCTGCCTCCGAAGATGGCCGAGATCACCATTTTCACCGCTTCCCACGCGCTCCAGGGTGCCGAGATCCGCAACAAGTTCGACGAGACCCTCGCTGCTCTGTACCACGACCTTGATATGGGCTTCACCCCCATCAATTTCACCCTGCACTGGGCGCCTCTCCCCTGGAACAAGAAGCGCGATCACGCCCAGCGCACCGTTGCTCAGATCTACATGGACACCATCAAGGACCGCCGCGACAACGGCCGCACTGACGGTCTTGACATCATGTCCCACCTTATGAACTCCACCTACAAGAACGGCACCAAGGTCCCCGATCACGAGATCGCCCACATGATGATCGCCCTCCTCATGGCCGGCCAGCACTCTTCGTCTTCCACTAGCTCCTGGATCATGCTCCGTCTCGCTCAGTACCCCCAGATCATGGAGGAGCTCTACCAGGAGCAAGTCCGCGTTCTCGGCGCCGATCTGCCTCCCCTGAAGTACGAGGACCTTGCGAAGCTACCCCTCAACCAGGCCATCATCAAGGAGACCCTCCGCCTGCACGCTCCTATCCACTCCATTATGCGCGCCGTCAAGTCTCCCATGCCCGTCCCCGGTACCAAGTACGTTATTCCCACCAGCCACACCCTTCTCGCCGCCCCCGGAGTCTCTGGAACCGATCCCGCCTACTTCCCCAACCCCGAGGTCTGGGACCCCCACCGCTGGGAGGCCGACTCTCCCAACGCCCCGAAGATTGGCGGCAAGGATGCCGAGGACGAGGAGAAGGTCGACTACGGTTACGGTCTGGTCAGCAAGGGTGCCGCATCGCCCTACCTGCCCTTCGGCGCCGGCCGTCACCGGTGCATCGGCGAGCAGTTTGCCAACGTGCAGCTGCAGACCATTACTGCCATGATCGTCAGAGAATTCAAGTTCCGCAACGCCGACGGCAGCGACAAGCTCATCGGCACAGACTATGCCTCTCTCTTCTCACGGCCTCTGGAGCCTGCCAACATTTACTGGGAGAAGCGTGAGGCGTAAGTTTTTGTGGGAGCGGGATTTGGTCAGATTTTGGGTTTTGGGGAATGTATATTGTAAGCCATTATGACTATATCACATGGCCGGAGACAAGAAAAAAGACATAGACATGAGAGCGCTACGGCGCAGATGGCAGACTAAAGATGGTCGCTGTCGAATAATATTAATACAAAAGAAGTTATGACATCACGAACAACATCCATCAATCCCACCAAAGAAAGAAAAAACTGCCGATCCCCATGGCGCAAACCGTAACCGCGCTGATGAATTTGACGTATATTGTCAATCAGAAGTTTAAGGTCACAGGCCGTACTGTGTCCCCGTGCAGGCGCATGTCAAGGGTGCGGGGCCCAGCCGGATGGTGATGTTGACGACTTCCCCATGCTGGGACTTGTTCGGTCGGTCGGCATAGCGTTTTGTTTCAAAGCCAGTGCGGTAACCGGGGTGGTCTGGACGACGTCTCAGACCGGGACATCCCCCCTTCTCAACCTTCGCCTCATCCCAATCCTACACCTTAGGCTCACTCATACCCAAAGCCGTCACTCACGCAATCGCCTTACGAACAGCCGCGTACAACTGGCGTGGGGGGTTTTGAGTTTATCCCTTGACGTCGCATCCAACGTCAATTGCATCCCGAACCGTCCGTCGTCGCTCGATATATATCGAGGTTATCGCGTGACGAAAATCAGCCCTACCACCTGCCCTGCGACAGCAATTACGTGCGGTCGCATTACTCGTCAAAAAAATCCAGGATCTACGCCCAACGCCGACAGTCGGAATGAGTGCGGAGGACGAGAACCTGGGGCCCCTGGTCCGGCTATGGGGCCTCCGGACGGAGCAGCTCCCGGCGCCGAGCGCCACTACCGCCGACTTGGCGCCGTTTCTCATCGCCGTGCTGCAGGAAGCCGTCCCTTTCATTGATGCCGTTGCGCCCAAGGATGGTACTGCAAGGCCAAGTGAGTGGAAGGCGAAGGGCAATAAGTCCTATCCTGAATCGACGGCGCAGGTTGAGCTGTACGAGCGCGTTATCCCCGCCGCAGAACTCGAAAAGGAGGCGGCGAGGAACTGTCTGTCAAATGGCGTGGATGCTCCTGAGACGTGGGCTTGTCGGAGGAGCATTCACAAGGACAGGCCATCGAAGGGGACTGCGGCTTGGGAGGAGTTTGTAAAGTGCTTCAAGGACGACCATGTTGAGGCTGAGAAGGCTTTTACTCCGAATGTCATGGAGGCGAGAGAGGCGTTGGCCTGGGATTGCGCCGGGATCGCTGTTGAAGAGGGCGGCTCGACGTGGGACGACTTCAGGGTTGGCGTATTCGAGATCAAGCACAAACTCGGAATGCCGCTGAAGAACCGCGTGTTTCCCGAGTTGATCATTACGGCAAAGGCGAGGGAAGCCGACGAGTTCATCGTTGTGTCCATCCCCATGGCAGATCTCGACAAGGCGGACTACGGCGGACTGGTCAAGGAGAAAGGGATCGTCATGGCAGCCTATGTGAGCGTCGAGAGAGTGAGGAAGACGCCAACGGGCGCAATCGAATGGATCATGGCAACGGCATCGGACGCAAAGGGGGTCTTGCCTGCTTGGATACAGGCCAGAGCTGTGCTTGGTGTGGTTGCCAAAGACGTGGCGCTCTTTCTGGGATGGATCGCTGAGGAGCGCGAAAAGGGAACGAGCGTGGGCAAGTGGACTGCCGTCAAGGGGAACAGAACCGATCCCAACCGCAGAGCATCGACTACCCTTGAGGATGGCGAGTCCTCCTCGCAGGGAAGGAACTCAAGACAGGGGGTGTCGTCGAGACATGGGAAGGAACCGGCTGCTAGTTTGAACGGGACGAGGGCAGGGACGAATGGGCAAGCACACGTTTGAAGGGCGCGTTCTGGTATATTGGACGGAAGTAATGGAAAGCGACTAACTATCCTACCCTAATTTGCAACTTATGGAATTCGCTCAATTGCATTGTTTCGTTGCCGGGCCACGTCGAAGATGCATACTTTGATCGGTACTCAGCCGTCCGGTTTCTGTGTCTTTAGACACCTTGAATGGGAGGTGAATACAACATGACAATTCAGAAAGGCCAAGAAGTTGCGTGTCAACGGAGTTGCTGAAGAGGGGCTTCCTTCCTCGTCACCGCACCCGAGGAAGGTGCTAAGGGGAGACTCCTGCCGCCGGGGGGTAAAGGCAAGGACTCTAGGTCTTTCCCAAAACAAGGTGCTTATATGACCTAGGTAAAAGGCAGTCCTTGGCCCGCGCCGGCGCTTGCTTTGGAGCCCCTCACCTGCCATTGTACCTTACGTGACTGCCTTCCTTCCCACCTTCCCCTCTCCCATTGCCAGAACCCGTCGCTTGATTTCCGACACAAACCGGCTCGCGGTATCGGCCATATCCCCTCCCCGCGTCTTTTTACTGCTGAATAGGCTTCTTCTCACACTCGTTTCCGACTTCTGTTTTCCAATCTAGCCCGGGCCCCCTTAATCTTTGTTATCCAGAAGCTGCTTTGTAGTATATTCCCGTCGCGAACCCGAGATTCGTTCAACAATTCAGCCAGAATGAGCGTGACCTTTCCCGCCAGACCAATGGCAACGGACCACATGACATCCTCCACCACGCCGGTAAATGCAGTCCCTTCCAATCTTTCGTTGATCTGGTCAGAAGAGGGTCTGTGGAATCATGGTAACCATTATACGCAGGCTCTTGGCAATGGTCCGATCGTACCAGACACGCTGCTGTACTACAATCTCTATGATCAGCTCTGGAAGCAGCGCCAGAAGCAAGAGGACTTCGAGAAACGGCTCGACACCAGTGAGAAGGAGAAAGAGGAATTTCGCACCACTTTTCAAGCAGAGCTCAGCGCCCTAGAAAAGCAGCTCAAAGGTCAGACATCGGCGTTCATGAAGAAGCTCCGCCAGTCAGAGGAGCGATTGGAAGCCAGGCTAGACGCAATGCAGCGCCAACTTGATACACAAAAGGCCACACAAAACGCAAATGCGGAAACAGTGCAACACGACATCCGTAATCTTCAAAGGAACCTAGATCTGAGATCGGGCCAACAGACTGCGCCAGCGCCAGCGTTGCCTGTGGTTCGCGACCTCAAACGACCTATCACGACAGGTGAGTCGACAAGCAATCTGTTTTCGCAGATGAGCTGACCGCTGTAAGATGAGGCAGTAGCAATCAAGCGAAGAAAAGAGGATGAACGTTCGCCAGTGGTCGACTTAGATACGCGCGGGCACCCACGGTCTAGCTCCCCGAAGCCGACGCAAACTCGATCGAAAACCAGGCCAAAGCAGTCAGTCTCCGGCAACAGTCGCGAGAAGGCGTCCAAGACTCGGATGGAAGAGTTTCGCCAGCACCAGAAGGATGTCCATGACGCATATCTGCAGCTGAAATCCACAAACTTCAATGCAGTGCGAGCATTCGTGTACAAGTTCATCGAGAACATATCCGACTTCGAAATTTCGCAGAAGTTCCAACTGGGATTACTCACAATGATGCCGGATTATTTTAGAGAGGGGAAGAAAAGCAAATACGGTTGGCGACATGTTGTTGCTGTGGGAGGTACTTTGAATTGGGAGGATGTCTCGCGAGTCGCCAGTTCCATTGAAGTTGGCGAGGACTAGAACTGAAGGATGGGGAGAGAAGTTTTTCGCTGGGTGCTGGGTGATTAAAGTGCTTTGGGCCTGTGAGTATTTGCTTTGCGAAAATTAGGAGATTGGGAGACCTGACGTAAATGATGTTCCGTAGCAGAGTTCCCGGCTTGATCGTTATCCTAGATATGAATAGAGTCTCTTAAGTCATGGAATGGAAAATGGTTCGAAGAGACGAGGAACGTCAGTGCGCCCCCTACCTTGTCAGTGGAGTTTGGCGCGAATGGTGTGTTTGTCACGCTAAAACTTACCACGCGTGTCCTGCAAGGCTGCAGCACTAGGTACCCCAGATACCTCGCCCAGGTACCTTTCCCGCGCTGCAACAGTCCATTGAAGCTGGAAGACCAGGGACGGTGCGCCACACCTCCAAGCCAACAGGAAGGTCCGGACCCAGAGAACTTTCCGCGACGACTCCAGGTTTTCCATTCCAAACAGCCTCTCACGGTCGACAAATGCCATCGTTAGCAAGTATTTTGTCGCGGCACTCTACTTCATACGCTACCTACCACCTCCGAATGCGATCCGCCTAGTCACGAAGGAGGCTCCGACCGGCGCCTGCCACTCCTGGCGCGACAGCTTCACCCATCGCCACATCTCGTGAATCTCGCAGCGCATCCGAAATCGATATATCCAAGCTTTTCCCTACTACATCTTCCTCAATATGCCTGATATAAGCGCTCCACCGCCGCCGCCGCGACCCAAGTTGAAGCTCAAGGCATCATTCAGCGAACCGAACGGGGCGCCCGCGACGCCGTCAGTGTCGACTCCTCTCTCGACAACGAAGATCAAGCTCAAACCCTCACAACCGCCAACGCCCGCCAGCACCGACACACCGAAACCTGTGAAGACGAAGGCAGGACGTCAACCGAAGCCAACGAGCAAGCTCATCGAATCGAAGAAGCGTGAACAAGACGAGATCGACGACGATGGCTTAAGCCGGTCTGCGAAGAAGATTAAGCTCCTCAAAACGCCTACTGTGTCGACTCCAGGCAACCGTCACATTGTGGTTAAGGCTAAAGGCAAACCACCAGTTCATCCCCCCGGCGATGGCTACGATTCGGAAGCTAGCGACCAAGAGAAGGACCCCGTCATCGAGGAACAGTTCATATTGCGTATGATGCCCGGCGAACACTGCGAATATGTCAGGAAATGTATAGAGGAAGGAAAGGTCGGTGTGGCGCGAAAAGACGGCGGCGCGGATATTGCCATCAAGTTTATCGACGACGAAAGTCGACGCGCTTTGGTTATTGTCAAAGGTCAGCATTACGCGGCGGTCATGGTGGAGTTGCCAACCATCACAGAGGGCATGAAGTCTTGGGACAGGAAAACCTTCATGAAGTCGGCCGACATTTGCCACATGCTCCTTGTCTTTCAACAAGTAAAGAGTGAGGAGGAGGCGAGGAAGGTACCGCTACCGCCGATGATCCAACCCGGATTCAAATGGCCTCACGGTCTGACACCGCCTATGCACGACGCTGCCAATCAGAGATTTGCAAAGGTCATTAGTCGGTCGGAGATCGAACTCAAGGAAAATGAGGTTAAGAAACTTTTAGCGGCCGACGCGGCTGCTGTATCCTCCAAGTACGAACTCATCGATGAGAACAAACCCACGTACGAGGAGTACTCCGAAGACGAACAAGATGCCGATGGCGAGGCAGACGACAGTGGCTACTTCCCGGCCGAGGGTTACGCTAACGGCGAACTGTTCGACGATGACCTTGAGGCTGAGCTGGAGGCTGCCTTTGAGGAGGAGATGAATCAACCAGCAACAGAGGTTGGAACGCCGGCAACACAGTTTGAGGCAGCTACGCCGATGACAATGAACACGGGCACACCAGCGGCCAACGCGCAAGACAGTGGCGATGGAGAGGAATCCGCTGTGAGCGAAGAAGATGAGGACGATGACGACGACGACGATGATGACGACGACGACAGAGCCCGTCTGGATGAAGTCAAGGCCGTCCGTGAAGACATTACACAACTCAAGAATGAAATCAGCAAGAAGGAGGCTGAGATGGCTACAATTAGCAACAAGATCTTGCGTGGCCGCGTGGAGTCTCGTCTCAAGGATCTCAAGGCAGAGCTTCATCTCAAGATGACCTCAATAGGAGAAGAGGAAGAGGATGAGGACTAGTTGGTGTTATCGAAGCACTGGGAATAGCGTGGGGCATTCTTCAAAATGGGTTGACCTCTGTCGTGGGTCACATACAGTTCTACAGCTATGTATGCCTAGAGCAGAATCATAGGCACATAAGCATAATATTGAAAAGCAAAAGTGCTTCGTAACGTCCTGTCCCCTCTAGTTGAGTCATTGAAGTGATGATATAAGAGCCGGCGATGCCGACAGTAGATATTTTACAAGAGCCAAACCACCTTTTTTCATGCTCTCTATGGTACATGACCCAAGCCCGCGACCGCCGCAATCCCGTGAATGCCCACACCTGCACCACAGACCATGTTTACATAGACTTGAGGTAGTTAGTCTCCTTGATCTTGGCCTTGCGCTCCTTGCGCATCGCCTTGCGCAGGTCTTCTCTCTTCTCCAGGGCTTGCAGGTTATGCGCAGCATCCTTGCCCTTTTCTCCAGGCAAGTTGATGGACTGCTGCGGCATGGGGATCTTGGGAGCGAGGGCCTCCGTATCACCGGAGGCGAGAAGCTTGGCTTCGATGGCCTTTTGGCGCTTGGCGGCAAGCTTACGTTGCTTCTTGGATTTGGCTGGTGGGCGCATAGGAATGTTAGCAAAAGAACCAGATCACACGAGCGGTTTCCTAGGTCTGCTCGGCGGGCACACGTACAGAACATCTCGGCGGCGAGATCATCCGCAGACTCTGTAGTCTCCTTCTTGGTCTCGAGGCACGTCCACAGCCAGTCGGGGTACTCCTCATCGGGGAGGGCAACGGGATCCGTCTTGCCCTTCGTGTAGTTCAGGCCGTTGAGGACGGTGCCGGCGGGGCAGGAGGACACTGGCTTCGCGGGCGTCTTAACGGTGTCGTCTTTGATGTTGGACAGCTTCGGGGGGGCCTCCGGGTTGGCGGGGGGTGCTGGCGCAGCATCGGGCGCGGCAGAGGTGCCGGCGGCAGCGTTTCTTGTCCGCGCTGAGAGGGAGAAAGGTCTGACGAGGAGGGCGCCGGCGCTGGGTTGAAGACGCGGCAGAGCCGTGGCTCGCCGCATACATGTTCTGCAAATCATGCTGGTTCTCTGATGTGTTTACGCGACAGGACGGGACGGCGCGCCTGGTGTTGGTCGTCGACGGAGGAGGGGTCCTAGTCGTGGTGTTGCGGGATGCGTGAGCTTGAGCTTGGGGTGCGGTGGAAAAATTCTGGGGCGGGCTGGACGGGCCTGTTGCGCACCCGGCGTCGGAGGCCCACGTCAAGTGAGGTGCACCGAAGCTACAGACACGCTGCAATACACTCCTCGAGGGTTTGGAGAGCCCATTGAACAATCAATTGAGTGCGTTTTCAAGTTTTGAACCACTTCTCGAGTAATGGCAACTGATCCAGACATTTTCGTCTGTAAATCGATATCCGTGTCGGATAAATGCATAACTTCAAAAAGCCTTGATTGATTCGTTTGTACATATAGCGCGAGGAATATCTCCATCACGCGGCCAATTGCCATGATATTGAAATGGCCCAGATCCTCCGTTTCCCTTCCAGTTGTCAACGGGAACCTCTATCAAAGCGACGCCGTATTCCGCATCGGAACGCTCATTAACCATCACGCCTAGACAAAGTTCATTCATGCCTGCTTGGTGATGTAGTTCTGCTGCTGGAACAGTGTGCCCTTGACCTTCTTCTCCTTCAACAGCTCAAGGTACTTTTCTGTATTCATGCGTCAGCAGTCCGACCTCCTGAACGAATTGAGTCTGCCTGTTGCTGTCCAACAAGCCCTCGCGCCGGATGAGACTAACCCCTCAAGTGCCCGCACTTCTCCAAGTGGTTGACACCCTCCTTCTTGTAGCACTTGCCCAACTCCTCTCCGACGAGACGCAACATCATGGCGCCGACCCATTGCTCGCGGATGATGGCGTCTTGTGCCTGCTTGAACGCCTTGGTGTCGTCGTAGTCGACGCCGTCGAACGTCGGCGGGACCTTGGGCTTCTGGGCCAGGAACATCTCGGACTCGGGGGTCGGCATCTTGGCTGGTGGTGGGATCGAGTCGTCTCGGGTGGAACGGAGTCGAATTGGTCAATGGGGCACCGGAGGTCGAGGGGTGCGTCGCGGCGAGACGTTGAGCTTTGGTGGTGATCGATTTCGGGACCGGGTTGGTTGGCTGGCCTGGGCTGCACTGGGACTGGAGGAGCAAGCTAAAGGTCAGCAGAATGTGGCGGCCTGAATTCGCAGGCTACAGGCCCGAAGCCTCCCCCAGGCACACGACTCGGCTACGGCTTTCGGTACGTACCCACTGCTCATGCAGCCCCTCGCTCACCGCCCGCGCCAGTCGCGGGCGCCCCGCTAAAAAGTTGGCAAATCGCAAAAAAAAATCTCTGTCGCAGGACCCTTCGCCCCAACCACCGGACCCTGGCCTTATAAGTCAAGCTACCACCTCGATACACCTCAGAAATTTTCCTCGAGCATCCTCCCATCTCTGGAAAAAAGCCTTTCTGCTGCTCTTTTCCATTCTTCTATCCTTACTTCCCCCTCTCTATACCCTTAATCCTTTATACCCACACACATCACAATGGGCAAGACCAAGTCTACCACCAAGGGCAGCAAGGCCGCTGACCCTCTCACCAAGGTGAAGAACGCCGGCGTCTCTAAGGCTTCTGAGAGCCCCAAGGCCAAGTCCAAGGCCATCGCCAAGGACCTCGCCACCAAGGAGAAGAAGAAGGCCAAGAAGGTCGTCGAGCCTGAGTCCGAGTCTGAGTCTTCCGACAGCAGCGAGTCCGAGGAGGAGGAGGAGTCAGACTCTTCCGACTCTTCCGACTCTGAGGAGGAGAAGCCCGCCGCCAAGAAGGCCGCTCCCAAGGCCGCTGCCAAGAAGGCTGCCGAGTCCTCCGACAGCGAGTCTGAGGCTTCCGACTCTGACTCCGACTCGTCCGAGTCTGAGGAGGAGGCTCCCAAGGCCAAGGCCAAGGCCAACGGTGTCGCTAAGACCAACGGCGCCGCCAAGAAGGACGAGTCTTCCGACAGCGACTCCAGCGAGGAGGACTCTGACGACTCCGAGGACGAGAAGACCGACAAGAAGGCTGAGAAGAAGGCCGAGGTAAGCACCATCCACGTCGCCTGCTGTGTCAACATCCACTAATAGCTCCCGACAGTCTTCCGACTCTGACTCTGACTCTTCCGACTCCGATGAGGAGGAGGACTCCTCCGACTCTAAGGAAGCCTCGGAGGCTGAGACCAAGACCGAGGAGCCCTCCAAGAAGCGCAAGGCCCTGGACGACCCCGTCATCCCCGGCAAGAAGGCCCGCACCGACATCTCTGACAAGAGCTCTACCCTCTTCGTTGGCTCCCTTGCCTGGGCTGTCGATGACAACACCCTCTACGAGGCCTTCCAGGAGTTCCCCGACCTGACCGGTGCCCGCGTCGTCACCGACAAGCAGACCGGCCGCAGCCGTGGCTTCGGCTACGTCGACTTCGGCAACCCTGAGGCTGCTGCCGCTGCCCTCGAGGCCTCCCAAGGAAAGGACCTCGCTGGCCGCGCCATGAACATTGACTTCTCTGGCCAGAAGCCCGCCGGTGACGGCAACCACCAGGCTCGTGCCCAGGACCGCGCCCAGAAGCACGGTGACACCGTTAGCCCCGAGTCCGAGACTCTGTTCGTCGGTAATCTGCCTTTCGACACCGACCAGGACACTGTCCACGCTTTCTTCAGCGAGGTTGCCGAGGTTGCCAGCGTTCGCCTGCCTACCGACCCGTAAGTCATACCACATCATGGTGTTAAAGATCCACAAGACTAACAACGTCAACAGTGACAGCGGCAACCTGAAGGGTTTCGGCTACGTCTCTTTCAACAGCATCGAGGACGCCAAGTCCGCCTTCTCTCAGCTCAACGGTCAGTACCTCGGTGAGGGCCGTAGCGGCCGTGCCGTCCGTCTGGACTATGCTGGCCAGAAGCCTAACCGTGACGGTGGTGGCCGTGGTGGTGGCCGCGGTGGCTTCGGAGGCCGTGGCGGCGGTCGTGGTGGTGGCCGTGGTAACTTCGGTGGACGTGGCGGTGGTCGCGGCGGTGGCCGTGGTGGATTCTCCTCCACCAACCGTGGTGGCTTCGGTGACTTCAAGGGCTCCAAGATCACCTTCTAAGTAGTGACACAAGCCACACGATGATGATGATACTTCAGAGGGCATATATCGCGGGTACACACTGTGGGCTTCGTGGGCTGTCGGTTCGAGACAAGTTTCTTCCCTGCGGGGATTGTGGGCTTTGAGAGCAGTCTCCTTAGAGACATGATGGACCTGAGGGCATTTCACTTTGACCGTGGGCTTGTGGCGTCTCTTGTATATCACAGAGGCATATTGTGGGATCTGTACGCTATTGTGGGTTGACCAAGAGGGCATATGTTGCATAGGCAACATCTTCACAGTGGGCAGACGGCTTATTATCCAAAAGTTGGGAAGAATCTTGTGTGTCTGTATACTCAGACATGTCCGCGAGGGGATCAACTTTGACGATGACGACGGCTTCTGTGGGCTCTGGGGGTTGCTCTCGGCAGTCTACCTACGGGTATGCTGTTGATGTGGCTGGTCAGGCGTTTTCTCTCCTTCGGTTACTCTTTGAACTTGGAACGATACCATGCTTTGCGACGCAGAATGGAGTAAGTATACCTTCTCCCCGTGAATGTCATTATTCGGCAGGGCAAAATATTGGCCATGAGGACTTCGGCGTTTAGGGATCGGCTCCTAGTGTAATAAAAGTTTTGATGTTTATCCATGAACACGTTCTTGCAGTTCCATTCCGTGCTTCTTGTGATGATGTTGTGAACAATACACGTATCTAGTGAGGTTGGCGTGGCTGGCAGTAATTAACATTTCATGCAGTTTATGGTTGGCTGTCTCACAGCAGGGAAGTGCCCGACTTCGCTCCCATTCGCCAGCAACCTCGTGGCTCAGCTTCCCGCGCGACGGTGCGTCATTGGGCGGCACGAGGTATAGTTCCAGCCACCCCCGTGATGACGGGTAATCTACAACTCTCCCATCAGTCTAGAACAGCGACTGAAGACATTGGTCACTTCGCCATCCGCGCCCTCCAGCAGCAACGTCACGGGTGAACACCCTTCGCCGTTGGATGGGCTGAGACGCCCCGGGTGGAAGCGCCGCAAACTTGCTCAGCCGTTGCAGTTCGTAAGGAGCGCATGCGGACATAGTATGCGTTGCTGCGCTTAAAGCAACGAAACGGACGAATCTGTTGGGGAACGGAACGGTGGAGCGGCGGGGAGAGGAGATGGTCACGTCAGTGGAATCTGGCATGACTTAGGGGACGATTATAAGACGACAATCGCGGCGTGTCACGGCCTGTCTTGGGATCGTCCTTGTCGCGGGATGCAAGTCGCAGACCACTCATTGACGCCAGACGACGGTTCTGCAGGTTCACAGCTGCTTTTGTAGCACCGGGTCGCAACTTTAAGGCCCAACGTCGAAGGCCGGTGTCGGTGCTGCTCCGGTGTAGCTTGACAACGATGACATGAGGGTGGAATGCTAATGCCGGTCTGGCGCTGATACTGATGCTGGTGCTGATGGTAAAGCAGGCGCAGCTCGCGCTTCCCACTGTTTTCCCACGGTACGGTTTCTCCACTGACGTGCACCTGACCCCGCTACCTCGCAGCACTTGGCGGCCCGGAAGACGTGTGCGGGTGGGATGTTTGGGGGCCGGCAGACGGTACGGGATTCGAGGCACGGTACCGATCATTATGCCTGGCTGCAGCACAACCCAGGTTCTGCGCAGTCTGGCGAACAGTATTGCAGCACGCCGCTATAATAGCGTCATGGACCTGCGACTATCCGCACTGTCCTTATCTGGGCTGTTCGCAGCTGGAATGCCTCAGAATCACCTCGGGCGCACCGTCTGATGTCGACGGGATGGCCCAAGCACCTGACACGGTGCGATGGCCGGAATCTACAAGCGCCGGCCCAAAGCAGCAGGTCACTCTGCACCATACGGGGGCTGCAGGTGTACATCATCTTCCTGGTCCGCTCCGTTATCCATTTCTCCAAGACTCCAGTCTCCAAGTCTCCGCCGTATCGCATGCCTGTTGGATGGAGACTGGTCCCCTTCCCCCCTCAACCACCACCCCCTACCTACCTAACCTCCTACGTTTACGTGCTGCAACAAAGAGCAAGCCAGCCAGCCAACGGGCAGGGCCTCAACACCATCTCACCGACCCTGCGTGCCTTGGTGAGCTAAGCCAAAGTCGAAGCGGTCTGCTGCATCTTTCCTCCTAACTTTCCAACTTCTCCCTTTCCTCCGCTCCTCTGACCTTTGTACACCACGTTTTCTCGAACCATCGTCGGCGTCGCGCGAACAGACATCTCGGACCGCGAGCTAAGCATCTCCAGCGTATACTTCTTATCTCGCTCAAAACGCGGGGTTTCGGACGGAGGAAGCGCCTCCCCCCCACACTCGTCCAGCCACATCCCCCGGCGTCGACGACGACTTCATCCCTTACGAACCAAGGCCACGCACGAACTTGTTGCTTTTTCATTTTGTTCTGTTTCAACGGCGTCGTAAAAATAAGGCATAGCATCATGGATGGACAGCAGCAGCAGCGCGACGACCGCGCTGGTCAGAACAATAGAGTCCCGGTAAACGGAGCGCAGTCCGCCGCAGGGCCGCGCAGGAGAAATGACGGTCAGTGGCTTGCGTTCCAGGGGCTCGGTGCAGCTGACGATGAAATACTGACACGACGTCCCTCAGAATCTTGGGTCGAAATCGCGTCGCAGCCGTCTTCGTCTTCGCTTTCGTCCATCGGAGACGAGATCGTCACGACCGGTCTCCGAGTCGGCGGGTCTATGGCCGCTCGCCGACGTCGCTTACATCACCCACCCGCCCCTCGGTCTTTCCATGTCGACCAGACAGCTATTCACGCTGGCACAAGCAGTCAGGAAGAATATGAAGAGAGCGAGAGCGAGGAGGACCGATGTCTGACGAGCTCGACCGAGAATGTGCAACCTTCTGTTCGGCCGCCGTTCCAACAGCAGCAGTCGGCCCAGGCAGAGTCAGAGGACTCGGATGACGACGATGAGATCGCGACTGCCCTAGGAGCACGCGTTCCCGACGACCCCATCTTCAGGCCTCACCCAAATGCGTTCTCTCATCCGCCGTCGGGCTTGCACAGGAGCCAGTCTGCCGGCTCGGCCATCCACCAGCACCCGCACAGTGGCGTAAGACCGTCACTCTCCCATCGGTCCCAGACGAGAGTGCACCGCAGCCCGCCAAACTTCATGTCGCCGGCGTACCAAGCCGACAATGATGCCGCTCTCCGTGCTTCCCTCACCACCCTCCTCTCGTGTGCTGCTGCCGCTCGTGGTCTGCCCAAGTACAAGGACAGTGAGCAGCAGGGCGCACCAGCAGCTACCGGAGTCGGACCTAGTTCTCAGCCTGTAGAACTGAGACTCATGCCTGAATCTGAACTCATGACTGATAGACAACCACAACCTCAAGGGCCATCACCAGCAAAGACACCTGCTCGGTCACGGACCGCCACGTCTTCTACGCCTTCATCACCCAAGAGCGAAGGCGTTGATAAGCACAAGAGGACTTCCTCTTCACAAACTCGCTCGTCGAGGGCGACGAAGAAGAAGAAGGTGGCCGCCAGCGAGGACGCGCTCATCAGCCCAACTTTGCTAACCTGGGTTGTGAGTGCTGGCGTCGTGGTGCTTGTTTCCGTGGTCGGGTTTGGCGCGGGCTATGTGATCGGCCGCGAGGTTGGACGTCAAGAAGTGCTCTCGGCGGCGGGAGCGGGCGTCAACGCCTCGACCGTAGCAGACTCTTCGTCGTGCGGTAGGGAAGTTATTCGTTCTTCCGGCGGTGGCCTTCGTCGCCTCAGGTGGGGTGCGGGGGTTGGCCGAAGCGTTGTTGCTTGATTCAGATTCGATGATCTCGTCTGAATCATGAGGCGTCGGATACTATTTACGTCCCTATCTCTACCCTTAGTCCGGGGGAATCCGGGGTACGGGGTGGGATGTGATGGGTGTGAAGGGGTCCGACATTTTTTCTTGTTCACCTTTTTTTTTTTTTTTTTTTTTCCGGGNCCTTTTTTTTTTTTTTTTTTTTTTGCCGGTCTCCATCTCTTTTTCGTCACCAACGGGTTTGAATGCGGGCTACGACGAATATAGACGATCATCAATCATGGATACCTCTTGCTTCCTATCTTGGGGAAATCGCGGAACATGCCTGACAAACGAAAACGGGGATAGGCGTGGGCGTGTGTTTATGTGTTGTGTGTTTTGCCTGGGTGCGGACACACTCACAAGTCATTATTATTCTTCAGCTTCATCTGAAATGATCAACGATCGGGGGTTTGGAAAGCCAAGGGGGCTGGGCAGCATTGGCGCGAAAGCTTTTTTACCCCCTCGTTCTTTCCTTTGCTATTGCTTGTTTTTTTCCGTCTCTCTCTCTGGTCATCATGGGTCTTGGTTTGAAATTCCGCTGCAATCGCACCCGGAGGATTATCTGCGAAAGGGGGTTGAGGCTTGGCTTCTGGGTTGTCTGTACACCCTTTACCTTGCCCTCAAGCTCTTGGCAAAGATGGGCTCTGCGACGCCGGCATACGTGAAACCAACTTCATCTTGCGGGTTAGCTTTAACACGGTTAGTCTAATACAATCGAAGGGCATGGTACGCGGCAGACAACTTCGCTACAAGCACACACATGTGAAAGTGAAAAGGGGGGGCATGGGTGAGTGGGTAAAAGAGTTTCGCCCGAACAATCTGATTAGATTTGTTGGCTGTGTTTACGTGATTGTTGCTTGCGTACGTCTGTCTTGTCCCCACTGCAAGTCAGCAAGCCAAAAATGTAAGAGAGTTGAGTCCATTCTCTGACACACAGCTGTGGCTGCAAGGCCAGAGTCACCCGAAACCAGCAACAGGCAAAACCCACATGTGGTGTCGTGTGTCGTTCGCGCAGTCCGGACACTCCGCAAATTCTGCTTGCTGGCCAGCTGGCCTTGGGATGCGGGAGGGAAGAACGGGCAAAAAGTTTCGTTGACAACTCCGTTGACACACGTTCGAAGTTGCTACTCGAAACGAGTTGCCCTTTTGCGAAACTGGCCCGGACGGTTGTGCGGACTCTGCGCGGCCCAGCAGCAGCCTCTGCAGAGCACGTGAAGGGCAGGCGGGCAGCAGACAGGGCTGTCAAGTTTTGTCACAGAACTTTTTCGAGACGAGGCGAGGCTTAGACGTCGTCTATCGCAGGAGATGGATCCTTGAGTGATTCCGGAAGGGGCAGATTTCGAAGACAAAACTTGGACCAACAAGGGCAGTCAGTGAAGACGCAATTGTCTGCCAAGACCAACAGGAACCTCATCTCATCGTCGGCGTGATACTGAGAAACTTCGTCTCATTTTCGGCGCAAATCTCGTAAAAGCCAGAAATCCGGGATGCGCGAGGCTACAGACACACATCTCACACATACGGATTCTTTGCTAGTCAATCTCAGGTATTTTTGGATCCTAAAGTCTTTTGAAAATGTCTAGATGGACTCCGCCGATCACAAGTGAACAGATGCCAGGAACCCGTTCGAACCACGATGGTACCATACCCTCCGCATCGCTCGTATGCCTGTAAGCCGTCCTTGATTCCTCCACGCCCCCCGAGACCAATCCTTATGCTGTAGAGTTTCCCCCATAGGATCCATCTGGGACCCATGGCACCATGTCACAAGTGAACCGTCGTCCTGACCTTGAGAAAGTCACCGATGCCAAGAACCAAGAGATCTAGATGTCGTCTCGGCGATCGTTTCGTTACAACGACGCCCTGCGGACTTTCGGAACATTGAAAGGCTACTCCGCTATGATTTGATGCAAGGTACTCGCTTTGTGAAGCTACTATTCACAAGATGATCGCTTGCCTAAATACAGTCATCCTCCCTAACGCCAAGAGGGAATAGTGCTGGAAGAGCGTGGGATGGTCCATGAATGCGTTTCCCCATGCTCGTTGCATGTTCCCTCGGTAGAGTGCAGTGTGCGTAGAGACTCCATCGCAGTTGTTGGGCCCTCGTAGTCACTGTGAGATGTTGCAGGCCGAACACATCTGATCCCCATTATCATAAACCTCCTTACAATGCGCTTAGGTCGAGCGGAACACTGCTGCCTCTGCCAGCCCTGTAGCGTCTGGGACCACCGAGGAATTCCCTAGGTTTTGGGAGCATAGCCTCGTCCTGGAACCTCCAACGTGAGTCTTGGACAATGTAACGTCCGCCGCTACCACCACCACCAACAGTACTCAGGCTCGTGGTTGTGTTGGTACGTGAAGGAGGTGGGCTCTTTGCTCCATTAGGGGCAAGAGTAAAGGCGCTAGGGTCGAGCATAGATGAGCGAAGTCCAGACCCGGACCGGGCCCGCGAAGGGGCGGCCGGCGGGGGAGGTGCGGCCGCGGGAGGCGAAGGCGCCGTGGATGGAGGTGGCGGGGGTGCGGCACTGGGTGATGCCTGTCCAGCTGCTCGTAGGGCAGCTTGCATTGCCAGAGGCGAAGGCCCGTTTGATGCGGGTGGAGGAGGTGGAGGCGCTGGAGATCGAGAAGGAGGTGAAGGCGCTGGGGCTCTGGGTGCAGCAGCGGCGGGGGGTGGTGGCGGCGCCGAGGGAGGTGCCGATGGGGGAGGTGCTGGAGCAGCTGATGGAGGAGGCGGGGGAGGGGCTCCAGGAGCTGGAGCACCAGGCAGAGGAGGTGGATTGTTCGATGGAGCTGTAGAGGGCTTTCGAGATGCAGGCAATGGTGGTGGCTTCTTGCCAATGGGAGGCGGGGGCCCCTTCATGGATGCCGAGGAGCTCGGCCTGGGAACATCGCTGGGTGTCTTTCGCAAATGGGCGATCGACGGTGGTAGTGCTGGAGCACCGCCTGGAGGTGGGAGAGGAGGTCTTCCAGGAATAGCTGGCGCCGCACCAGCAGGTGGCTTGGGCGCACCGAAGGCAGGCACCTTTGGCGCGGAAGACGATCGTACGTTGTTCTCGGGATCCGACAGGTATGATGAATCGGCAGCCGCACCGGTGTCGACAGCACCGCGAGTCTTGCGCAGCTTCGGCATGCCCCCAGCAAATAGTCCAGCTAGTTGCGGTGCGGGTTCCGCAGCTGCCGGTGCCGGAGCACTACCACTTTGATCACTGTTGCTTCTAGCTCTGTTCCCAGGTACCGGAGGCGCGAGACCTCCTGGAGGTTTGGGTGCACCGCCAAATCCAGGAACTGGGGGCGCACCTCCTATGGGCGGTCCTCCTCCTCCTCCACCGCCTGACACCTTTCCGACAACTGGAGCAGATCTATCGTTCGTGACGGTTTTCTTGAGAGCTTTGCCTTTGGAAATATCGGAGAGAAGGGCACCCTGAAGACCACATTAGCAGGCTGTTGTCTGAGCAAAGGAATATCGTCTTGATAAGGGCCATACTCTGTTCGCTCCTCCTCCTGCCGGCCTCGACGGCAGACTGCCTAGTCCTGGAGGTCCCCCGGGCGGAGGCGGAGGCGGAGGACCGCCCATTCCAGGCATCGGAGGCGGCGGGGGAGGTGGAGGAGGCATGTTGAGTTCGGTTCGGTCGACTCGGCCGTGTGTGTTCCTTTATTTCGATGGAGCGATAAGTGATTTCAAAGGATGAGGGCGGTAGATGGATGTCGCCGATGGTTGGCGGCGGTGAGTGCGTTGTCGATGTCAATAAATGTCGTTGTCGTTTCGTTGTAGTGGACCGGGTTGAACGGAGGCTGGAGCAAAGCAGTCGTGTCAAGAACAACGGCGATGGAAGAGATGTCGTCGAGATACAGTGCTGTCAGATGACAGGGTATCGTTTCAATAGACGACAAGAGAGGCTCTCGAGGGTCGATCAGTGCATTCCCAGGGGCGATTAGATGATGTTACTCTGGGGTAGCTTTTCAGCCGCGTGGTGTTTCGTCATCCTCGGGCAGTTCTTGGACGTACGCTCGAGATGCGGCGCTGTTGGGCGCTGGCAGTGCTACCGTTACAGCATGAGTGGGCTGAGCACCGCTGCCTGGTTCGAGCTACTTCCATCTTTGCGGGTGGACACCGCCGAAGCAAAAGTATCGCACAAGCCCCATCAGCCCGGAGAGTATATGCAAGTAGCTGTGGCTGGAGAGTACGAATACTTGACGCAATTGCAGAAAAAGAAAAGATGCCCCGAGAAAAAGAGCCGGAATAGCGCCAAGAAGCTTGATATACACTATGTTTATCTAATCAAACCTAATGCAGTGCTACAGAAAGATCTACAGTCCCAAAGTCTTGGAAAAGAACGGTGTTGAGAAACATGCAGAGTGAAATGAAGTTTGGTGAGGCGTGAGGTGCAAGTTCATGGTTGGCGCAGCGGCTGTGGCTGTACCCGAACCACGTTTCTTCGATGACCTGTAGGTACTCAGCCTGCTGTGCGCTAACTGCTGCAGCGCTGACGGACCCGCTTGGAGGGGCAAGTGCCGGCCTCATTGGTGCGGCGAGCGCTGCCGAAGAGCCTCTCCGAACCTGGAGTGATCGCCTGTGAGATAGGGCCAGGGGGGTCGATTAGAGCTCCTGCTATTGGATGGATGGGGGCTACGGGTGGAAATTTTGCAGGAGCTCCCAGCTTGCCCCGGAACGTCCGTCTCCTCGAAAGCTTCACTCTCCTTCGCATTGCACCTGTTACACCAGCCAGGTTACTCGTCGGTCTCCGCGTCGGCCTCCCACTCCTTTGTCCCAAGACCCCAAGACGGCCTCTCCCGGGATCTCGCCCAGAGGACGGCTGTTGCCTCACCCGCCCGACGGCCCCTTTGCTTGATTCTCTTGGCTTCGTTTCCACGATTCACAACCCACGACCAACCGCCGTGCCACTTCGAACTACAGCAGCCCTCAGAGACCAGTCGACGACGCGTCCTTTCCCGCTCGCTCGCGCGCTCGACTTCATAGCGTTCGATTCGGTCCGTCGCAGGTCCCTTCTGCTACGCCAACGCCCGAATCCTCAGCCTTCTTCGTCACGAACATGATGCGGACCGCCATCATCCGGCCAGCGGCCGCTCAACCACGATCCCTCTGTCGGTTATGCGTGACCCTATCACGCGCTGAGCAACAGACTCGATTCCTTCATACCGCCAAGCCAAACGTATCTGCGATCGTCTCCTCGCGATCTGCCAAGCTTCACGAGAATACCACATTGAGACGATTTGCTGGGGAAAGCCGCTTCACGAGCACGGTATCTACGTCGGGTCTGAGGAGCGATGGTCACGAGAGGCCTGTCGGCACAAGGGCTGTGTCCAAGGAGCTCCCTGACCTCAACAAGCTGGCTGCGATTGTTCAGCAGAGCAAGCAGCGCTTCATGTCGACGGACGGAATTCCTACTCCACAGCTCGTCATCGCAGCCTTGAAAACGTGCCAAGGCGCCGCAAATGCGATTCAACCATATCTATCCAAGTCGGAGATTCGTCCGGCCTCTGCGCTCACGGCGTCGACCGCGTCAAACCTGCTATCCCTGGACTCGAACTCGACTGCAGCTAATTCTGGTAGCACGTCGATCCCGTCAGTCTCCGTCAAGGATACAGTCGATACAATCTCCGAGTCAGCATACCAAATTATCGCACACCCCACCGTTTCCATTGGTCCCCAGGTCTTGGAGCTGTACGTAAACATCCAAGCTAGGCTTGGCAGGCCCGAGACACTACCCCAAGTTTTCGAATTGTATGCATCAAAGCCCAAACCCAAGGCAGTCGAGGGTTCAATCACCTACGTACAGCAGAACCCAAAGCGAGCAGACAAGGCCATCGAGGCAGCTGTCGCCGAAACAGCTTTGGGGGCCGCCATCAACGCCAAGAATCTGGACGCTGCAGTTGGCATCGTTGAGGCCTGCTATGCGACACAAGCATTCTACCGGCAGAAGCTTCTGCGGAAAGCGCTTCTGCCCGCCTCGGCCGTGGTTGCGGCCCCAATTGGGGTCTACGCTCTAGCCACCAATCTCTCGGCATTCCAGAACACAATGGAGCCCGTGACAGCCACCAAATTCGCCTTTGTCGCTATCCTGGCTTATCTGGGCTTCACTGGCACAATCGGTGTGGTTGCGAGGACCACTGTCAACGATCACATGCGACGTGTTACCTGGGCTCCAGGTATCCCGTTGCACCAGCGCTGGATTCGCGAGGAGGAGCGCGCTGCCATGGATGACATTGCGTGCGCGTGGGGTTACAAGGAGAAATGGAGGCACGGTGAAGAGGGTGGCATCGAGTGGGACTCTCTAAGAGAGTATCTTGGTCTGAAGGGTATGATGCTCGACAGAGTTGAGCTGATGGAGGGAATGAGTTGAGTTGAGAATGTGTTGAGGGTTCGTTCATGAGACGTGCGGGGTGGCTTTTCGCACCGACGGCGGCCTCGGGCGCCATTGGACGGAGTCAGTTAGTGGACCAGGGAAGCTCGACTTGTCGTCGAGCTCAGAGAACCATGGGCGGTTTTCTGAGCGTCGAGTCTGAACGTCGTTGCTAAGCCCCCCCTAGTCCGGAGAATAATGCGACCTCCGACCAATCCAAATCCACAATCGGCCGTCACCAGGGCCCGCCTACAGATCGGCAATCTACGTCTTATCCCGCGCATCTTGCCAAGAGACTGCCCAGACATCGCCCAGACAGCATCGCCATCCACATGCGGATCACCGCAAGCCCAGGTCGACAACGCTGTCACTGTCATCTTGTTTCAAGCGCTATTCCTAGCCTTCCTCCGCACTCGACTCAGCATCAGTGCATCATTGGTGACAAGATGAGTTTGACGATGGATCCACCGGTTGGTGCAGGTGGTCGTCGACTGAAAAAATGGAGGCGGGTCTAGAGATGACGGCGCAGAGTAGAGTTGCAGTAGCGTCTGGCAGCTCGTGAGCGTTCTTCTTGTGCCCATGTCAACTCTGAGCCAATCTTGCAATCGCAATCTACTTGACAAGCCTCTCTGGAGCTTTGTCTTTCTATCCCCACCCGTCCGTCCCCAAGCCTCTGTAGGAGCATACACCGGGGTGGCCCTTCGGTAGTTGTAGGACCACGACGACCCCTGCCCGCCATCAGATTGTGAAAGCACCCCCCTGCCGCACACACGCAAGCCTGGGCAAGTCCGCCCCATGCTAGAATAACCCTGCGNACCCCCCTGCCGCACACACGCAAGCCTGGGCAAGTCCGCCCCATGCTAGAATAACCCTGCGGATCGGTGACTTTACAAAACGAGTCCTTCCTACTTGTTATAAAGAAGCAGAGCCTCTTGCATCACCATCTGTCAAAGTGTCAGTACCATCAGCCTTCTGTCATCCGGAACCACCAGACGACATCGAAAGAAGACATTCACATACAACTCGAACACCAGCATCAACAGCGACACACAGCACAGTTGGACTACGCTCAACCTAAACAACAACGACACAACTAGCCGCCAGACCGTTGCCCAAGATGGTTGCCAACGAAGAAGACTTCACGCCTTATGACCCTATTCGATGCGCACACTACGCCCGTTTTGCTTCACATCTTGACAGATGGCAATTCGATCTCCTTTACTGGCTGCTCTTCGTCTTCAACTTGTTCATCCTGTTTCTGGCAGCATGGGGATACACTCGGTAAGTTCTCCGCAATGCCGTTGTAATCACGGTCTTTTCTCAAACAGTCTCACTGACCAACTGTTCAGGACATTAGACGCCGTTGCGGACCTGCCACCGACAGACTCAAAACGAAAACAGGCAATTAGACGGTGTATCTGGTTCAGCTTGGGATGCGTGTGTGTCTCTTTAGTAACGGTCATCATGGAGGTTTTCACTTTGATGGCCTTGCAATTCTGCGATGGAGAGGATCTCATGTCACTTTACTGGTCGACTTTCACCATGATCCAAGTCGGATCTCTCATTGCCGTGTGCGGAGTCATCTTGGCTCTGGTGCATTCGTTGAGACAACGAAGGAACCCGTATGTCACTTCTTTGGTTACTTTCTGCACCACTCATTTACTAACGACTTACAGACCTTGGGCCCTGGCTCTCGGCACACCGGTTCTCGTCATCGCGGGCCTGTTCCACTACCTTCACGGCTGCATCACTAGGAGGGTGAAGAGGGCTGCCAATGCTAGGAAGAGGAAGATGAGCGACGCCAACACGTTGCCAATGAGCCAAGTGTAAGTGCAATCTCAAAAATTTTCAACTGGCAGGCATTGTGGCTGCCCGGTGATACCTGCCAAGGTAAAAAAAAAAAAAAAGGATCCGTGCTAACACGCCTTTCAGAAACACCATTCAAGCTGAGGCCTCTGATGAGGACGAGGGTATTCAGGGAGCCGAGATTATCGGGCTCACAATGGACGGCGGCCCAATCATCCACTTCAAGGACGCCGTTCCGTACAGCATGCCCGACTCGAGCGAGATCATTGGGCGCTGCTCCAACGACAAGCCCATTGTTGTCTGCCGGCGCGATGGCTTCCAGCTAATCTACAACGGCACGGACTCGAGGGCGCCATCCCCTAATCCGGCTACCAAGCCTGGTGCCAGTGGTTGAGGCGGCGACGACGGGTCCGTTACATCCCGCGGCGGCAGGCCCCACCCTTGCATCGGTGCGGCGAAGTCAAAGGCAAAATAGGTCACAGTCTAGATCCCGCCAGATCGACCAGCATATGGCGACCCCCACGTCATAACACCAGGCACGAACGAGCAGAGTCCCTGCAATCGGGACTACCAGAACGCCTCTACTACAGCACGCTGCACTTTCAGCTACGCATACACTGGAGAACTATGACTCTACAGACTACGAGACGCCCGTTTCCGCCCGGAGCGGCATAGCCCTCATTCCCCACCCGCTTTTTGCAGCCACCTCTACCTGTCCCTTTTGGGTCTATGGGATTCTCCCTTTCTCGGCGCCTTGGCAGGAACATCCCTGTCGTTTAACTTTCTTGAGCGGGCGGCCCTACGAATACAGAACTACCAGCAACGGAGAAGCGCCAGCCTCTACCACCGGCTACTAAGTCGGCTGGGCAGCGAACCCAGCTACTACCGTACGGGCCGCCCAGCCTCTTAGCCCGGACACGTCCTCCCGCACTAGCTGGCAAAGCCACTACCACCTGACTACCGGGCGGGCGCCGGAATGACGGTCTCCAGAAGACGGACTCTTGGTGGCAACAGTAAGCGGAGCACAAGGCCGATCATTGACGGCTGCGAAGGGAACTTCGTCTCCTTGCGGATTCCGGCCGAGGCGGGATGACGATGTCCGTCTTTCCCATCACCCCGACCGGTTCCACCCTTCTTCACTTTTTTCCTTTTGCACGCCTGTCCTCTTTTTTGGCTTTTCTTGGCGGATACTCTCTTCTGTATGTCTTTTTTCGCCGCCTTTCTTGGCACCCCTTTTCTCCTCTCATTCTTGTGTATGTTTTGTTATGCTCCTGAATCCACATTGCGGGCTTGGCGTTTTGGGAGATGCACTGGTGGGCTATGGACGGGAGTCAGAGTGTGAGTGGAGAGGGAAAAAGGCTGGAGAAGGAAGGGAAAAGACGGGAGGGAATGGCCCTTCGGCGACGGTTAGAGTAGGGGTGTGCACGCATGTGTCGAAGTGTGCTGTGCGCACCATTATCCGTGCTCCTGTAATGATCCCTGTGGCACGGGCGAGTGGGTTGAAATTGAATAAAAAAAGTTTACTTCCCACACGGGTTCCTGTCTAAGTGCATCAGGCCGCTACACGAGCCAAGACTTTCTGGCGCGTCAGTTGGTTATCACAAAAGTCGAACCCCTGACTCTGATCACCTTTCCTTTTCGTTTTTCGTTACATTCGACGGGGAGGTTCTCCGTCAGCCAGTCTCCAGGGGTGTTGTCACTAGCGTCGGCATTAGTTCTTCTTGGGCCCTACGAGAATTGAAAACGGGACGGGTTGGGCAGAGAATAACGGACTCCGGGTGTCTCCTGTTGTGGTAACCTTCTCACATGCCATCACTTCTCAACGGAGTTTTCTTTCTGGACATGGGTCATTGACAGATTGAGACTAGGCTTGGACGATGAGAAGACGGAAATCAGATAAGCCGCGAGTTCACATTTCTCGGCACTCATTTGCAACGGAAAGGAATGTTGAAGCGCAGTGGTAGCGTGCGTTGTGCGTTGTCATGTGGCTAAGAGGAAACCGTCACCGCGCAAAAGCCAATGGTTCGAATGCCAAGTCTTTTGGGTCGTGATCATCGTCATCTCAACAACCGTCATGATGCTGAGAGTAGTGTGAGAGACAGAAGGAGTAAAGAGAGGCTGGAGAGGACGAGCGCGCGCACGGAAGGAGGGCTTGCCTGTGTGGTCCTTTCAGGGTCCGTGGCTTTTGCTCCTGTTCTTGGCATCACATATCACCGCTCAGGGCCACAGAGCCTGGATTGCGTGGGTCATCACAGAATCTGCAGTGTTCGAGCTGGCCGCAATCAGTCTTGTTGGTTCAATGAAGTTTTCCAAAACATGTTTCTCCCGCTAGCCCCAAAAAGATCGAGTCGATGGACGAGGCCGCGCAACGTGTTGCGGGCACATGTTCTTGGCCAAGAGTGAAGTGAAACACACAGAGATAGGACAAACGCAGATCACATACACAGCCCGCCATCGTAGCGGTAGAATGTTTTTTCAGTTATCTCGGATTTTTCTTCCTTGTTTTACAGTTTCTTGGATTCCCGCAGACACCGCGTCCTTCCCGTGGGCGGGACACCATGTCTCACATGCCTATCTAAAGGTATCTTGCGTGCTTTTCCTTTTTCTTTATGCCAAATGATGACGGGATAATGTATGCTGAACACCCCTTTATCTCTCCCGCCTCTTATCCTTCTCGCTGACAGTGTTTTCCCCACCCCTTTTGTTTTTTGTCTGACACATCCGTATGAATGCTATTCCGGGTCTGATATGGCAGGAAACGGTCAAGTCTGTAGCAGGTCATGTGCTATAACGGCTATTGCAAGCGCCCCGCCTTGCCGATTTGTAATATCTCACCAGTGAGACGGTCGTCACTGCGCAGGACCGGCCACGACTCGCCGCCGGCCTTGGCGAGAGTCACCTCGAGCTTAGTGCCGAGGACCTTGAAGGTGGACTTTTCCGCATCAATAGGCGCGAACAGAGGCACCTCGGCCGTGTAACGCTTAGGCGGTGAGTCGGAAGTAGGCAAGTCGAGCGCGATGGACTGCGACTTGAACTCAATCTTGGCAGAGTCCTTGACGATCTTCTTCAGGAAGAAAGAGGCGATAACAGTAGAGGGGGTCTGGTAAAAGTCGTTGCGAACGGTGTCAAGCTTCTCCTCCCCCCCGTCGGCGGCGGCTCCCTTCTTCTTGCCGCTGCCGATGAACAAGTGACGGTTCTTGGTCTTGCAACCCTCAATCTTCATGAACTGATCAAACTCAAGCACGCGGCGCTTGCAGCAGCTGTAGCCCTTGGAGCCCTCGTGGAAGATAGGAACGCCAGGGTGATGGACGCAGGACTCTGCATCACGGGAGGAGCCCTTGCGGTAGGTGGCCGAGCAGGCTTTGCGGCGGCAGGTCGCGCCATCGGCAATCTCGAGGGAGGCGTCATCGGACTCGGACTCCGGGGGTGGTGGAGGAGGAGAGGGAGCGGCCTGGGCCTGGGTCTGGGAGAGGGGCTTGCGCGCCGGGGCCGGTGCCGATGCGAGCTTGTCGAGGAGGGCGGCCGCAGCGGCGTCTTCCTTCTTCTTCTCGATCTGGGGCGGCAGGTCGGTTGTAGAGTGCTTGCCAGTTGTGCAGGGGGGGATGGTCATAAACTCCTCAAAGGTAAGGACGCGGGGCTTGCAGCATTTCCAACCTGGCAGTGATTTGCAGTTAGCTTGTGTGTTGCAATCGACGACATTATGGGGAGGAAGGAGGCTAAGCAAGGGATGCCAATTGGGCAGGAGGACGGGGGGGAAGAGGGTGATCCCTATCCCAGTCCACGGGACAAGAACGGGAGCGATGGGAATCTCCATTGAAATGACGAAGTGTAAAATAAAGGTAAGATGAAATCGGCAGTGCGGTGTTGCATGGTAAGCGGAAAGTGAGTACCTTTCTGGCCTTCGTGGAAGATGGGAGGGCCGGGGTGGTAGACGCATGGCTCCTCTGCATCGGTGTAGACCTTGCCGCAGCCTTGGTGGACGCACTTCTCCGCCATGGTGTGGGATGGCTCGCTGTCGTTTTCGCGTGTTTGTTTGGGATTTGATGATGTTGCGATCGGGAGTCCGTAAGTCAGCCTGAAGGAGGGAGCTGTATCGCGAAAGGAAAACAAGAAAGAAAGGTAAATCTAGAAGCGATAAGTGGTGACGTTTGAGGGAAGGAAGGGCACGCTGGCGGCGGGCGGGTCCTGCTTGTTTGTAAATTGCTCGAAAGGAGCCCCCGTAAAGTGGTAGGTGAGGGGCAGTCGTGGCCGACGTCGATGTCGTCGCTTCGGTGGAGGGGTTGCTATGTTCTCCAGGATTCCAGAATTTCCCAGGGGTCCCGGCCGCCATTTACTTGCGCCGTAGCGGCTCAAAATTATGCATGTTAGGCACAAGCTCCGTCATATGCCCCCTCTGATTCGTCCGCCGCGCTCGCTGCGTCTGTCCCAATTGGTTCACCGCCTTCCTCGATAAGATTCCCTGCTGTGAGCTGACATTGGAAGAATCGACCGAAGGCCTACCAGCCAGCACCTTGCACAATATCGGCGCGAAGGCCGGGGTGGGAGTTCAGTTGGAAACATACCTCCGTACGACCAGACCAACCAGCCCACACATTTGCCTTTTGCTGTCTCTTTCCTCAAGGACATTGTCAATTACAACGCTCTCTTTACTCTTCACCCTGGGCTGTCTACAACAAGTCTACCGCCCACCCCCAATCATTCATCGGACATTTTGAAACCAACACAACGGGCGCTCTTCTCGCACCCTCCATGCTGCCTGCCAGCACCGTCATCCCACCTCTGAGAGTCTCCCACGCCACTCAGACCCTTGTCCTTGGCCCCCTAACCTTCAGCTCGACAGCTCACATTCCCATTCTTCCATTCTCAGCTGACAGCGAAAACGAGGCTGTTTCACAGCCCTTCGAGCCTCTTTCCCATCCCGCCATCCTGGCGTCTCACAGCAATACGTACTCGTAGCCGATACATCTGCACCAAGGGCGTGGTTGCCGGCGAACACGTCACTTATAGAGGCAATCGCGAATCTGTCGATTATTTGAATTTCTTAGCTTGGTTCATCGTCAAACATGTTTACTCCAACACGGCGGCTCTTTCAACAAGCCCTGGCATGCCGGATCACACTCTTCACTCGCGATGGGTGTGGCTTGTGTGTAAGGGGAAAATCGGCCCTCTCCGCCGTGTGGGATAAGAGACCCTTTGACTTCAAAGAGGTTGAAATCACGAAGCCAGAATTTAAACGCTGGAAAGACCTTTACGATTTCGACGTGCCTGTGGTAAGTTTACCTGAGCGACAACGAGGGAGGCAGACGTCCGATGTTGGCAGCTCGAGTGCACTTTACACCAAACTCACATTCACTTCTTCCCCAGATCCACATCAGCAAAGCCGAGGCCCCTGAGGAGGACCCAGACCCCAGAGTTGTGGGCAAGGCCGTCAAGCTCATGCATCGCTTCGATCCCGACCAGATCGAAGCCAAGATGGACCAGGTTGAGGGCAAATAAACGGATACTTTGAACGCGGCCGCAAAGGTCTTGGCCCGGAGCCGAAGCAAGAACATAGCCTACATAATCGCTTAATTCTTCATTTCAACCGCCCAGGTCAGTCGTTCAGTATGATCCACCCTTGGCTGGCTTCGCCGCACCGCGGGCTATGCTCAAAGATTCTGCCAAGGTGTACTGCAATGCCGTGTAGTCCGTCGCTACGCTAATCATATCGAACCCCTTGTCTCCAAAGAACTTCGACTGCTCTCCCGAGGTGCAGAAGATACCAGCCTTCTTGCCTGCCTTGTGGGTGGCCTCGAGGATACGGTCAATGGCATCGCTCAACTCCTTCTTGATGACGCCGTTGATCACTGGGTGACCAATGTTGTTTCCTGCAACTCGGTTAGACTCATCTCGTGACTGGTACCCGTGACGTTCTGACTGACCAAGATCAAAGGGCCCAATGAACAGTACATCGATGCCCTCAACCGCAGCAATGTCCTCGACCGAGTTTAAAGCCTCCCGGGTCTCAATCTGTACCATCGTCAACAGACTGTCGTTGGCCTGCTGCAAGTACTCGGTCATTGTCGGCGCCGGATTGAACCTCTCCATGGCGAGGGGCGACCCGAAACCTCGTCGTCCCCAAGGGGGAAACTTGGCGGACTGTACGAGCTCCTTCGCCTCCTGCGGCGTGCGGAGCAGCGGGACGAGGATCTGTCTTCCATGTTAGTGATACCTCCGTGTTCTTTTGCGTGTTCGTGATGTTACCCCGTGAGCGCCACAGTCCAAGGCCCCTGCGTCACGTTGTCAGCAATACGTTCTTCAAGTCGCCGCACATGGGAGTCCTCACGCTTGACCATCCAACCCTGCATGTCCGGCAATCTCACAATTGGCGATACGCCCGCGGCGGCGATGGCGGGGACGGCATCGTGCATAGCCCCGTCTGGAAGAAGTCACGCCGTCAGCTCGGTGTCCTTGGCAAAACCCGAAAGGGTCCCACGTTACCGTCAATGTTTCCGTGTTCGCAGTCGACCAAGACCCAGTCGATGCCCGGGCTCTTTGCGAGAACCCGGGAAACGTTGGCGCCGGGAATCATCTGCCACAGGCCCAAGCTGGGCCCGACTCCCTTGGTGAAGGCCGTCCTGAGCCTGTTGGCTGCCTGCATTGCGGACATGATTGCTCAAACTATCAACGTGGAAAAAAGGTACGATGTATTAGAGATTGAAAATGAAACCTCGACCGCAATGGTGTTTATTATGTACGTCTCAATGTCACGATGTTCTCTCCCGGAATCGGCTCACTGAACCAAACACGTTCCTGTCTTCCGCGCCTTATGTCAGAAGTCTCAGTGCGGGGGTCACCACCTGCGCGGGGTGAAGGCCGCCGCGGGAAGCTGGAGCCCTGCCAAAAGGACCAAAAAAAAAATGCACTACGTACTGGGCAGTCGGATAGCCTCTCCCGCGGCGAACCGGATAGTGGCTGCGAAACCTGGGCCCGTACAAAACCCATGAGACAGAGCTTCGGGCGGAATGGGGTAGAGTTCAGTGTGATTGGGGTTTGTTGCGGAGGCGTGGGGAAAGCTGCGTGGGAGCGGGGTGGCTCTGGCGTCTGTGGAAGTAAAACGTTGGTTCATGTCGTCGATGGCTGTTCCGTGTATTAAATATCATAACAACTGCTTCAACCTGATAATCGATCTGAAGCATTTCTCACCATTTCATCAGGGATCGTAGGGGTCACAGGATATAGCTTATCTGAGGATTAGGAAAGTCCAGTATATGCTTGGGTTTTCCGCCATGCAATTGCTGGCAGACTCGTTCAACACCCGTAATATAACAAGAGGCATCGTAGATCAGGCTAATAAAACATTGAGTTGAAAGACACTCCTAGTGAAGACATAAAGTAGTACCTAGTCATGTCCAGGGAGGAAGACAATGGTGCCACTCCAAGCAAATGTTCAGTGGAAGTACTACTATTGGAGACAAGAGTAACAACAATAAGGTCCACATTCGAGAAATAGTTTTATGTGAAGTAGTAAGATCAAATTTGCAATTCCTAGCTAGCCCCCAATTTTGTAGTTTACAAAGTACAGCACATGAATGTAGCTCCATGGTGCGAAAGCCACGCTAAGTCGCGTGTAAGACTGTTGCTGCAAATAACGCCTGCCGCAGTCAAAGCCCCAAGGTTTTCTTGATCTCGGCCTTCAGACGGCCAAGACGGCTGGCGTGTTGTTTACCCTAATAATTCAATTCTCCACCACCGCCGCCAGCAACATGATCGAGATCTTCGTAGCTCTTGAGACTACGGCCTTGGGTGGCCTCACGAGGCCCAACTGCCGCTCCTCCAGCAGCACCATCTCCCCACTTTCCGGCGCCCCCACGGCCTCTTCCACCCATGCCGCCGTCCCAGCGCGGGTTGGGGCGACGGTCATAGGGGCCGCTTCGGTAGTTGCCACGGCCACCTCCCATGCCTCCGCGGCGGATCGGACCAGGCCCACTGCGCTCGTCACCGCCGCCATTCCAGCCAGACTGCACGCCCGGATGTCCCCCGCCCAAGAATGGAGGGAAGCCGCCAGGAGGCATAGGGAATCCGGGAATCGGCATCATACCATTCATGGTGAAGTTTTGCAAATTGAAACCCCTGGGAGTTCCGGTTGCAGGCTGACCATTCGAAGGCGGGAAGTGGCCATTTGAGTTGGCATCAGTTCTTGACGGAGCGATATGAGATGGATCCATAACATAAGCATTAATGAGATGGAACTGCAACATGTTAGCCAAGGAAGCATGCGTTAAGTGGGAAATAGCGGTGCTTACCTCTTGCTCAATGCTCTCCAGCCACTCGGCGTGACGCTTTTCGACGTGCTTCCGCCAGAAGTGCTCCTCCTTGAACAGCTTGACACACTCTGGAACCTTGCATCTCCACTTGTGCTCGTCCTCCTGCTTGACGTACTTGAGCGTCTCGTCACTGACGGCTTCCTCAACTGAGCGGCCCCCAAGTTTGCGAAGGTCTACGGTATCAGGCTCCAAAATCTGCATGATCTTGTCCTCGAAGGTCTTGACCCAGTTGTAGGCGCGCAGAAGCTGTTGTTCCGCCTTGCCAGTGGCGCTGCGGAACTTCTTGTCACCGTCGGCAGCCTCGCCTTCTTCTTCAATCTCACTACGCTTCTTGCCGGGGAAAGGCTCGCCATTGGCGCTAGCACGAGCAACGGCCTTCGCGGCAGAGCCGAGAGTGCTTCTAGGGCGGCGCAAGTGGCCACCGGGACACTTGCGGGTAAGCTCGTGGATGGAGTCACTCTCAAACACGCAGAAGAAGCAAAAGTTGAAGACGCGTCTGAGATACTCAATCATGAGATCCAATTGCTTCTTCTTGACGAGCAGCTCTTCATCGTCCGTCTCGTCCTCGTCGACGGCGCCTTCGTCCTCATCGTCGTCGATGGCACCGTCTTCACCGTCTTCCATGCCGTCATCAACATCAAGGTCGCGCTCCCGCTTGGCCTTGGGCTTCTTGGCGGTGACGGTCGGCTGAAGGCGGCCAGCGTTTTTAAGATCGTCAACCCTCTCCTCAATCTTCAAAACAGCGTTGAAGTCGGAGCCAAAGTCCTCTTCGAACTTGTTGACCAATCGCTGAACAAGACCCAAATCCTTTTCGACCCGTTCCGGGGCAGAGAAGAGGTCCCAAAGTGCCTTCTTTCTAGGGTGAGTGGGTGGGTTGTGTACGCCGACGTGGCAAACGAAGTCGCCTCTGACTTCGTCCTTCACAGTCTTGCCATTGATAGCGTCCAAAGCTTTCTCAGCGGTGGATACTACGGCAGGTGACTTCAACGGCATGTCCTCATCCTCATCCTTGGGGTCCACACGGTCAACCACAGCAGGCGCGACTTCTGATGACGGGTGAAGCATGACCCATCCAATGCGGTGATACCGTTTGCTGGGGTTGGGATCGGAGAGTGAGAGCCACTTGAAGCCGCCCTCGTCCTCTCCAAGATGCTCCTTGCAGAAGGTCTCGAGGTTCTGGCGACTGACATGAGGCGCGATGGTCTTGATAAGCAAGGTCGGCTGGTAAAGGTTCTCATCCCGGATATCGGCGCCATTGGCGGGAACAAGATCTCCGACACCCAGAATCTCGTTGGCAGCTGTCGCCTCACCCTCTTCCTTCTCAACGACGCCGCCGAGTCCATTACTTTCACTCTTAGGCAGACCCTCGAGAGAAAACTCGTCGAAAGTGCCAGACTCAAGGTCCTGCTCCCACTGACCATAAGCGCCCCGGCGGAACTCGTTAAGTTGTGACCTGAAGCCGTCGCGAATCTCAGGGACGTAGCGCTCGCGGAACCATTGCTCCTTTTTGTGCTCGGCAACAAACGTACGTGCCATCTTGGCCTGAAGCTCCTCTTTGTAGGCATCGTACGCCGCTTGAATCTTGGACTTCTCTTTCTCGCGTTCCTCTTGAGCCTCGCGAGGGCCGCGAACCCGTTCCGGCTCGCGTCGACGTCCACTTCGTTGGCGCTCCTTCTCTTCCTTGATCTTCTCGTTCATGCGCCACCACTCGCCAAAATATGAGAATCCAACTTGGTAAGGGAGCTTGACCGGGTCCGCGAGGGGGTTGACAGTCATTGGTGCAGGACCGCTATCTTGTCCTGGGACGTATCGATCAATATTGGATGGCGGGGAGCTGATGCGTCTGTCTCCACGGTCGTCTCTGTTCCCCCTGCGATCGTCATCTCTCCGCCCGCCGGCATAGTCATCGCGGCCGCGGCCTCTGGGCTCGTATCGGTCGACAGCAGCTGGTGATCGTGAACGACGTCTATCGCGACGATCGTGGCCTACAAGATGAGGTAAGCATTGAACACTTATTGCCGGTGGCGACGCCATTGATGGGAGGCCCTGAATCTACATAGATTCGATTGATGGGGTGTAGGAAGTACGCACCAGGAGACCTGCCGCGGTAGAAAGAATCGCCTCGATCGTCCTTGCGCGTGTCGTCGCGACTGCTCCACGTCCTGTCGCCCGGCGAGCGCGCGGAGGTGTCTCGGTGAGAAGAGTACGAGTCCATCTTTGCCTTGTTGTTGCTGAGTCGCGGTAAACAAAACCAGAATGGATGGTCTCTGTTGCTCTTTGTTGATGTGCGGAAATGGGCGGCCGTTCAGCCTAGATTAAGTATCGCGTCGGGTAGCCGCGTTCTCGCTTCTCATATGGTATCGGCCGCTTGCTTGATCGGAAGTAAGGAAAGCAAGGAAAGAGGGCGCCTGTTGTTTGGCAACGCGATTGCTGTTAGAGAAATCATTCTTGCAGGAAGGAGCGGCTTTCTGTGGAAAAATGGGAACAAGAGAAAGAGAATTGAGAATTCGGAGGGTAGCAGCAGCAGAAAAGTGGTGCAATTGCCGTCTGGCAAAGATGGAATAAAAACGGCTCGTCTCTAATAAGAGCGACGGAGCAAACGGAAGAAGAAGAAGTATTGGTGCCAAATGAGGCCGGCTTGATAATGTGGATTGACAAACGGAGGATGGGTGACTTTTTTCTTTTGGACAGGGAGCCGGGCGGGAGAGTAGAGAATGTGTTTGGGGAGGAGGGAAGACAGGAGTAAATTGTATCTTGGGGCAACCGGATCAAGGGGATGAAGGGACAATGGGTGCGCCGAGTAAAGATGCTGCAGAAATAGAAAGGGAGAACGAACTATTTCAGTTGCGAGGGCGACTGCCTCGACGATGAAGTGCAGAGTCGTTGTGGTCCAAAGTGGAGGACTCTGAGATGGACGAAGCTGAGTTGAGAACTGGGAGGCTGACCTAGCTGCTGCCGAAGGGCGACGAGACACGAACAAAGGTTCGGCTGGGGAGACCCACACATACCAAAAGAGGACTAGCGTATCCATAAGCTCCTCTTTGGTGCATATATCCTATTGTGGCATATTATCCGCTGTGGCTGAGACTTGTGGTACCACCTTTGGTTTTGTGAATATGTGGAGTTTGGGTCGTTAAGAGAAGCAATTGTTACCTACCAACTCGACCAAAGGGAATCAACGTGGTTTGTCTACTCAAGTGCCAGGAAGGAAGCCACGATGTTGCAAGGCTATCGGCAGTTGCGCAGTAAGCGGCGTAGCTCCCAGCTGTTCGCAGCCGCGACAAACTGACCGTGGGTCACGTCAAATATTCCCGTCAAGCTAGAGGTGCCCTGGGCTGCAGAA